GTTTATTTTCAAAATGTAAATGGTCAAAGAATAGCCGCAAATACTCGTATCAATTGTAGTGTCATCTGCTACGCACATAAATTAGTCGCATTTAGGTCCAAAAATACATATAAATACCAAATTGGATTACCAGAAAAATTGGACCTTTATTTTCTGTTGAAAAGGTTGTGCGCTTTGAGAAATTTGCATAAACTACTCCTCCATCCAAGTGAATTAAATCTTGTGCCTAAAATAAACCGTAGAACGTGATAGCCTCCATTTATTACAATCACGTTTCCAAGTCACGTCGACCACCGCTATATTAATCCATTCACTGTTCCACGTCTTACAACAACCTTGGCGAGTGATTTAAAGTGCAATTTTTTACTTTGAAATTCCCCAATAAATCAATCGGCTTCGACGAAACCATTGTGAGTATCGGAATTGATGGGTTTCCGTTCATAATGAAAGTCACATTCTCGGTACATTTTTTCTCTCGTCGTATCTTCCCACAACGTTGAACACTTGCCTTCTTAATGGCTGGGTCAAAAAATGCCGAATATAGCAAATCCCTGAAACGGTAGATTAAAAATTGCCACGAGAAGGATTAATTTAGGTTAAGAGTACACTGCAGAGTGTAACATTCGAGAATTACTCAGTACTGGGCACTTCACTCTGTGGGAGGCATGAAATTTTGGTTGTAATATCCTATTTGGAGCATTCTTTGGTTGAGTTTCTGTTTTTAGCCTATAAAAAAGATCCGAAACGAAACGGTAGGAATGTGTATTAGATTATGTTTAGATATAGAGTTTTAATAAAACCCAGGTGTTAGTTTGCTATCTTTTCTGCAATGCGTACGGTCAAGGATTGACTATTCTTACCTCTTCTTATAGGCTAACACTCTATACGTTATGACCAAACATTAACCCTGGTATATTTGTTATGAATCAGTAAGAAATTTTAATAAGATGAGATGTAACGCCCACAAGGTACCTCTAATTTACTACTTATGCGGAAATTTTTTGCCTCAAAATTGTACTTGCTATTTTGTATTCTGCAGAACTACAATGTAACGGATACTGCATAGCACGATCCGTATAGCTAATCAGCAATTTCCACAGCCAAAATCAGAATGGACAAAGGCGAGATTACTGGTTTTTGCAATCGAAAAATTCATTCCTTTTCAATGAGCATTAATTATCGTCAAGGCATCAAATCAATATCACGGTTCCCTTGATTTCAACGTTCTTTCTGCTGAAAAACGGAATTTCCCATTCGATTTTCCCGTGGAGGCGGGTCGGGGCTCCGAAAAGGCGGAGCTTTCTGTTTGTTGCCTTTTCGACATTTCGGGATGCCTTAATCTGATTAATCGTGGGGTCTTTTATGTGTGTTGGTGGTCGCATAACGTCAATGCAGATGCGGGTTCAGTGTCAGCGGGTGCCATTAGATTTGTTTGCTATTTATCTTTACCTATGCGGGTTTGTAGTCGTTATGAGCAATGCTGAAATGTCGGCGGTGGGATGTGGTTTTTTGGGATGCGGATTGTAGTTGGGCTCATTATGGGCGCGTATATAAGGCCGGGTTTGCATGATGAAAATGTATTTCTTATAAGGTGTCTATACCAAAAAGGAGGTTTCCTCCGACTTGAGGAGTCCTCAAGGTACTACGGTTATATCAAGTTTTCCTCCAGTCTGCGTTATGAAGCTTGCCGTTCAATTTATAAAAATTTTGGTTCTCAGACTTTCCCAAAGTTTCACAGTTGAACGACATCTTCAGTGACCTTTATAAACAAGGAAATATGTTAGATAAGTGGCGGTCCACCAAACCCATTTCTTAATTTTTAATAAAATGCTGGGGTATGGCACAAATCAGCCTTAAATTTTTGTGATTTCACTAATAATCTTTGGGCTTTGACACAACATACATAAATTTGAGAGTAAATACACATTTGTACATATTTCGTGAAAATTTCAACAATCCCTTTATTTATTAGATTTTAAATTTATAATCCGTTCTAGCTGTTGTCAGATTAAGATTCACACATCAGTTCCGGAATCTTTCTTTAATTTTTTTTAATTTCTAATTCGCCGCTTACCGGATTTACGTTATCTTCATCCGCTAGCTCTAATAAAAGGCTACGGCTTCCCAAAACACTGCTAAAATACAGTAGCACGTTACTTTACAGCAGCCCCATTCACTTTTTCCTTGTTTTCCGATTCCGTTGTAATTTATTTTTGTATATTACATTATTGCCATTCTGAAATGGCAGACCGTCCTATTTCTGCACATAGCATTTCTCACGCTGTTTTTTGCACCCGTATTAAACTATTTGCGTACAGCATCCAGCTTTTCACCAGGTGTTTTTTTCCAAAAAATTATGCGTAATAAGAGCGTTCGTTTAAGTATTTTTAGCTACCGAAGGTGTGTATTTAACGCCGCTCTTTTGTATTCACAGGTGATTTGCGCTATTAAAAATTCCGCTAATTGTTTGACACTCTTATCTTGCACGATGTTGTTTTCCACGTTACCTTGTTTGAACCCTGAAGAGGTGCTTGAAAAAGAGAATTTGCTGAGCGTCACATCTTGTAGATAACAGCAGGAGAGCATGTGGCTGTTATTGTGTTAGCAATTAAGTATTATGTAGTTTGAATTTCTTTTGGAGGTGATTCCTTGCAGTCAGCGTTTGGCTGCTCTGTGACATGGTCGTTTCGACTATACCGTGAATTTCATCCCAAGAATGGAACCGATCTTTTTGTAAACTGAACACATACGGGCTCGCTGACGGAAGAGAACCGGTTTTCGTGTGCGATATCTTACAGAAAACTACATTGATAACATCTTTTTTTATTACAAAAAACGCCTGTTTAAAAGATATTGCACGGGTCAACTGGTCAGACCGTGATCAAACCCGGTTCGTGAACGGTCTTTCCATCTTCCTTTTACGGTATTTCGCAGGGGTTTTCAAGTTGTAAAGTTGTATCGAAACACAAGTTTCTTCTTTATTTGCTGTACGAAGAACTGACGCAAACACTTCTGACTCAAGTATGTCAATAGATTGCTCTGGTAATTACAAATCCCATTTACAATGTTCATGAAATTCCTCTTTTAATTGTTTTTAGCGGCGCTACGCCATTGCAAATTCATGCCCACCTGTGCTATCAAACGCGTTACACCCACATTACTAATCCTCTGCTGAACGTCATGCGGGTTTTAAAATGCATTTTCGGATTTGACGGATGTTATTTTCTCGTCGTTTGGGTCATACTTAATGCCGCGAGACGGGAATTGCGGGGTACGGTATGAGGAATGGGTTGTTCAGTTGGATTTTTGCATCCAGAATAAGGTGTTGGAATTGAAGGAGTAGATCTCAATTTCTGACGTTTTCTGACTGACAAGCTGCTTAATTTCTCGACCCAGGAGGTCTCATAATTTTGTCTCACAATTGATAAATCGATGTTTACTGAAGAGAAGACCAACGATTTGGCCAAATACTCAAAAATAAAGTTGCCAGGATTCTGCTTTGTAGTTTAAAAAATAAACCTTTACGAATGGCATAGTATTTCCAAATGTAAACAATGACTAATTATAAATAAAAAAAACGTTGCGTTTACAAAAGAAAGTAAGATCCCCCGCGCGATAAAATGAGTCATTTAAGAAAAGGTATATAAGTTAATTCCATTGCATCATCTACAGGGTAGGGGCTGTTTGTATTTTCTACTCTTGGGTTTGTAACCACTTTTGTTTTTAATTTCAAAAAAACCTCGTTAAACTCAAGATATTGGTAAATCTTTTGTGAAGAGTATATCAATGACCGCATTGTCTTCTCCTTTCCCAACACATTATTTTCGTACTACCTGTATTTTGTATACAAACAAAACTGTGCAAGACATGGACTGCAAAAAAAGCCGTTTCCTCAGATTCTCCGTGAATGTACAATCGACCTCGTTACACCTTTGGTCTGCCTTTTTTTACACTCTGCTACATTTTTTCTGCGATTTGCTTTGTGGAACGGGCTCTCCCTCCTCCGGTCACATTGGATTCACTTTCACACCATCTAATTCTGCATCCGAAATGTCATTGTAACAGAAAAGATGTTATAAAAGGTCTGGCTCCTCTGCGAAAAATCTTTGTGTATCAGTCGCGAACTTTTCTACGGATTGGCAAGTTTGTGAGATAAAACTGGTTTTTGTAGGTTAAGGAAGAGAAGTGGTACAGTAGAAAAGATGCGGTACAAAGGGTCTTGCTAGGAGGTACTCTTAGATTGAAGTGTTTTGTGGTGAGGGCGGAGCAAGTTCTTTTAGGGACCAGATAAAAAGGTGGAACATTTGGAAACGGCTATAGTCAGATGGAACGTCTGTGCACGTGTGAGTATAAATAGAAGCATGTAATAGTAGTGGCGACTAACGTCTAAGTATCTTCTTTAGGCTGTGCAACATCCACGGTGTTTTTGTCTTACTGCCCCAATAATTACTGTAGATAAAACACCAACAAACTTTACTTCCAGCCCGAAATCCTTGTCCCAGATTAAGCTAGTCATAGTCACTTGTTTGATAAAATGAAAAATTTAAAAGAACGTTTTTTGGGGTCGCAAACATAAGTGCTGTATTCTGGGAACTAAAGCCTTCTCCAGACGATAAACATTTCCATTTAAGGCAGAATTACAAAAATAATTCGGTATATAAGGTCAAGTTAGAACCAAAAACTTGGGACTGTAACAGCGACTTGGTCAGTTGACTAGTTTCGTCTTTTATGCTAGACATTTAACCCCGTTATCTGAATTTTTGAACTTGGTCAAAGACCCCTGACGTTTGCAAGACTTTATATAGATATAAAAAAATTGTGTTGTGTACAAAAATGAAGTGTTCTTATTCTTGTCACCGTTCGCGAGCCTCCTGCCGAATACCTACAAAATTCTGAATTCTTGTAGATAAGAATCCGAACGCCCATCGACATAATAGCTGCTGCTTTCCTATAATCCCGCCACTGGGTGCTAAACTCGTCGTGCCTTTCTGTAAATGAGAATGAACCTGAACACGGACGTTGTGTCAACGACGATAATCCTTTGTTTTCTGGTCGGACTGGTGGAATCGATGTTAAATGTAAAGAAAATCAATGGTCGAAAATTTCCAGTAAGTTTTTTCCGCATTAATTAATAGCAATCTTTCCATTACTTTGTCATAATTTCTTATACTTCACACGTAACTTTCAATATTCTGCCTTTTTTAATTCATTAAATGAAAACTTTGGAATTCCGACACTAGGCAGGAATTCGAATGACTTTCACGACGGTTCGACCAAATTTAAAATTCCAAAACGTCAGCACTGTGGTGGGAAATTTTCTCGGTTTCAGAAAAGGTCATATATGTTCCCCGCAAAACACAGTTATTAATGGGAAATCACTAAATATATTGAATGAGAAAAGGAGTCAAGGTTACTTTTAGAGTATACTGTAAATAACAGGGGTTTCCTAGAAGCGCTAAAGAGGAATAAAGAGACATCTTGTATGTAAATGAACATGGTTAATCCCGTTGGCTTAGCCCGCCAAAAATTACAAAAATTCCCCCACACTAGCTGATAATCCGTTTGTTCATGCACAAATTTGATGCACAACTCGGTTAAAAATATCCCCGAACGTCTGGTCTGCGCTAATTATGGAACTCAAATCGTAGGATGGAAAAAGATGAAAGAAAAATATTTAGTGAGAGGATTAGTCGCGGTACAGATTACCGAGTAATTTGAATTGATTCTTTCAGCACGACGCATTCCCTGAACCGACGTTCGACAAGAATGCGCCCTTCTGCATAGCTGAACGCGAGCCCTGCGGGTTTTATTCGTTTGGCCATAACTTTGGAACGACGCCTTTCAAATGGGTCAAATCATGGTAAGTCAACTTATAAAACGCTTTGATAACCAAAAATAGATACTGGGCGATGTATTTAATTAGGATTTTTAAGCAAAATATGCCAATTTCTTGGCTACAAAACTTGCAACGCACTCAACTTCCCATTGTCCGTCTTGCATTGTTTTTTCTCGTTCCTTCGGCTTCTGTAAGATAATCAATTTGCCTTTTCCCATCATACGGGAAGAATGCATGATCCATCTTAAACTCTTCTCCTACAGCTGACCATTTGACGTATTTTCCGCGGCTTGCGAAGATAAAAAGTACCGTAATCGGAATTTCGATTTCTGTCACCTTTCTCTTTGATTGGCTCTGCAATGAAGGTCATCTTTGTCGGTTTCTGCGATATTCTGAGAAGCACTGGGTTACTGATAAGGTCTGTGGGTAAATACTTCGATTCTCACTGGAGTAACGCCAGATTGGCTGAGTTATTTTTGGTACCTTAGTTAAGAGTTGTGTCCAGCCGCGTTTGAGAGGATTCACATTGATTTTGCGGTTCCTATATCAGTGCTCGCTGAAAATTCTGCGCCTGGAATCTGATTGTCTTCCGGCTCCAGAAAACGCACATAAATTACATATCAGCAAATTTTTAATTACAATTTTTTATTCCATTAACGATTGACATTAGGGTTTATCACTTGCTGTACTCTTGCATTCCTAGCCAACAAAATTGGTCGATCAAATGATAAGCGGCGTTTTGGCGTGGTTTCAAATCCTCGGTTCTGTAAAATAAGTCTAATATACGACATTACATATTGTATTAGAGTGAAAGGGGAGTGAAAATGAAGTTTATAGAAAGAATCACATTTTTCTATTTTATAAAAATTTTACTTTACGATATATTTTTTATAGTACATGGTCTAGTATGGTACAAAAAAACCAAAAAATCGGATATAAATGACCCCTGGTCCGCGTGTTCTTTGGTGGGACAAGAAAACTGACCTGCGGAGAAGTAATTAATCAGCTGTTATCAGCAACCGTTTCCAATTCTCTTCACATTTCACTTGTTGTAATTCCGGCACACCTTCTCTATTTTTATGAAGGCAGCACGTGACGGGAGTACGAAGTTCATCATGTAATCACTGATGATCTAGCTCCCAATTATTGCGGGAAAACAAGGCAATCAAGGAGGGAAAACCTGTTCCCGGAGGGCGAGGCCAACAAATTGATTTCCCTTAATCTACAAGCTGGCGGAAAAACAGATGACAACCTGCGTCATCACGATCTTAAGCAGAACCGGATGCTCAAATTGCGTCGATATTCTAGAAAATATAATTGCGCTGAGAACTTCGTTTCTAAATTTGCATTGTCCTCTTCATAGTGTAGCTTATCCGCACTTTAAAACATTCGCCGCTGATAGGGCTTTTTTCAATGTCATTTTTTCCATTGATAGGAGGCTATGGGCTCCTGCTTCTGTTTGCAATACGGCCTGTCCAAACAAGGGGAAGTTTATCATCACAGTTGCTGATAAATGTAGTTTCGGGTTGGGACAAGAAGCCAATAGCGCAGAGGCACGTGAAATCAGGCAAAAAAAATAGACGGCACAAACTTTGCGAAATGCAAAAAATGACATTTTTACCTCTTATCGTCAGAAAATATTCATAATAAGTTCGACATTAAATACCATTAATTTTAAAGCCAGAATTCATAATATATGAAAGTTATAGCCTTTGCGAAAATTACATTAAATAAATTAAATTTTTCAGGTGCAAATGTTCGGAGGAGCATGAGTGTGTTTTCGACCGGACCGACATGAGGATGAGGGTCTTTCGACAAGTCTGCGTGTCCAAGGAAAAGGCTCAAGAGAAGGAGAATGCCGAGGAATCGATTGAAGAAATCACCAGCCTTCGAAACGAATCCACTCCGAAAGACCGTAGAAAACATCGACGCTCAACGCATCGACATGTTCATCATCACAGAACCGACTGAAGGCATGGCGAATTCAATGATTCCAGCCTTGAAGAAACATCCACAGTAATCTGTTGCGAGTTAGCCGAGTTTGGCCGCGCATCTTGGCCGCAAAATGTGTGTAAATATGGGAATCGCACGGTTCTAGAAACTTATTTATTCGAATCCATCTTTCCTTAGCCGCTTATTGTTAGTTTAATTTATTCAGAAGATGTAATCTCACAACCCTCTTTCCATTCTGTTGTTATCACACCCGGGTGTCATCGAAAAACGTCTTGTCCCGACTTCAAATCTATTTGTTTCATGGTCATCGAATCCTCACTTTAATCCCCCAACTTCTCTACCATATAGCAAAGTCGTTGCTCTTTCAACTAGCCACACCTTTCCATAGTTATCAGCACATGTACATCTTGATCAGTGATCTCGTAACTCTCGAGTTTTCGTACAAACCTCAACTCTCGTATGCGCAATTTCCGTTAGTTTCAGAAAAGGACTACAACGCTGCGACAATTGCGATTTAAATTTTATAGTCCATTAATTTTCAAGCTGTTTTTCCACATCTTCTCGACGATTACTTTACACATTTTGTTTTTTATGTTAATATTTTTTACCGTATTGTTTATTGTTAATCATTTGAGTTTAATAAAAAAAACATGTCCAAATGTTGTAATTGGCATGAACTTTCGTTGAAAACAGAGTTATTACACATGCACTAAAAAATATCTGGTACAATTAAGTCGTTATAAACTCGTGTCTCCAGTTTGAGTACTGTAACCAGCAAAACTAGAAGAATTTTGAAACCGATCCGAAGATTTTGGACTTTGCAGAAGCCCTTGAGATTTCAAGGTAAAAAACGAGACTTTTTTCAGAGATTTATGTTCGTTGTTAAAAAATTTACTCGTCCTGTGTGTAAATCATAATTTATAATCATTATTAAATAATAACAAAGAGTATAAAGCCATCCCTATCAACTTCTAGACCTTTTTCGTTTGCTTTTTTGAGACTTCTTCCCTTTTCCACGAGAATCGGCTGAACTGGATGAACCTGAGGACGAAGTAGAATGTTTTCGTCGATGTCGCCGGCGTTCTGGAGATCTTGAGCGTCTCTTTGGACGTTCTTCTGTTTTCTTGTCTAGAATTTGAATATTACAAATTGTATAAAAATTACTAAATTACTGTCTAAAACAATATAATTCATCATACAAAATCTTGAAAAAGGTCTACCTTTTTGTTTGGCAGCTTCTTCATCCGTCTTTCTCTTCCATGTGTGCGTTTTGGCAACAGACTGACTGAAATCGACATGAATTCGGCGGTCATCAATCAAAACATTATCCATCTTCAGATAGGCGGCTTCGCATTGTTCTGGCTGAAATTAAATAAACTTTTAACATAATAAACGTTTACATATCTCAAAAATAACTCCAAATCTTACCGTTTCGAACTCCACAAATGCATACTGCAACGACTTTCCGGTCCTTCTCTCTCGGATGATTTCACAGCACTTGATGTCTCCAAATCGGCCAAAAATAACTTCCAAATCCGAATCCGTTGTGACTGGATTCAACTTGCACACGAAGAGGACGTTGTCTGGAGGCTTCTCATCAATATCTCGGATATCGCCAATCATTTCCAGGACTTGAGCATTCGCCCGAAGCTCTCTTTCCTCATTAATTTTCTGCATTTCCTCTGAAGTATACGCCTCACCATCGACGTCTTGATCCAAACATATTTTATTTGACAATTCAATGAGCTGATTTGTGGGAGAAGGACTTCTTGAAGGAATTGGGAGATTTGGAGGATCAGCAAACGGATCATGCAGGATTATTGTGTGACTTATCCTAAAATTAGGTAATAAACATAAAATATGATGGTTTAATAGCCATCAATATGCCCAATAACATACCTTATATCCCGTAAAGGCTCATATTTGTCATTAGTATGCTCCTCGTTCAGAATATCCAACACTTCAAGACCTTCCGCCACTTGACCAAAGATCAGATGTTTTCCATCAAGATAATCCAAATTATCGTCCAACGAAATCAAGAATTGACTGCCAAACATGTCTTGACCACAATTTACAAAAGATACCGTCCCTTTGCGCTTATGTTTCATCTTTACTTTACTGTTGTCGGGGAAAAAGCGGCATTTCTTATCATGAACAAACCTAAATCAATATTTTTGTTAAAACCAGAAGAAAATATATGAACGTACGCAGTAGCAAATTAAACAAGGTTAATCATCAAGCTTACTCCTAAAATACGAAGAAAAAGAAAAAAAACTTACGAATAAACAGACTCTCCGCCATGGCCAGTGTTGGTTGGATCCCCCGTTTGGGCAATATAATCCTTCTGAATCGTTGTAAACTGGTTCAAGTTGTAGTATTTCATCTTACATAGCTTGATGAAGTTCTGACTGGCTTCAACTCGCTCCTCGTAAAACAGATCCACAACCAAATCTCCAACAGTTGTTTCAATCAAGACGGACATGGTGAATATAATGTTCTGGGGAACACAACTGGATCTGAGCTAAAGATTAAACACTCTGCTAGACTCAAAATAAAGCAGATCTTATTTCGCAAAAAAAATCTGGAAAAAAAATTATTTTCTGCGTCCTGAAAGGGAATGCCAAGCTTCCCTGATTGTCAATGGAATTCGTGGGAGGACCATTTTATAAAACTCGGAAAAATGTTTTTCTCCCCGAATTTTGGAAGAACAGTTGGTAACTTACCTCACAGTGCATTATGACTACTTCAACACCGGCAGTAACGGGTTGGCCGGCGCCAAAAAGTGAGACCAATGGATCCGCTCAATATCTGACCAAAGAAAGCTGCCAATCCCTATGTAAAACGATCCAACTGTAAGTCAAAGTTTCTTTCGTGTTATGTTTTGAAATTCAGATATCCCTTGACAAATTACACATTTGGAACAAAGGATCCACAGTCAGAACGAGACAACTCGGTCCAAGCCAGATTCCAGCGAATGCGAGAGGAATATGATCGAATTGGGATGCGCAGATCAGTCGATGCTGTTCTTCTTGTACATGAGCACAATCTACCCCACGTTTTGCTACTTCAGATTGGCAGCACCTTTTTCAAATTGTAAGTTTCTTCATGAGTTTTAAAATACTTGGAATCTAGACCTGGAGGTGAACTAAAAGTTGGAGAAGACGAAGTAGAAGGCATGAAACGGATCTTAACAGAGACGTTGGGCCGAGACGAGAGTTCAAACTCGCAATGGGTCATTGAAGATGTGGTGGCGACGTGGTGGAGACCAAACTTTGATCCACCACGGGTAAGATAATATTTCAAAAATTTTGGCTGATTTTTGAATTAGAAAATTGTGACATGTTCGTATTTTAGTATCCTTACATCCCTGCTCATGTAACAAAGCCCAAGGAGATTACGAAACTATTTTTGGTTCAGCTTCCAGAGAAAGGTGGGTAGTATAACATAATTTTAATTGTCTAATTTTAGCCCTCTTCGCTGTTCCAAAGAACTTTAAATTGGTTGCTGCCCCCTTATTCGAGTTGTTTGATAATTCAAATGGCTATGGATCCCTGATCTCTTCACTTCCCGTAAATCTGAGCCGATTTCGTTTCGACTACTTCAAGCCAGCCTCAAGTTCATGATCTTCACAATGTTTTCATCTTCCTAGATGTCACTAATTATTTCCTTTGTTATTGTAATGTTCATAAATTCATCTTGATTTCATGTGATGTTGTTATTGAAGAATTTTGGGGTTCCTTACCTAAAATTATATTGTTCTTGATATGAAAAGATGTTATAGGCGGGAGTGTGGCCCGCTTAATTCTAGTTTACTGGCTTTTCAAATATTTTTTGTGGCTTATCATGTTATTTGATCTAATTTTTTGCTTTCTTTTTGCAGAATTTTAATTAGATGCCTAGTATAATATAAAAAATATTTTTTTGTGCCTATAGTTACCACAAACATTGTGATGTTTGCCTAAAACCCAAGTAAAAGACGGAATTCGGTGACCTTTTTGATTATTTTTAGGCGCGTTTACCCTGGGTGTTCTTTAATCATTGGGTCAAGAGTCTCGGAAAAATAATATGTCTAGCATTGTTTCGGGGGTTTTTTGATCCGTTTTATTTCATATCCGATTTTAAAAACTGCTGGATTTTTTCGAATTAATTGCTGCTGTAAATACTTCTTTTTTTTAACTGACTTTAGATTGACACCTAGTGTAATATAATTTTTTTTCAGATGTGTCCTTAGTCGACTTGCCAGAAATTTGCCTCCAAAGTACCTCAAGTTCTACTTAGACCAACCACATATAGATAGCTCACTCTGCACAAAAACTTGACCGATTTCAAATGACCAAAGATGCCCAAGAAAAAGTGCAAACCTCCAAAAAAGGAGATGTGAGAAGGTCCTGGAAAAAAGTTACGGCTGCTCTGGCAGCCGGGGGAATTGCTGGAGCTGTGGCCAAAACCACGATCGCTCCATTGGATCGGACAAAGATCTTCTTCCAAGGTGAGATGTTTTTTTTATTTTTCTTCGGATTTTAGGTGTCGCGAAATGAACAAAGCATCTGTTTACTGAAGAAAAGGGAATGAAAAATGTGTAGGCGATGACGGGAAAGTACAGATTATGTTGTTTTTGGACCAGCTACCTGGAGTTTACAGCGAAATTTTAGCAAGAATATTATTTTAGGTAACAAATTATGGGTTTTAAATTGTGGGTGTCAAATATTACAGGGTGTACCAAATTCGGTGCCCGATTTGAATTGGCTATAACTTCTTTAATTTTGGGCCAAATTTTAAAATTCTTTTTTCCCTGAATCCTCAGACAACCCCATTTTGTCTGATACCAAATATGTTATACATAGGTAAGTGTCATCTACAGTTATTGCATTTATTCTTGAAGTTCATTTTTTTGGTCGTTTTTCGGTTGTTTTTTCGGCCTTTCCCGGTGTGTCCGAAAATGGAGTACGGTGCGGAAGAAAAATACGGTGGAATTTCCCCTCCTGAAAATCGACGATGAGAATAAGCACAAAAAGTGAAGATCAACCTCCAGAGTTCGTCGAATGGTCCTTGGTGAAGGCATTCCCTCGGTTCTGGCCAAACTTCGTGTACTCATATGCGGATTTTCTCGGAATTTTGACAAAACTTCTTCCATTTTCAGCTAGGTTCGTACCCATCTTTCCTGCTTTTTTTGTTTCCTGTTAACGCTGCCAGTCTCAAGGAACCTATTCCACCAACGCCGAAATGTCTTGCGATCTGGGTTGGGCCTTACGTCCGTATTTCATCCTGTATTCCCTTTGAACATTTATCGGCGAACCGTATTTGCCATACCAAACCACAGACCAAGCTTTTTCTTCCACACCGTACTCCATTTTCGGACACACCGGGAAAGGCCGAAAAAACAACCGAAAAACGACCAAAAAAAAATGAACTTCAAGAATAAATCTAATAACTGTAGATGACACTTACCTATGTATAACATATTTGGTATCAGACAAAATGGGGTTGTCTGAGGATTCAGGGAAAAAAAGAATTTTAAAATTTGGCCCAAAATTAAAGAAGTTATAGCCAATTCAAATCGGGCACCGAATTTGGTACACCCTGTAGAAGGAAATTAATGAAATTTAGTTAGAAGTTTGACAAAAAACGTTAGTTAATTTCTATGATGAATCTCTGGTTGTAATTTTTTGCTATAAAGTTTAACAAATTTTGTTGTACATATTGACTTGGATTTCTGTTTATTTTAGGTAAAAAATTAAGTTTTGACAGTTGTATAAGCTAATGATCGTTTCTGAACAAAGTCTTAATATAGAAATAAAAGTCTCAATACCATTATTAAATTATCTTTAGTGACCTCCGAACGCCGATATCATCTGAAATCCGCAATGAAATTTGTGAAGGTCAGCTATCAAACTGAGGGCTTTTGGTCCCTCTTTCGTGGAAATTCTGCCACAATGGCCCGTGTTATACCATTCGCATCCATCCAATTCGCTTCCTACGAACAGTATCGACTTATGCTTCACGTGGATGAAGGAGGGTAAGGAGAATATTATTTTACTGATTTTTTTGGTTCATGTTATTGTAGGTGGTCCGATATATGAGTTGAAAGGTGGCTTGGGAATTTTGGCAATAATAGCACTTGTTTTGCCGATTTTTTATATTATACTTGACCATATTTTAGATCCCACACTCCATTCCGACGATATCTCGCAGGATCCTTGGCTGGAATCACCGCTACAACTCTAACATATCCTCTGGACACTGCCAAAGCCCGTCTTTCAGTCTCAACCAAGGAGGAATACCCCAATCTGAGAGCAGTGTTCAAGTATGAATATCAAAAAAGTGGTCTCAAAAACCTTTATCGAGGTCTCTGGCCCACCTTGGTGGGTGTGATACCGTATGCCGGCTCTGGATTTTATGTGAATAGCAGTTTGAAGTTGTGGTACAAAGGTGAGGGATTGAAATCGAAGTTTTTCATCTAGTGTAATATAATTTTTGAAAATGTTTAGTTTTTAATATTTTAAATGATTCTTACAGAGAAGTTCAAAAAAAATCCCCCACTTGGTCTGGAGCTGATATTTGGTGCCACTGCTGGCATCACCGGCCAAGTTTCTTCGTATCCATTGGATATAATCAGACGGAGAATGCAAACGGGAAAGATCCCGGAGGGCCAAGGAGTCGTCAAGTCGTTGATTATTATCGCGAGGACTGAAGGAATCGCTGGTGGACTTTATAAGGGACTCAGCATGAACTGGATTAAAGGCCCCATCGCCGCCGGCCTCGCCTTCACTGTCAACGATCGACTAAAACCCATCTTTTTGAAGTGGGCCGAGTAAAAATAGGTTCATCCAACAGTAGGGTAGATTATATTTTGCATATTACGGTGCTTACTAACGCAGCTCAACCTCCGTTATAACAAAATTTTATTTTTATGTCTGGTCCAATATCAATTCTATTTTAAAACCGATGTTTTCCGACTTCCTGGTGTTGATCCTCTCTTGTACAAACTTTTCCAAGTTATCTCGGGTCATTTGAAATGCCATATTTTTTTTAAATCGCCTTATATTACACATACCGTGTGTCAAAAAAAGATTGTGCCTATCGGTTGAGAAACGCCTCAGAATAAACTTTTATTGCGTTTACAAATCGTTTCAAGTGGTGTATTTTATGATTATATGGTTGTTTTTACCATGATATTTCGTATTTTTTGATCCTTGAAAATTTCTGATTTTTTTTATTTTTTAGAATTTTTTAGAAGTTGTAGATGATTTCAGGGTAACATCATTCAAGATTGAACGAACGACGGGTATTTCGTAGCACCTCCTAGGTCACCTCCACTCCAAATAACCTCATCTCCGACTTACATTACACGTCCACTTATGTAAATCGCGTTTCTTTCCAAAATTTCCTTTCCATTTCTCCATTTCCGGCGGCACCGTGCTGATCGGTCTTTCTCCTTTTTCCAGCCAACATACGAACACATAGTAAGTTGAGTGTTTTTTATTAGTGTTATGATTTTAGGTAAACCGAGGTATGAGAAGTGAGAGATGGGTCAAATAACGCCTCCAAGTCCAGACCTTCTGGCCCTTTTCCTTCATATCGCACAGTGCAATGGTGCTCGGGAGAATGTCGAGCCGAAAGCGAAGGATCTCCCCAAATGGCGACGGATCCTTCCTTCGCTGGCCTCAGGCGCCTTGGCTGGGGCTTGTGCGAAAACGGTGATCGCTCCGTTGGACCGATGCAAAATCAACTTCCAGGGTATGGTTAATGAGTGATTTTGAGCTTTTTGAAATTCGAAAATTCCGTCATGATGACTGATTTTTTAGAAATTTTGATTTTTCAGCTAGTATAATGTCGCTATGACTAAAAAAGGCTAATAATGTCCCGAAATTTGATGTTTTTTAATTGCAGTATCAACGACCCGGCGATATTCGTTCCGAGAAGCCATCAAATTTGTGATACGCACCTACCAAAAGGACGGATTTTTCGCTTTGTATCGCGGGAATTCGGCCACAATGGCTCGAGTGGTCCCATACGCGGCCATCCAATTCGCAGCGCATGAAGAGTACAAAAGACTCCTACGAGTGGACCGAGACGGCAAACCCACCCATGGGCGAAGATATGTGTCCGGATCTTTGGCCGCCATCACCTCCACCACCATCACCTACCCTTTGGACACGGCCAAGGCTTGTTTATCAGTCTCAGACAAGACGATTTATCCAAACCTGAGATCAGTATTTAAAATTGAGTATCAGAGGCATGGATTCTGGATATTTTACAGAGGATTGGGCCCAACTTTGCTCGGTGTGGTCCCGTATGCTGGAAGCAGTTTTTTCACCTACGAAACGCTGAAATTACTATATAAAGGTGAGTGAATTTTTGTGGAAAGAGTTTTTATTGAACCTTGAAAGAAGTTTTAAGAGGAAGAGGAAGATTCGTAGGCTGTTTTATGGTTTTTTTTGCAAAATTTTATATTTTTTTACCTTCAGAGGAGTTCAAAACGAAACCCGGCCCAATAATCAGCATGTTGATGGGCTCCTTCGCCGGCCTGGTCGGCCAGTCCTCTTCCTACCCGCTGGACATTGTCCGACGACGAATGCAGACCGGCCGAGTCCCCGCGAATCAAGGAGTCATCAAGACTTTGATGGATATAGCCAGGACGGAAGGAATTGTCCGCGGCTGGTACAAGGGCCTCAGCATGAACTGGGTCAAGGGGCCAATAGCTGTGGGGATAACGTTCACCACCTACGATCATGTCGTCATCTTCTTCCGTCGGTTGATTCAGGGATAAACACTGAAATTAGGAGATTGTACTTGGTCTTTGATGTTGAACTTGAAATTTTTGTGCATTTTGAAGTCAGCGGAAAATGTTTGAGGTTGGAAAAGATTGTGTATTTCATTTGTGAGGCCTGCTGTTGGTTAGAGGATTACTGTAACATCTCAAGACTTTATTTTGCACATTTTTCGTGTTATCGTCATGAATAAGGTCAATGTTGATTGAGATATGGCATGCGGTCTCTTTTAACGTCTGTATCTTGAAGTCAGTGATATTTAGGGGCTATTTATTACTTAAAAATTTTATTTTGAACAGATTTTGTAATCAAGTTTTTACTGTTTCCTCGAAAGTCTTGCCATTTGACGTGTCATTCGATGAATTCATATCTCGTTTTTGATAGAGTCCACATATTTCTATAGTAACTAGATGTTCAAGGTGTCCACACTCAATTTTATTCCAATTCAGGTGGTTTTATATTGTCTTATAGTTCTAAATGTTGTATATAAAGAGATTATTTTGAAATTTTATCTTTTTATGCGCTCAGAAAATGGTTCATGGCCATTGTGATATCTTTTTTTTATTTAATTTGGTTATGGTTTTTAACTTTGTTTTTATTTATATTGTAGTAGGCATCAACCATGCTCGGTCAGAACGCCGTGGCCTTCTTGTTGAAGAGCCGAGCTCCATCGATGGTCTTCGCAGTCCGATGGAATTGCCCTTGGCATCGAAGCAACTGGAAACCGCATATCTTCCCCTTTAGAATGAAGGAACGTCTGGAAAAGGGTAAGGGACAAGGCGATGGATGTTAATTTTTGAAATTCTTGGAGGGGAAATTGAAGCAAATCTGGCGAAAGGATATGTTTGAATCCTACAGGGGGTATTGTGTGTTTACAGACGGATTTCCGAGCTTTTGAGCGATTCCGGGTTTCGTGTTGGGACCAAAATTAGTAGAAAATAATACCACTACCGATTGCTTGATGTTAATGAAAACAGTAGAGTCAAGGGCGTTTTTGATAAATTTTAGGACCATTTTTGACCAGTTTAAGGAGTTATTCTACTAATCCGATGTTGTTTTTTAGGCTCTCTGGAAGCCCGTCTCTCAACCCCCGGAGGCCGCGAAATTGTGATGCGCCGAATCCTCCGCGAGCAACCATTCCTCGGCTGGAATCACGACAACCGTCCCAAGAAACACCGCCTCTCTTATCCACTGTAATCTGACATTTTAGGATTTTTATTGTTCTTGTTACATTTGAAATAAAGTTTCGGATTTAAGCCGATGTTACACTCGGATTTTTGATATGGCACCGGGAGTGGAATATCATAAAATTAATAACCAATGAATTTTTACAGGATAAGGAGCTGGAAAATGAAAGGAAATTAGGGTGTAAGAGTAATTTGTACATGAAGTATAATATAGGAAATTGAAAATAACAAAGAATTAGATGATTTTGGACAAAGTTTAGACAAATTTATGGATGAATAAGGACATAACTTGATTATATTGCCGGAAGTCATTGAGAAATTGACAAATTTCATTCCTCATCACTATCCACCATACTCATGATGGTCGTCGTACTGATGGCACTTCCCCTTCGACCGGTTCTCGGCTCCACTGGCACCTCAATGCATTGGCCACACTTCCGGATCATGGGCAACTCCCTGGCCCAACTACGGGTCTCCGCTTTGGCGGTAGCATCGAATATGAGAACACATACGATGACTAAACCACCAACAGAGAGGAGGATCCACTTCCAGCCTTGCGCGTGACCGTATGGCGCGACAAACCCGATAATATGAGGTACCAGGAGGACGACGGCTGAGTTGATGTACGATTGGAACGACATCAAAACGGAGGCGAACCGACCGGCAATGAGTTGGCTGGATTTGGTCGCACCGACCGCATTTATCCCGTTGAATACGGTCACTCCTGAAAAAACGATATAAATTGCAAGTCTTGTATGCATTTTAAAACCACATGGACTGGTTTGGCACAAAAATTTTGAGTTTAGTTTTCAATTTTTAGGTCCCACCACGAAAACCTCGATTTTCTCGAAAGTCGAAAGTAATCAATCTGCTGTTCCAAAGCAGACATTAGACTGTTCCAAAACAGTCTAATGTCTGGCGATTTCAATTTTGATCAAGTTTTACATTCAAAAAACACCTGATTTTTTAAAAGTCATGCAGTAATTTTGAAGTAAATCTCAATACTATTGCCCTTTCTTCCCAAAAACAACGATGATTTGTGAGTTCATCACATCAGCTTGTTTTCGGAATGGAGCAGTGACCACAGTTGGCTGTAATTCCCCCCTTCCGTCGCACTTTTGCACTCGGAACATTGCTATTGACTGGGTTACAAATCAAGTCACGGGATCAAAGAGAGCGGCGTTAAATTGCTTTTTGAGTGTTTGTGTAATAAACGTTATTTTGTAATTTAGAGATCAGTCTTGGATTGTTTTTCGAGATTTGCAGGGTGATCCTGATTCTCAGGGTTTTCGTGGTGGAACTCAAATGACTGGTCAAAAAATCTCGAAAAGGCCTTAGAAGTTGTAGGGATGATGTAATCTTTGTTTCCATAAGCTATTTAGATCTGTAAACACAGATTTTTACGTGTTTTTTAAAATCATTTCAACTTCAAAATGGTCCCAACACGAAAACTTGACTTTATGATTTTTCGATTTTCACAGCTTTTGACTTATTCGATGAATAAAAACTAATCGTAAAAACATCTTACTTACCAGTAAACAACGCCTGTGCCAGAATTGTGTTCCCACTCTGCAAAAACGCCAGCCCAATAAAGCATGCGGCCATGCCAAACTGCGACAGCGTTGCGAAAAGTTGCACTCTCGACTTGTGCGAAATACAAGTCATCTTGTCACTCAGTGGGCCCACAAAGAACTTCACAATCAACGCCAACAATGAGGGCAAAGCGGCCAGAGCGCCGGTATGATGAACATTTAGATGGAGGACCTTGTTCAAATACAGCGGACCGTAGAGAGCGAAGATCTGGAACCCGACCCGAGAGCCGAGAGCGCAAATCTGAGTGCCGATTACGGCGGGGTCTTTGAAGATCTTGCCGTAGGGGATCTTCTCTGTTTGGCACTGCTCTTTGGAGCATTTCACTTTGCCTCGTTGGATCTTGGCGAGCTCTCTGAGGGAGACGTTCCTGAAAAAAATAATTGTAAATCTTTGGAAAATTGATAGTAATCTGGCGGTGCCTACAGCTGCTTGAAGTACAAATCATAACAATTTTCAAAGACAAATTTTTGATGACTTTTTTGACCTACCGATGCATCTCCGGTGAATCTCGATAAAACGTATAAAACACGACAAAACTGATGACCGTAATTCCACCCAACACAAAGTAAACCATTGGCCATCCGAGCGGACTCTCGCAAAGGAAGCCCGACAATGGCATTGCAATCACCGTGCCCAGCTGTAAATGCATCGACAGTAACGCGACATAAGTTCCAGAGCGTTTTAGCGTCGCCCAATCAGCGACCACAATTCCAGTCGCGGGCAGAGTAATGGCGAAGGAGATGCCCTAAAATCCGTGCTTTAGAGAGTTTTAAAATACGTGAGTGCCTGCTGTCTCTTTATAATAACGTGAAGCTTAAGGTAAACTGAAATAATTAGTAACTTACAACAAGAAATCTTGACGCCAAAACGGGATAGAATCCATAATGGGCAACAAAAGGGAGGATCAAGGTGCTGATGGCTGAGATCGCTCCATAGGTAGTGAAAATCTTTCTGAAATTAGAAAATTAGATGGTTTACCGCTAGTAGAAGGCCTAACACGTCATTGGCAAGCAAATTTTTTTGATGAAAAATTACAGTAACCCAAAGAAAGTTCTTGGATTTTGCCAAAATTGGGCAGAAACGTAAATGTATGCTTAAATTAGAAAATTCTAAAGTTTTAGATCGCGTTGTGCAGAAACAACCGAATTATGAGGACCTAAAGCATAAAAAATTTTTAATTTTCCATTTTTTGACAAAATTTTTTTTACTTGAGAAACATCTTTTGACAATAACTCATATTTCTTTAGTATTTCTTACCTCGCTCCGTATTTTAGATTCAATTTGGCGATCGGCAATGTCCCCAACAAAGATCCCATCGCGATCGAACTGAAGAGCCAACTGTTCTCCTTCGCCGTAAACATTGCCTTTTCATGGCTATTTACACTACTATTCAGTCCATTTATAATTGTCTCACTACTTAATAGTCCATGACTTTCCTCTTTTTTCATACAAATTACGGTGAAGTTCAACGCCGTTGCGTTTGCGATGATCATGCTAAGACACCATGTCGCGATCACCATGATTATAATCCGGGTATTGTGTTTGAAAGTGAAGCATCCATTTGCATCAGACGGAGCCTCCGAAACGCCGAAAGAAACCTTTGAATTTTGGGTCGAAACTGATGAACGCTTCTTCAGAGCCGATGGCGATGATGGTTCTGAGGATTCAGGAGACGTTGACGGTAGAGCGTAGTCATTTCCAGAATCTGTGGAGGAGTCTGACGAGGTTTTCGAAGAACTTTTGGACATCAATTTAGGGAAATCTGCTGAAAAAGAGGGGTGAATTGAAAAGGTTGTAAAATACGACGAATTCGATAAAATTTAACGGTCGATGCCCCAAATTATTGGCTTTTACTTCTATTACAAATCCTGAGAATCTCATACTATGGTATTCATTGTACTCAAAAATATCGAAGCTTTTTTCGAAATCCGTAAGTCAAAGAGATGGATGACTTTAAATGGCTGTAAAATACGAAAGAATCAGTAGAATCCTTTCATTTATCTCTCAAATTACTACCTAATACTCCTGCTAACAAACTCTAAAATTCTATACGGTGAAATTTACCGTGCCGCAAAATATTGAGTTTTTATTTTCCCCCCAAAAAACGTATTTTATAGAATAAAAATTTTGCAAAACATGCGCGTTAAACGCTTCGATAAAATTGTGAAGCCCTTAAAAAAAGGTAGCTCCCGACTCTTTCTTAAGTATATTGAAGGGAACGTAAGGAAGTAACTGGAAAAATCGGGTGTAATGAACTTTTTCGCCTGGAAATGGGCGACGTTCTAGATTTCCGATCTTTGTTTTGAAATAACGACAACATCAAGAACAGGATCGCTGAAATTAGAAGGTCCGGTACGTTGGCAATTGGGTAATGCACTTTTGACAAGCCTAGGATGTTAAATTTTTATGTGTAATATTACGGAATTGGAAGGATCTTGATGGGCATTACGTGGAGATGAAGTGAGTCAAAAGTGCAGATATTGAGAAATACGGGACACGCCCTGAAGGGGTGCAAAACGAAAATTTGAGGCAAAGTACCGTAGGTTTTATTTTGTGGGCGTTTGACGCATTGGAAAATGGGAAAAATCGGCTTCTGTATCGGTTTTTTCTGCATAGTGCGGTTAAAAATCCTAGGAAAATTATTCGAAAACTCTCGAGTACACTTTAAAAATGCCTTATGATGTTGGAAAACAAGATTTTTTATATTAAAAACTCTCATAATTCGACGGGTTTCTGCATAACGCGGGGCAAAAATGCATCTAATCTTCCACGAAAAATTCATATTTTATCTTTATACAATTTCATCTACCCAGTTACAACACTTTTTGAACATTAACATCTGTTCCCATTTTCAAAAATTCCAATCGAAATTTTGTTCTAAAAAAAGCAGTCATCAACAAGGACACCCACCCCTAAAGTGAGTGCTTAACGTTTTTTAAAAATTTTAAAAGCATTCCGATTCGAAAACAAGACCAATCAATTAGCTAAATGTAGACATATCCCAGCCCCATTACAGCATACGAAAAGAAAAAAATGGGAAAAGTTCCCGTCAATGTGGTTTTTGGTTGACTGTGTAAAGCTGTTCATCTAGAAAATTCAGACAAAAAGGGGAGCAGAGAGAGAGAATGCAAGTGTTTGAGTGATACGGTAGAGGAAGGGGATGAGAAGTGTTACGGTCATTGGTCGGTGAAGGTTCGAGAAAACAAAGCCCCAAGGAACGCCGTTTTCACGGGGTTGCAGCAATAAAATTAATTTTAATCTGATCAATACATAGATGCTATAAATAAAAACGATGACATTAGCTGTAAACGGAAAATCGCAAAAAAATGGAAAGTTTTGGACCGTCTTCAATCAAAAATCTCTATAATTTATAGGAAAACGTGGGGAATTTCTTGTCCATTCTGTTTCTCTTCAGCCAAAAACTTAATCAAAACACTGTTTGTTAAAAGTTTGAGCCCTGCCGTTACAACGGCAGCTACGACATTTAAAAATTGCCTACGTTACAGACTATAGAACATATCGAGAGGGGCGCTACGACTTTTCGGGTCCCAGGATAGCTTAGCACCTATTTTGAGCTATTTTCCATGAACTCACATCAATAATATCAAGATTAAAGTTAAGGATCTTCGTTTTTTGCCGCAAATTTTATCCTTCTGTATGCTACAATAACTCATGGTAAAGGAAACTGACGTTAGTAATGGCCGAAATTAGAAAAAGTGGACATATTGCAAGTCTTCGCCGACCATCCAACCGGCTTTGCCAAGCGCCGTAGGCACTTTCTACAATATTTTTTGCGTATCTACCTGCCATCCGCCCCATACTGATCAATGAACTGCCCAAACAAAAGTTTTGATCGAAATACGAAATACTGCGAGTGATAGAACGTTAATGAATGATCCGTTAATTTTATTCATCAACCCCAATAAAGAGCCTTTCAAAACCTTGCGCTGTAATTATTGCAAACACAGTACAAAGTTGAGAAAATCGATTTCACAAAACCTCATCAAGTCGTTTTTGGCCGTTGTTGTAAAGTAGATTCATCGACTTTTAAAGACAAATTGATGATCACTTAAAGGTGAAATGATGGAAGGGAAGAGTTATTTTTGCAAAAAAAAGTAAAAAAGCTAAGTTTTTGAGCGATTACTGGAAGAAAACATTAAAGTCTTCATCCGAGAAAAAAGATAGTAAATTAAAAATACGCTAAGTCTCAAATTTATCCCGAAAACGTCATACAAATTCTCAGCATAACCGCCAATTACGACCCATACTTTTAAATCAGCAACAATCTTCTAAAATAGGCGTAAAAAATGTAAGTCTTAAAAAAATGATTGCGATTTTCCGATTCAACGTGCCGAACTACCTCAAAATCTCCAAAGAAATTACTTCATTCACAATTTATTCGTAATAAAACCCAAGTTTACCTACATATCGATTCGTTTTCAAGTTAAATCTCCATCAAAATCATCCAATTGAGGCCAACTTCAAGGGCTTTGAGATGTGTTTTCATCGACGGTTTAGAAACAAATGATGACACACGTCCAGCAGCTGACAAAACGTTGAATCACTAAGCACAGAGGGTTGGTTACTGCGGGCACAAAACGATCTAAAAATCCGTAAACATTAAAGAATGCATGAAAATCAAAAGTAATCAAACAGAATTCATCAAAAACTCACCAAAAAGTGGCATTCATCCCAAACCTTTTGTTCATGCTCGTCCAGATACCCTCAAAATTCGATGACATCCTCCGAAATATCAAAACGCGTTGCAACGTTTAAAGAATTTTGCCAACAAAAAAATTGAATAAAATTGGAAGAAAAAAGCCACGAATTCCCACAAAAAAGCAAAATTTGCATATTCGAAATTCACCAAATTTTCGTTTTCATTTTTCTCATTTACCGGTTAAGTTCCGAAAGGAATCTGGTTCTTCGCTTCAACGTTCACCATGAGCTCCAGCGCCAACACCTCCCGCCATTCCGGCGATGACTCCGCCATTCAGGCGATGGCCCCGGCTGCAATCACCGCTGCCGTCCCGGTGATTGCAGCTGGGGAACGGTCGACGTGTAAGTCCAGTGGGTTTTGGGGTTTTTTCGGGGTTTGAGATGATTTACTTTGAGCTTAGGGGCAGCACTATTCAAAAATATTTTAACTATTCCCGTTCCTGATATCTGATCTCTACTACAACATAATTTTGGAGTTAAAGACTCAAAAAAAGGGCTCAAATCAGTTGGCTTTGAGCTCTAAATGCTTCAATGTATTTGGTTTGAAACTCAAGACTTCTTTATATTAGAAATTCATCTGAAAAATAAAAAATTTTGACGATCTATTTTTGGCTGGTGGGTTTCTACCGTAAATCCCGCCAAAAAAAGAAAAAAACTAGGCCTAATGGCCTTAAAAATACACCAGTAGGCCTCGGAGTTTAATATTATAGGCGAATATGACATTATAAAGCTTTCTAAAGAAAGTAATTTCATGGCTGGTGGGGATAACTGTAAAGCCCGCCGGATATCACTTTGTTATTTTGAAATACAACCGAAATTGGCCTTGATATCATTTGTTATAACGTGATGGATCGACTTCCGCTAAATTTGAATCTTGGAAGCTTGGTAAGTCTAACTTTTTTGAGTTTTACAGTGTTTAGGACCAGCAACGCCGGTCATACAAAAATTGTGGGTGGAAGAAAAAATTTTGGGCATTTTTCGTCATTTTTTGCCGTATTTTATACAAAATTCAGCAAAGTTTGAACCAAAAACAGTCGGCCTTTCGAGCTTGAGCTTTTTTACACTCCTTTAATAAATTCTGACCTTACAGGGTGGCCAGAAAAAACGGAAACTTGTATTTGTAGCAATATTTTTTTCAACAAACCAAATTCGGCAAAAATAATAATCAATATCAGTAACATGGAGCACTGTTAACAACATGTTCAGTCAGCTTTAAAGCAGCTGCTCATTGCGCCGATACAGAGCTCCAAACGTGACTTAAAATTTTTGGCGAAACGCCGCATCTTTTTTTTAGGAAATCGGCCCCGTTCTTGGCGTTGCGATTACAAAGCGGCTCCAAACTTTCGTGGCTCATAGTACAAATGCTGACCTTCCATAGAAAAAAAGTACAGGCCCATTGGATTCAAATCTAGCGAGTAAGCGGTCATTTCGCAGAAGGGACAAAGTCGGGAAAATCGGTCCCATTCTTGGTTCCTAGCCTTTTTTGCGTCGTGAGACGGAGCTGACTCTCGTTAGGACGTTAAATTTGCATCGACAAAATGCTACTGAGCTCACGAAGCACGGCAACTTCCAGAATGTCACTAGTAGACTTTTTGGTTGATTTTGACCGGTTTATCTGCAAAAACCAGGGATATCTTGCCGCTGGCGCAAAATTTCGCACCAGGCCATCACGGATCGGGTTTTGACGGTATTAGAAAAAAGCGAACGCTCCTTGGCACCTAACAGTCCAAATGATGTCATCCTTGTGGTTGTGAGCTTGCCCAGCGCGTTGCAACGTTGGGTTATTTCTCGTCCATTTCTCTCATCCAAGAGCAGCGGCGCGACTCTTGAGTTTTCCGACATCTCTGCGCCGTACGCGCTTGTTGTAAGCCTTGAAGAGCTGGAATTTTTGCAGCTTGTATGGGGTGGGTTTGAGCTTATCTTTGGATATTTGGTAGACGCATCGATCGCTGATGCCGTTTTTACGAGCGATTTTTTTGGAAAATCGCGAATTTTGCTGTTGATGATCTTGCGACTGGCAGAAGTGCTGTCGGTGGGTTTTTTTACACTTTCCTGACGCTCACTGTCGTTGTCAAGCCGCTTGCATTGAGTGATTGCATTCGACACAATGTCCTTTACATACCGATCAAGTTAGCAATTCAAACAACTCCAAAAAAATGTCCAAAATCGAGGTCCCTCTGTTTGACATACAAAAAAGCCATGTTAAATAATCGATATGGCCATGAAAATCGAAGTACTAGGGCAGAAGAACACGGAGAATTTAATGATAAAAGAATGATTTGGCTACACCTAAACATTTTCGCGCCAGGACCTATGAAAAAAAGTTTCCGTTTTTTCTGGCCACCCTGTATTTTTAATATAAATTTTACAGGGGAAGCACTCCAAGTGCGGCGCTCCGATTTTGATGAAACTTGGAACAAATTTAGAACAATTTTTTCTAAAATATATGCGAGAATCCTAGCTCGCGCTTTGCAGAAACAACCGAGATTTTTAGATCGAAAGTCGGCGAAAATTTAGGGCTTTTTGCCGAATTTCGGCACGAAAAGTTTCATTCCTATTTCTACCGTAAAGGGTAATGTTTCTACAAAAAATCACATTTTTCTGCCAAAGATATGGCCAAAAAAATTTTTTCTCTCTGACCGCTCGCCACGTTTAGCGTGCTCTCTCGGCGGAAAAAATCGTTAGACATCTCGGCGGCGCCGGCAAAGCGCGAGCTAAAACTTTCAGGAATTGATATGCAGTCCATACCCGACGTGTGTGCAAAGTTTAAAGAAAATCTGAGCGTCGCACTTGGAGTACTTCCCCTGTTAGTCCAAAACGTAAAATTTGCCCCACACCAAAATTTTCATGTCTCACGACCAACATCCCAGTCCCGAAATCTTCAAAGATCTTACCGAAGCCTCCAAATGCAACATCAAGAAGATCCTTCTCATCAAAGAGGTGTCAAATCGGATATTATCCATGATGATCAACTTCGACTGGACAATGCATACCGACGGAATCAACTCCAATTCATCCAAACAGATTCTCATCACTTCAGTGGCTCAAGAACAAGTCGAAGATGGATCAGTTCTGACAATTTTGGCAGTTCCAGCACTGTGTCCTCCAGGGAACCACCTAAAATTCTATTTTCTTATTATAAATGTCGTTTTCATACTGTATTTGCCATAAATTATTATTATACATAGCATTTTGGAATATCCTTGGAGCCAAAAATCCCCAAACAAACACTAAACTATTCACTTTCATGGCCAGAAATGGTCTTACATTTTTGTTTTAATCCAATTGCCATCCACTTCCATCTCTAATATGCTCCATGGACCAGGTAAAGATTTTTTTGACTTCTTCCAGCCGTTTCCGTTGTTCCAGTAATTCCAAAATCAACATCTCGATGGGTCATGTTCTCCCATTCACGGTCACGTTGGAGTCCTGAAACATCAACCATTACAAATGGATATCCATATCTTTATAAAATTGTAATTTATAAAATATTTGAATAAATACTTACATTACTTTATATTCTTTATATCCATTGACTTGTGTTGGCTTATAACCGGGGTTTCGTGTAAGATACCACTTGATGACACGACGAAGTACCTGGACCTTCTCATTTGGACCAATTCAAGTAATGGACTGACTGTCGAAGATCAACATCTACTGGACCATGTCTCCGATCATCACTTAGGATTAGGGTCGCATTAGACAAATTCCAAGGGGTGGGGAGCTCGTCTCGTCCATGGATGGACGTTATTGAAGTTTTTTCTTGGCCTTTGTCCTCGTTCTTCTTGTCCGAATCTTGTTGAATGACTTCTCGAGGTGTTCTGTGCTTTTTTCCAGGTGGACGTGATTTCTCGTCGTTATGGCTCGTCGAATTTACGGTTTCGTGCCGCGTGGACTTTTTCAGAGACTTTACACACCGGCTAAAACGCCGTGTTCATCATCTTCGCTTAATCTTAACATCAAAAACCCAGCAAACCGACTTACCGACTTGACCAACATCAAAACTCAGCATCATTCCATTGGATTGTTTGGAGTTACCACCTTCAAAAGACTTCAAACCGTTCCCAAAGAAAAGGGGAAGGATCACCGACCACCCAAACATTCCATTCCATCAACATTCACCATCAAATTTGTTTTTACATCAGGACTCCAATTCCACCGAAATCTTCGCAATGTTTGCCTCGATTTTTGGAGTAACGAGCCTCAGCAATGATTTCCTTGGCCTGAAGATTATTCATGACATCAATGTCGTCTTGGAAATTATCGAACAATCAATGGATATCTGGAATGAGGCATTAAAAAGACGGATACAAGGAAAAAGCCGAAATTACAAAAACTTTTAGACGTTTTCGTCCACTTGACCCCGACACTTACCTTACTTTAGCTCAATTCGAACATCCAAGCGCCAAGCTGACCATTTCATCATCATGAATCCAATCCATTACCCGTTTTCCATGATCTTCACGTCAACATCGCCACAAATCATCCAAAGGTTGTCCATCCGCACCTAATCTTCTTCCATCGAGGAGCAATCATCATTTTGCTCCGGATCAGCGCCATCAATTTGCTCTTATCTCATTTTCTGGGGTCCTTTTGAAGGTTCTCCTTGTTCCACGTTGTCGTTTGATCCGATCTTCGGTTCATTCAGTGTTCTGCAGCTTTCGAGCTGCTCTGCTGTCGATTTCCTGATCACCACTATAAATACGTCTTCCGGTCGCCATCAACATAAAAAATCAGCTTGAGTTTCTTGTGGTTTATACGGTTTTCGTCGCTGCACTTTAATCTGGATGGAATTTCGACATCATTGGACTGTTTTCTGGACAAATGGACAATTCTTCACAGGACTTTGAGTGAAATATGGAATTCTCGGTCACCGTGGCCTTCAGAATCAAAATTATGGATCTCCAGCATCAGGATCTGCACCTAAAAACAAAAAATTACATAGGGAAAATAGAGAGAATAGGCTATGTTAGGGCCCTTAGCGATGGAGTTACCAGTTTTAACCATATTTTTTTAAATTTTCGTCTAATTTTGGTAATTTCAGTGTCTCCAAACAACGTCGGCCAGGGTTCCGGCCCACGCTCGTGCCCTCCATCCGAGCGCCAAGCCCATTCCGCGCAGGCTGAACAACTGCCGGCGGTAATGGCCCCTCCTCTGGTTGGCCAGCACCCAACCGGCGTCCCAGAGGAGGGTAAAGAGGGGCCAAGCAGTACCACTGGCCCCTCGGGCTTCGGCCCAGAACCTACCCCAACCGACCAGGCCGACCACCTGCCGGCGGTTGAGGGCTCGATGGCTTCGGTGGACCTCTTGGACTTCTCGAGTACATCGAGATTCGACAACAGCAGCCCCACTACGAGTGAAGAGAAATCGACACTCCACGACGTCCCATCGATAATGTCCCTTGAAGCCTTCGATGAGGGAGCCTGTGAAGAACCATTGGCGGATCAAAACGCCCGTATTAGATGGCAAAGAGACTTCTGGAAGCAGCAGTGCCGCATAATTTGGGAGCGGCAGGCCACATTGGAAAGAAAAGTTGAATTCTACCAAGAAGCCCTGAAAGAGGCGGAAGTTGAGGCCAAGAAGGCCAAAGAAGCCGCCTCCGCCGCCATCAAAAAGGCCGAAGAAGAAAGGGCACTGAAGGAAGAGGCAGAGAAAGAAGTCTCCGAATTGCAAGCCCGCCATCGGCAACACCTTCGGACAGCCGTCGCCGATGACCGGCCACCAAGGGCCGAAAGATCGAGATCCAGAAGCCCGCTGATGACGCTGAGGACAGCGTGGTCAATAACGCCGACAACAGCAGAGATTCTAAGGATCGACGTCACCCAGCCCCCAGCGACCCAACACCCGCCGCCACCCGCAGATCAGGGATATGAGGTCCAAGAACAAAATCACGAGGCTCCTGGGCCTCTACGAAGAATGCCAAAGTGCAAACGGCGATGTTGCTACCAGCCCTCAGCCGATCCTCAACGGCCTCGGCCCCCCCGAAGGTCGAGGGAACTTCAAGGACTTGGCCCAGTGCTTGAAGAAGAGGACAATGGCCCAGAAGAACACCAACGTCCACGAAGGGAACGAAGACCTCCTTCACGGCTCATCGTGGACATGTCGAGCCGATCGTATCGGAGTTCACAGGAGCCCAGGTTACCTCGTAAGTCAATTTTTTCGATATCTTCACCATTTTTACCCAAAACGCCCTTCAAAAATTATCAATTTCGCATTTTTTCAAACGCTATATTTACTATCGCAATCCTAATCAATAACATCAAGATTTTTTCAGGTCGAAGGGCAGTAAATCCCTATTAAGTGGTCAAAAACCCAACTCGGCGCAGTCATTCATGCCTAATAACGATGCCTAATAACGTAAGTTTTTCGCAGCGTCCCCCCAATAATTCTAATTTTTTAGCAATTTGCCCAATTCAAACTTACGACAAGCAACCACGAGATTCAGGGGTCGACCAAATGCAATCAAACCTTAGTTCGACCGGCTGGAACGAGAAAAATGTAAGTTTTTTGCAAAACTTTTTTTGCGAGCTGCGCCCGATATAAGAACAATTGCTTTTTGTTATACACTGTTGGATTTTGGGGGCATATTGTAGAAGAAAATGGTAGAATTCGCTGTAAAATGACGTAAAAACCGCTAAACACCCTCTCTCTTTTTTGCCGCCGGCTTCGTAAGATTTTGTTGTGGGGGACTTTTGGACCTTGATTTAGCCTGACGCGATATAATTTCATTATATTTTCAGATTAAGACCGGTCTAAAGGGAAGAGAAGCACCCTAGCCCCCCGAATGAGCCCGGGGGGCCTTTGGAAGAAATACAGGGTGCCATCTTCCCCTTGTTTTGGTCAATTTTCGGCTGAAATCAGGTAATTTTTCGTGTTGAATTTATATTTTTCATTTTACTTTTTGCAGATCTCGTTCAAACGAACTTGACCTGGGAAGGAGAGAGCACCCTCGCCCCCTGACTGAGCCCGGGGGGCTTCTGGACCAAAAAAGGGTGCTCTCACGATGTTAGTGGTCGAACCGAAGCACCCCGGCCCCCCACTTCATCCGGGGGGCCTTCTGGAAAAACAAAAGGGTGCTCGGCAAGACCAAATAAAGTAAGCTTTTGTTGTGGGGGACTTTTGGACCTTGATTTAGCCTGACGCGATATAATTTCATTATATTTTCAGATTAAGACCGGTCTAAAGGGAAGAGAAGCACCCTAGCCCCCGAATGAGCCCGGGGGGCCTTTGGAAGAAATACAGGGTGCCATCTTCCCCTTGTTTTGGTCAATTTTCGGCTGAAATCAGGTAATTTTTCGTGTTGAATTTATATTTTTCATTTTACTTTTTGCAGATCTCGTTCAAACGAACTTGACCTGGGAAGGAGAGAGCACCCTCGCCCCCTGACTGAGCCCGGGGGGCTTCTGGACCAAAAAAGGGTGCTCTCACGATGTTAGTGGTCGAACCGAAGCACCCCGGCCCCCCACTTCATCCGGGGGGCCTTCTGGAAAAACAAAAGGGTGCTCGGCAAGACCAAATAAAGTAAGCTTTTGTTGTGGGGGACTTTTGGACCTTGATTTAGCCTGACGCGATATAATTTCATTATATTTTCAGATTAAGACCGGTCTAAAGGGAAGAGAAGCACCCTAGCCCCCCGAATGAGCCCGGGGGGCCTTTGGAAGAAATACAGGGTGCCATCTTCCCCTTGTTTTGGTAAATTTTCGGCTGAAATCAGGTAATTTTTCGTGTTGAATTTATATTTTTCATTTTACTTTTTGCAGATCTCGTTCAAACGAACTTGACCTCGGAAGGAGAGAGCACCCTCGCCCCCTGACTGAGCCCGGGGGGCTTCTGGACCGAAAAAGGGTGCTCTCACGATGTTAGTGGTCGAACCGAAGCACCCCGGCCCCCCACTTCATCCGGGGGGCCTTCTGGAAAATCACGGGTGCTCGGCAAGGCCAAATAAAGTAAGATTTTGTTATTTTGGACCTTGATTTAGCCTGAAGTAATACAATCTAATTCTATTTTCAGATGGAGATCAGTCCGAACCGAAGTGGGCACCCTCGCCCCCTGAATCAGCCCGGGGGGCCTTTGGAATTAAAAGGGTGCCCCACCCTTTATGGTCAACTTTGTGGATTTGGGACTAAAATATGGTAAGTTATCGTGTTGAAATTATATTTTTACCTTTATTTTTTCAGAATCCCCTCAGTCAAGACGAACTGCGGGAAAGGAGGAGCACCCTCGCCCCCTGAGTGAGCTCGGGGGGCCTCTGGAATTAAAAGGGTGCTCTGTCCTAGTCCTAAATGAGCTCAATTGCGCTTGGATCAATCCTAGAGCACTTCGGACCGAAATGGAGGTATGCTTGATTTTTTTACTTAATGGTTTTGCTATTGTTTTTATATTTCTTTGTCAATGAGAGCTCGCTATTGATGCGTATGTCATCTCCAACTTTTTTAGAATTACGCCAAAATGGTCTCCATTTTGGCCTGCTCGACTTTGATGAGCCCACGAGCAGGAAATGAGGTAAGTAGTGTTGTTATATATTGTTTGGTGATTAGAGCATTTTTAATAGAATTTTGTACGATGTTGTAGACATCTGTTCATTTAACTTGTCTTGCCTAAAACCTGCACTTTTCGATCAAATTTCTACGTGGTGTTTTGTGTTTAACTTACATTCTTCATGGGTTTTAAAAAATGTAAATATTTTGTGCGATGTTATAGTAGACACCAACTGTTTTTGCATCTTGATTTAGTCAAAACATGGGAACATTTGGCTGATACTATTTACCCGCGCTCAAAAATTGTCAGGACTTTTTGAGCGCGATATTTTGTCGTAGCCATTTCCAAAAATGCAGAAATCTGTTTTTCGACCGCCCTTATTTTTTCCTTGTCTCTTTGGCGGACATTTTTATTCGTTCCTTTTTCAGACTCTTGCGTTAACATGAGCTGGTGCCCGATTGGACACATCCCTTTATCATGGACACATCTATGCTCAAAGCCAAGTGGACAAAGATTTAAAAGAAAAAGAAAAGCCAAAAATAGAAAAGGCAAAAAAAAGAAAAAAAGGAAAAAAAGAAAAAAAAATGCAAAAAAAAAAGAAAAAAGAAGAAAATAAGGAATAAGAAGAAAAAAATAAAAATTAAAAAAAAAAGAATGAGAAAAAAAAGAATGAGAAAAAATAGAAAAATTTGTATTAATTAAAGCCTAAAAAATAAGAAGGCAAAAACTACAAAAAAATATTATTTACTCTACGTCGTCGCATAACAAACCAGCAGAACTCGACACTTTGGATCGACATGGAATTCAAAAAACTCCATGGTCAATACGAAGCATGAATATAACATGTAAGTTTTGGTTATACTCCCGGAGAATCTCCTATTTATCTCCGGCGGAGATAAATACTCTGTTACACCACTTTTCCAAAAATAGGTGGACAAAACTCTCTGATCTAACTAGTGTTTTCCCGGCCACCTTGAGTGTCGCTTAGGAATAGCCAATCTCTAAATAATTGATCATAACCGCAGGCGTTTTTATTAAATCTGGCTGAAAATTCCCTACAATTCTCTTTGATCCATGGTGAAGAATGTAGGATAACAGGCTCCACCAATTTTTTCTTTTCTAATTACAAAATTGTTAGAAATTTGCCAAACGAGCCTCGAGTTTTGGTGTAGTTTCACCTCGAAGTTGCAAGAGCCCGGTTCAACACTAACATAAATTTATTCTGCATTGTGTAGAACTTAACCGTGTTTCATTTCGGCCAGTTGGGACAAGTTTTGAAGAAGTTACAAACCGCTAAAGCCTGACAGACTGGTGAATTTGACACTGATTTGCACATGCTTGATGAAAATCCTGATATCCGTCTCTATAATTATGCATCGATCATATGCGTCCAATTGCATAACGCGGTGCGCTTTTTATCTTTTTAGCCCACCTCTAGAAGTAGTTTACTAACACAACCGTGTAATGCGCGGAATTGACAACCCTTTGCGATATATGTTACTATTCCCCGATTTTTTGCCATAAATATATGCGTCTGTGTCTGTGCTATGCGGTATTAGCAGTTTTAGCCCCCTAGCAAACATTCGTCGGCAGTTGCAAATAATTTAGCTAACAAAATTATATTGAAGTACCCAAGTGCGACGCTCAGATTTTTATGAAACAAATTTAGAATATTTTTTTCTAAGATATATGCGAGGATCCTAGCTCGCGCTTTGCAGAAACAACCGAGATTTTTAGATCGAAAGTCGGCGAAAATTTAGGACTTTTTGCCGAATTTCGGCACGAAAAGTTTCATGCCTATTTCTACCGTAAAGGATAATTTTTCTACAAAAAATCAAATTTTTCCGCACGAAACTGTAAGTGGTCAGAAAGTTTTGTCCACCATTCTTTTGAAAATTCGAAAAAACTGCCTGTGTGGAATGTAGAGGACTTTCAACATGTTTTTATAATATTAGTATTCGTGTTCGACGTAATCTTTATTTATTTTTTATTTTTCAGACATTTTTGATCACCAAGACCTATTATTTGCACCCCATTTGGAAGTTCCTTCAAGATCCAACTCCAATTGATTGGAAAAAGAACATGAAAAAAGCCAAAAAAAAATAGAAATGGCAAAAAAAAGAAAAAAAAGATAAAAAAAGAAAAAAAAAGAAAAAAAATAAAAAAAAAGTAAAAAATTAAAAAAAGATAAAAAATAAAAAAAGAAAAAAAAGTAAAAAATAAAAAAAAGTAAAAAAAAGTTTTTTTAATTGCCCCTGTTCTCTTGTATTTAATTTATCGCCATTTTTTTTCTATGTAAGTTATCGTTTTATACCTGTTTTAGCCTGGTTTTATTCTCAAATTATATGATCTATATTTTCAGAAAATAACCCCGGAAAGCAATGGATCCTTCGAAAACTACCCAATTCAACAACATCACTCCCTACATCGGCCCAGGACGGCACCTACATGGCCGAAACCCTAACCAACGACTTAGACTACATGGAATGTAAGTTTTGATGGTTTTTTGGTAGTTGAGGAAATTAGGGAATTCTTCAGATTGTTGTCAATGTTTTTTTGGTGGTTCTTCAATTTATTTATTTTCAGATATTCGGTCCAAGACCTCTTCACTGCTATTCGGATGTAAAATAAAAAATTTAAAAAAAGAAAAAAAAGAAAAAAAAGATAAAAAATAAAAAAAGAAAAAAAGTAAAAAATAAAAAAAGAAAAAAAAAATAAAAAAAATAAATAAAAAAGTTTTTTTAATTGCCCCTGTTCTCTTGTATATAATTTATCGCAATTTTTTACTATGTAAGTTACCGTTTTATCCCTGTTTTAGCCTGGTTTTATTCTCAAATTATATGATCTATATTTTCAGAAAATAACCCCGGAAAGCAATGGATCCTTCGAAACCTACACCAATTCAACAACATCACTCCCTACATCGGCCCAGGACGGCACCTACATGGCCGAAACCCTAACCAACGACTTAGACTACATGGAATGTAAGTTTTGATGGTTTTTTGGTAGTTGAGGAAATTAGGGAATTCTTCAGATTGTTGTCACTTGTTTTTTTGGTGGTTCTACAATTTATTTTTTTATTTTCAGATATTCGCTCCAAGAGTTCTTCACTGCTATTCGGATGTAAAATAAAAACTTTAAAAAAAGAAAAAAAAGATAAAAAAAAAAAAGATAAAAAAATAAAAAAAAGAAAAAAGATAAAAAATAAAAAAAAGAAAAAAGATAAAAAATAAAAAAAAGAGAAAAGATAAAAAAAGATAAAAAAGAAAAAAATAAAAATTTTTAAGTCACCCCTAAAATTTCTCTCCTAAATTTTATTCCCCTATCGTTTACCACCTATTTTTAAACATGTAAGTTTCCATTTCATCCTTCATTTTACCCTGGATTTTTCTTAATTTATCTGATCTATATTTTCAGAGACCTAGCTCTAAAATCTATGGACGACATCTTCGGAACACATTCCCCGGCCCAGCTACTTTCAATATATGTAAGCTGTTGTTTCATCCCATTTTCCCCGCCCGTCCTCCCCTCCCACTCGCTCCGCACCCCTCCTCCATTCCATTCCCACCACACTCCTCCCCCATCCCACTCTCTCTTCCGAATGTAAGTTTCGTGGTTTATTGGTAGGTTGTCAATTTTTTTGAGGGTTCTTCAATTTATTCTTTTAATTTGCAGACCTCCAGACCCCAAGCAAACGGATGTTAAAAAAAGAAAAAAATGTTGAAAAAAAAGAAAAAAAGACAAAAAATAAAAAAAAAAAGAAAAAAATGTTAAGAAAAAAATGATCAAAAAAAAGAAAAAAAAATTGATAAGAAAAAAAAGAAAAAAAATGATAAGAAAAAAAAAAGAAAAAAAAGGAAAAAAAGAAAAAGTCACAGCACTATCATCCCTCTCCCACTCCCTCCCCTTCCCCCAATCATCAAAGCCTGCTTTGGTGATTAAAGTAAGTTGCTTTTTCCCAATTGTAGGCCTTTATTTCTTGCCATAAGTCCAGGTACTTCCCATTCTATTTTTAATATTATTTATTTTCATGGAAAGCATCCGTTCCTTGGAACCCTGGAGAAGTTGGGAAAAATGAATGCAATCCTGGATGTCTGCACCGCGGAAAGATAAGAAAGGTATGTCCATTGGGAGTGATAAACTGGGGAATAATAGCTAGGTACTAATAAGTGTAAGCGTCTACTAGGCCGTTCGTAAAGTCGCTGGAATGTTTTCGGCGACATGCACTCCGCGAAACCGAAAGTTCAGTTTGCACTGTGCAATTTTTGGCTTTTTGCACAGTGCAATAGGCTTTTTGGGGCTGTCGCTCGCACCCTGACTTTTTTCGCATAGTGCACGTCCCCGAAATCATTCCAGCGACTTTACGAACGAACTGATATTGATCTAGTTGTATGTTTTTTAGTTATTAAAGATTCTTGTATATTATTTCGCATAGTTTGGGCGTTATCTTTCATCCCTACCTAAAACCAGCATGAAGTTTGGACATGAAGAAAAGGTCTAAAAGAGAAGGAGCAACCTCTCCAATTACGTTTTTATAGGCATTAGAGACCAATATTACGCCAAACAATCTAATCCAGGCCGAAAATTCGGCAAATCTCAACTAAAATCTTCAAAAGTACCTAGTATAATAAAAAATCTCTAATAACTAAAAAAGTACAACCAGATTGACAGTTGCTTACCTTTTTTGACAGGTGGCGTACGGACGAAGGTGAAATGGAGGCGGTATTCCAAATCCGACTACAAACTGCCTCAAAATTGATCATTAGGTATAGAATAACTGGTAAAACTTCCGCAAATTGCCCCACTCTCGAAAAACACGTTAGCAGCATGCGCCCAGGCAATTCCGTTTGCAGGGACCACAGTCCCGGCAAATTGCGCCCAATGAATAATAAAACAAAGATGCTGGAGTTGCGCAAGGGGTGGTCAGCGGGCCGTTTTTTTCCGATTACCGGCCCATTCCTAGTTTTTGCCATTCATCATGTCGTCATGACGGTATTGGGGTATTTTTTTGTCGTTCATGAGATGTTTAACTTTCCTGCTTAATTTCTCACGTTTAAATACATCTTCCTTTCAGAATGACCTTCTGAGTTTGCTTATGGTCGACGAGGAACCTGTAGTGATCGGAAGCGAAGAAAAAGATAGCCCAAGAGCAAGACAGCGAAGAAACGAGCCCTGGATTCCATGTAACAACGTCCGGCTTCTTTGAGGAATCGCAGTATTTTGGAGGTAAGCGGATCTTTGTTGGTAAAGAGGGACTTTGGTTGATTTAGGGCTTGAAATCCGCTTGAATGTGGATTTGAAACATGTAGGTCGCTAAATTCGTCGTCATGACGGCTTTTAGAATACGACGCGTAGGAATGGTCGTTTCCTTGTGAAGTTTTTGTCGCTCTGTTGTTATTTTTAATTGCTCTGGAGGGTAAAAGTTGATATAACGTGCTTTATGCTTTATCAAGCGTCTGATATAGTGGTGTTGGACTTGTTTACGAAAGCTTTTATTGAGTTTTACATTGTTCATAAGACAGTCCAGTTCCGTCTTCAAATTTTTAGATTTGTATTATACAGGGTGTTTCAAGAAATTTGGAACAAATGACTTGCTTATATCTTTGTGTTCTTTGCAGCTATCAACGAATTTCTTTTTGCTTCTAAAAATTGACAGCGTGCGTTTTTAGAATCTTAAAAAAAATTTTTTTTTGTCGGCGGAGGGCCCATTTCTCGGCGTAGAAAATTAGGGCCTTTTTTAAAAATCACAGCGTATTACGTGGCGGAAACGCCGTTGCAACGGCTGAAATCAAGTTTACGTTACACCTCCTTCGATTTTACGGTATGCATTTTTTTGTTTTCGATTTTACGCGCACCGCGAAGGCGCGGCGGAGACTTCAGATTTCGGCGGACGTTGTTTTGGGCCCTCGGCTGCTGCAATTCATGTTGGAAAAGAGGTTGGGGTGATTTTTTGTTGTCATCCGATGCACAGATGGCAAAAATTTCGTGCTTTTTTTCCCCGGCGGAGGATTCGGCGGAGGCTTTATCAAAGGGTCAAAGCTGTCTTACGAGTCCGGGAAAAATCTCAGCTACAAGAATCCATCAGAGCAGCATTGTCTTTCAAAGATTTTTGATTTTTTTGGTCCGGCGGACAAATCGGCGGAGTTTTGTTTTTACCCTTTGATAAAGCCTCCGCCGACTCCTCCGCCGGGGATAAAAAGCACGAAATTTTTGCCATCTGTGCATCGGATGACAACAAAAAATCACCCCAACCTCTTTTCCAACATGAATTGCAGCAGCCGAGGGCCCAAAACAACGTCCGCCGAAATCTGAAGTCTCCGCCGCGCCTTCGCGGTGCGCGTAAAATCGAAAACAAAAAAATGCATACCGTAAAATCGAAGGAGGTGTAACGTAAACTTGATTTCAGCCGTTGCAACGGCGTTTCCGCCACGTAATACGCTGTGATTTTTAAAAAAGGCCCTAATTTTCTACGCCGAGAAATGGGCCCTCCGCCGACAAAAAAAAATTTTTTTTAAGATTCTAAAAACGCACGCTGTCAATTTTTAGAAGCAAAAAGAAATTCGTTGATAGCTGCAAAGAACAAAAAGATATAAGCAAGTCATTTGTTCCAAATTTCTTGAAACACCCTGTAATAGCATTGTTTCCAGGGTGTCCGGAAAGTTTCTGTACGAAAGACGATTCATCAATAGACGGAAGTGAGAAGGAAGAGATTTGAATATCTGGATTTCAAGGACACCCATCACCGATTAGGCTGCACAGTGCAAGGAAACTAAAAAGTAAGTGGGTTATGGGTTATAAACCTGGTTTTAATTCCTCAGGTGTTTTATAGGACTATTTCGATCAGGGATCAGGCAATTTAGTATTGAATTATGGCGTCGTGGAATTTTCTTACCCTTTTGTTTGATCCATGACATCAGGTATCTGTTGGGTTGACGTTTCGGTGTCTGATGTAAAATAAATGGGATAAAGTAAATGTAAATACGATAAAAGAGGTGTTGCACTAATTTTGGTTGATCTTAGGCACTGTGATGACATTTTTTCGAGATTTCTGTATTGCTCGTGAGATATTGACCTTATTTTTGAGTTGTTGGCCTTTCAATCTCTTTTTTCTTCCAGGTTCCTTCAAGTCCCGCTAGATTCGACCAGTCCAGGCAGCTTCCCAGCCAAGAAGAAGGATCTACAAATTGAATTTGATCTATTTGTTGTTGTTTTATTTATTGTTTTGTTTGCTTTGAAAGGGGAAGGGGAAATGGGAGAATGGGGTGAAGAAGGTAGGTGATCAGAGTTGGTTCGAATGATTCAATAGGCAAATTTATGTCCAATTTTTACTCGGCCCCGTACAGAGCATATATTGTATCTTTATATTGATGGTTTAGTCTGAAAGTGAGGGTACCCTGAATATCTTTAGGTTTAGGCTGGGAAAAACGTTGAATTATGCATGGGTTATCACGGGTTTATCGACCGAATAGGGTGTATACTTGTGGTGGGGATAGCTGCAAGGGCCGTTGGATTAGCGCTGTTTATCTTGTGTCCGGCCGTAAAAGCGCCATTTATATCGGTATCGTGTTGTTTGAATTATGTATCGAAGCCGAAAATGGCGGTCGGAAGTGCTTTGGTTGTAGAATTTATGGCGAATTTTTGTGCGGGCGTACAGTTTTGCTCCCGAAAGTGCGTAGACTTTTTTCGACCTTTTTTGCGCTGTGCAATGCAATTTTATCAAAAATTTTCGATCCTTTTCGAAACTTTACGCACTGTACAACAAACAGTCGACGCACTTTCTGGAACGACTGGGAAAGGGGGTATTTCGTAGCTTACCATTGTCAAGTTAGCTGAAAGTGAGGGTACCCTGGGGTTTTCAACCAAATTAGTTATACTAGGAGGGCGCTGGGCCTTCTCTACCTAGGAGATTGATAATTTATAAGGGTAGGGTGTATACTTAGGGTGGGAATAGTAGCGCCATCAAGGATGGTTGGGTTAATGTGGGTTTTTATTCGTTGTTCGGCCGTAAAAGCGCCATTTCTGTCGCCATTGTATCGTTTGAATTGTGTATCGAAGCCGAAAATGGCAGATTCATCAGCGAAAACAGGGATTGAGTGAGTCCCGGACGCACAGCCAAGCTGCCACTGGTCGACGAGTTCCTGTGATTCCCTGGCCATGTCTGCGACTTCCAGCGTCGCAAGAGCGGTTCTCTTCATTCTTGTTCTCCTTACTCTGGTCGCTGCGGATCCATCGCAAATTGGGCAACGGGGCGCTTTGTGGCCCTTCTCACCGTTAGTGGAAGGAAGAGCTCTACCTTCTGGTTGGAACCAGGTTTTGTACTAGTCGTTTCAGAAAGTGTGTAGGCATGTTTTCGCACCGTGCAATTGTTGTCGCGCGCCCAAAATGCGCGGCGACGTAGTTGAAAAAAGCTTACGTCGGTGCGACTTTTGAACTTCACGGTGCAAAAAGGCAAGACACAGTGCGTAAAATTTGCAGCGGTCCACGCCCTTTCTGGAACGAGTAGTAGAACACACACCCACAATAGCGTTTTGTCCCCAAACCGGTTCTGTCCCCAGGACGGTTTTGTCCCCACCTTTTTATTTTTATGTCCCCACACCGGTTTTGTCCCCAAGCTGGTTGTGGCTGGGCACATTGTGTGTCAATTGGCGTTGGTACAAAGCGCAGAGTAATTGAGGTACTACATATTAAAACTAAATGCTATGTAGTACAACTAAAAATTATGCATTCAGATGTTTATTCTGTTGGTTTGGTGCAGAGTACTGCTCAAACAACATGCTTTTAGCGCTTGGTACTGTATAGTATGAGGTGTTACTGTTATATAGCATTAGGTAAAAATTAAGATGTAACGCGTGAATGCCGTTGTTTCGGTATGCAGTACTGATCAGAAGTTCATTTTGTGCAAAAACAAATTCTTGCTATATAGTACCAAGCGCTAAAACACGTTTTTGAGAAGTACTAGGCTGGGGACAAAACCGGGCCCAATCCCGCTCTCTTTATTTTACGTACTCTCTCGTCGAAAAGATTTTTCAACAACCCTGTCCCTGAACATCGTAAGATACGGTTTCAAGAACTGATACTTGGTCCAAAAAGGTGTCGAAAACTTCTATTCTTCAGATCATCCCTTCAAAAGCTCCCTTCTCGTTTTCATTCACATCCATGGCTAAAATTGTTTGGTCAGCAAACCCTTCAATCATCGTTGTACTGAAAATACAATAAATATCCATTTTCGGCCATATTATGACGATTATCCCGTCATATTATGGCTTTATGGCGAGAATCTTCTTTTATGAATTCCGGGAAGACAAAAATAAAAGAACCCGTTCCCAGACATATTTACATTTGCAGTCGTCTCTTCAAAGTAGCGGAATTAGATTTGGTTCCGCAAAAGCTCAGGAGTAAAGGCCATAAAAATTTGAGGATTGAGGAAGTTATTGGAAGAACCTAAGTGGAAGAACCTAAGATCTTTAAATTTTTTTTTTGGGATTTCCGTTGCATCTGACAATGAGAAATATTTTCTTCATTTTCTGTGTTACTTTTACTCCGATTTTTATGAAATTTTGCATGTGTAAAGCTCCGGCCTTAGAAGTCATTTTCGGAGAATTTTAGACGGCGTTTTGCAGAAGCAACCGAAATATAGACACCTTAATTTTAAAATACCCCGACTTTTTATCCTTCCAATTTTTGAATTTTTCGTCTAGAATGTAAACCAATATCGCTCTTTGAATGGTGTAAAGTCATCATCAATTTCTTCGTGCTCAAAATTTAATTCTTTAGACACAAAGGTAATGTCGGCCGAACCGTTCAACTTGTATGTATAAAATAGCTGATTGCTCAATTTCCCAAGGCAATATCCTTTACCTTTCCTAAGCAACATTACCAATGACGTTGGCAAGGCGCCTCCTTCCCTTTTTTGAACTTTTTGCCATACATTTCAAGCGCGGCAAAAACATTTTTTCGGCCGCTCCTTATCCACACTCCAGATTGCAAAAACGGGGCCGCAAAAGGTAAACCGACGTGAAGGCGGTGTTTAAACCTTTTTATTTTGGAACAGCTGGGCCCTCCGGTGCCTGGAAGGAAGCGCTTTTTCTGGGACTCGCCTCAGGGCAAACATTTCAAACGACACATTCGGAAGAGAAATTAGACGTGCCGAAGGGACGGGGGGCCGAAACGAAGAAAGAGATGGGATTTACTCAGGCCTTTATTTAATAGAACCCTTTTATGGGAGGGCTTTGTTTCCAAGGGGCAACTTGTGCAGGGCTCACAATCTTCAAGATTTGGCCGTTTTTCGGCGAAAAATAGCGAAAAACGGCCGAACATCGGAAGGTCTCAAGTAGTTGAGGGGTTCTAAAATAATCATAGTTGTTGATAACGCTGTAACCTCCTGTTTTTGACAATGGAAAACTCGGATTTTACAGTAAGTTTTCGAAAACACTCAAATTTTCCGTTATTTTTGAAAAAGAACGCACGAAAATCGCAAAATTTGGAGCCTTAGGGGTGTCAAAATTAACTGTAGCTATAGGTAAGACCATGGTCTATTATTTTTATAACAAAAGCGCTCGTATTTTAAAGTAATTTTTCCAAAAATCTCGAAATTTCAGGATTTTTTTCAAATTTTTAAAAATTAAAAAAATATTTTTTTTTTTGTTATTTTAGGCTAATTTTGATATCATGATTAAATATTTTTCCTACTAAAAATTTCTATTTTCCGTTTCAAGCCCTTTATTTCCAAAATCTCATTTTGAAAGCCGTATTTTACATTTACCCCATCACTTCGTATCTTCCCTCCTCAAGCCTTATATGGTTGTTTTTCACTCGGGTTTTGGCGCACTTTGTCGTTCTCCGTTTCCGCTTCTTTCACTTCTCTTAACTTGGTCATTGACTGAAGCGGAAATGTCAAAAGCCTTCGACCTTTTCCCTATCCTTCAATGGGACACGACTTTAGGCCCGAAAACAACGAGAATTAGGCTGACGAGAGCTTCAAGGACCCTTATTTGGGTTTAAAATTGCATGGTAGTTTTGGGAGGACGATGATTTTGTGGTTTTTAGAGATTTTTTTTGAATTGTTAGCCAAGGTTATGAGAAATGTTTGATTTTTGAGTTTAAAATTTTTAAAAAGGATAATGAAAATTGGCAAAAATTTAGAGTAAAATTTGATAAGCCATTTTTGAAATATTTAGTTTGTGGATTGCAGAAACTATCGAGATTTTTAAGCCCAAAGGTGATAGAAAAAAATTATTTTTTTTGAAATTTTTAAATTGAAAAATTGTCATTCACTTTCGCATGTCGTGAACATAATTTCCACAAAAAATTAGCTTTTTCCCAAAGCTTGCAACGGAAGAAAAAGAATTTTTCTACGACCGTCTCTCCTCCTTCTCCGTACTCTCTCGTCTACAGCGATCGTTGAATATCCCCGCTGGCGATGTAAACAAAGCTCTAAGACTCCCAAAAATTAATTTGTGGCCTAGAAGAAATGCTTACGCTATATTTTAGAATAATTTGAACATCTTGCCTGAGGCAACTGGCATCAAAACAAATCAAAATTTAGGCCCCTTTACCTCATTTTGAGTAGATTTTGCTATGTTATGCATTATTTTTCCTTTCCACAGCGCTTTTAATCTTGTTATTTACGGATTTAGAAGCTCCCCGAGCGAATCCGATAATTCCTTTATACGTGTGTACACTTATTTTGCCCAGTGTAATATTTACACTTTCAGTTGTAATATTACGTTTTTTTCAAAAAACCTGATTTTAGATTCCATGGAGCCGCCATGGAGAATATTACATCGAAATTCAACATTTCCCCGCTCTTTTGGCTCAAAATTTATATTATCCTTGTTGTTACTTGTTAATTTATTCAATTTTGTTGAATCTGCCGCCAAAAATAAGAAACTCGGATGGTGAGTAATCGTATTTTAGGATGTAAATTTAATTGTTTTATTGAAAATATCGTTTTGAAATGTAAAATACGGTTTATTTTCAGCAAAAGGACAGCGTTTAATCGTCGGACCACCAATTATTTGGCCTGGAAAGAGCAGATGACGGCCTGTGAATTGTTAGAGAACTACGATCCGGCTGTCAGACCCTTTGGCACTGTGCCGCATATGGAGAAAAGTAAGAATTTATCAAAAAATCAATAAAAAAAGCACCGTGAAAAAAAGATTTTATTTTGCACTGTGCGATTTCCAAAAATTACAAATGCAAAAAATTCTTTTCCTTTTTTGTCGCATTTGCACAGTGCTTTTTTCAAAGTTTCTTTTTGCACTGTGCAAAAAATCCTTTTCTTGCCGCACAGTGCAGTCCAAGTTCCCTTTCATTTTTTGCCCCGCACAGTGCAAAAATTTTCTCATTTTTGCACTGTGCAAAAAAGTTTTTGCTTGCCGCACAGTGCAGCCCGAGCCCAATAATCTTTTCATTTCTTCCTTTGCACTGTGCAAAAATTTTTCCAAATTTTCTTTGCACAGTGCAGTTTCAATTTCTATGATTTTTTATTCGCACTGTGCAGAAAAATAAAAAAGTTATTTTCTTGTTGGCTCAAAAGATCTATATAAAATAAATGTTTGATTTTTAGATGGACCAGTGGTAGTTGCGACAGGCATCAACATTCGGTCGATAAGCGCTGTAAATGTCCGAAATATGGTGAGTTTTTGTTTCATTTCTTCAATATTTTTCTATTTTTAGGAGTACGTGGTCCAATTTCGCTTCCAACAGCGATGGTATGACGAGAGGCTGAGATTCGATCAACGTCATGAGTTCCGGAATCTGGAAGTCATCAATTTTGCGCAAGACCAACAGCCTTGGATCCCTGACACTTTCTTTCAGAACGAGAGAAACGGGTGGTATCACATGTTGGATCAGGTGGGTAAAATACGAAATGTTTTCAAATAAAAGCCAATTCTTGCTTTTTCACACTAACTTTGTAAATTTTTTTTTTCAATTGTTGAATTTTTCAAAACAAATCTACTTCTTTACCACCGTATTTTACTCTGTTTTTTTAGGAGAATCGTTTCGTAAAGATCCGAAAGGATGGTCTAGTAACATACGATCGTCGTCTCACATTGACCTTGTCTTGTGATATGAATTTAATCCGATATCCCATGGACACTCAGGAATGCTTTATTGGTATGTTCAGACTTAAAACTATACTATGATGATATTTCCAATACTTTTTCAGATTTTGCCAGTTATGCCTATACCACCAAGGACATCATTTACGACTGGAGTGAGATTGGAATCACTCTTTCTCCGACGGCAAATGGAGCGCTGCCTAATTTTGAGATTGTTAAGGTCAAAAATGCAACTTGTGATAGTGTGACTAACACTGGTAAGTGGTTTTTTTTACTTTTTTTATACTTAAAAGCCCTGAAAAAACTCTTAACTCAATACTGCACCGTGCAATTTTTGTTCTTTCCATTGCACAGTGCAGTCCCATATTTTCGCACGGTGCGATTTCTCTTTTTGCGATTTTATGCACCGTGCAAAAAAACGTTTTTGTCGCACAGTGCAATCGTCTTTTTTTCTGTCTTTCTTTCCGCACTGTGCGTTTTTTGCGATCTTTTGTCCGTGCCGCACAGTGCACAGAAATATTATTTGTTTTATTTGCACCGTGCATGCAAATAAAAAATAAAAATGTCACTCCTATAGGATAGTAGGACATACAGAGTCATTTCAAACGGCTTATTTATACTTTTTGCAAAAATAAAAAAAAGTTATGATCATTACATTGCACTAGATATCTGATATTAATCGTTAAATTTCAGGAACCTACTCTTGCCTCCGAGTCCAACTAACTCTAAAGCGGGTTTTCTCCTTCTTCCTCCTCCAACTGTACATTCCCTCAGCCATGTTAGTGGCCGTTTCCTGGGTCTCCTATTGGATTGATTGGAAGTCGACGGCGGCCCGAGTTCCCCTGGCCATTGTCACCCTCCTCACAATGATCACCACTTCTCATGCCATTAATTCCAACCTCCCTCCGGTTAGTTACGCCAAAAGCATCGATATTTGGTAAGTAACCGATTACTTTTAAACTTTTTGTCATCAATTTAGTTGCACTTGTCTAAAATAATATAATTTTTGCGTTTTAGGATCGGCGGATGTGTGGTTTTCATTTTCGCATCGCTCATCGAATACTCGTTTGTCAATTATTTGGGGATTTTGGATGAGAACAAGCAGATGCACAAGGTCACCATGAATAAAACGAGATTGTCCAATGTGGTGGATAGTAATATCCAAAATATTGCGCCTCAAAAGAAGAAATTGTTTGGGGCGAATGCAAAAAGGGTAAGGAATTGTCATCATAAATCTTTCAGCATTTCAAATTTCTCGTCAAGATTTGTATTATAAAATAAGGCTTTTTCAAAAAATCCAGAAAAGCCGTCATTATGACTCCTTTTTTCTAACTTACATATAATTAGATATGCATAATAAAAATTCATTGTAGAGACCACAAAGATATTGCAAAAAATTCTGCTTCTTCGATCGTCATCAAATTTCATACAAAAATCCGTCATCCTGACACATTTAAAGAGTTCCAAATTGAAATTTTTTCTCCCAAATTTGGTTGTATAGGTTATGAAAAACCTTCTAAAAAAATTTCCGGTGAATTTGCGTCGTATTTTACCCATTTTTTCCATTTACAATTATCCCATTACTTTCAGAGCATTCTCCGAAAACGTCGCAAAGTCCAATTAAATATGCATTACGGAGACTCTGATTCGGATATCGAGCTGCGCAGAATGGAAGGCCCCACTTCCAGGGACATCCTGAACAACAACGAACCCGATTGGACGATGCATGACATCGGGGATTTGGTGTATCAGGGACAGAGGAAGAGGGTCGAATTGATCAGATGGTGCTCGTTACTGAGTGAGAGGGGAAGGGCGGAGAGAATCGATATCATTGCGAGGTAAGCGATGGCGTAAAACGACGAAATTTTCAAATTTTACGACTGCACTGTGCAGTTTAATTTTTCCACTGCACTGTGCGGTCTGTATTTTATTTCGCACTGTGCAATTTTCCTTTCATTTTTTCATTGTTAGAAAATTGCGTTTTCAAAATTCCTTTGCACTGTGCAAAATTTGCGACAATGCACCGTGCGCTTTTTGCAGTCTCCGCTCGCACTGTGCAGTTCTCCTCTTTGTCGCTCGCACTGTGCGATTTTTCTGTTTTCTGCACAGTGCAAAATATTTATTGCGATTTTTCAAAAGTGCGTAGACTTTTTTCGGCCTTTTTTCGCACCGCAACGTGCATGTTCCGCGACGCGATCCTCTTCGAAACACTTTGCACTGTGCAATTTCTTTTCGCGCGCCCAAAATTCGTCAGTGAGGAAAGCCCATGTCGCCGCGATATCCGGGTGCACAGTGCAAACGGTCAAATGCACCGCGCAAAAAGAGGTTTTTTGCACCGTGCGGCTCCCGACAAAAAAAGTCTACGCACTTTTTAAAAAGCGTGATATTTCCAAACCATGCATACAAAATTTAATCTTCACACTGTAAAATTGTGTTATTCTCCTTCCGAACTACCCCAATCCCTGCTTCCAGGGTCCTCTTCCCGGCCGCATTCATCATGTTCAACATTGTTTATTGGAGCGTCTACCTCGGAGAGGATCCCAATTTCCCCAGTGATCCCGACTTTGAGCTTATAAAGTCCTAGAGATGTGATAGTAACCTTGTACATACACTATTTGCAATAAATTTTATCCAGATTTAATCGTTTTTTTTCAGTAAAATGATGACTTTTTATTGATTTTAGAGTAAGATTATCCTCATCCGAACAACTTTTTGTGATCTTTTTTGGTGGGGCACCTCTCCGTTTCTTTTCCAAGCATGGCATCGTAAATTACCTTGGCGACAGCGTCTCTGGTGGCACCTGGAACATTATTTTAGTCATCAAAATTTCTGAAAATCTCAAAAAATCTAAAAAAAACTACTTTTGTTCAAAAATATTGTCAATTTTTTATTACTTTTCCAAAATCAAAATAACAAAAAAATCGAAAAAAAAACTTTTTAAAAATTGAAAAGTTGAGTAAAAATGGTAGCGAAATATTAAGATTATTGTGAAATTTTTGGGAAGTATCGCTTTAACGGTAATCCCTGGTCAAAAATAAGTAATTTGTGTGGATTTCAGACATAAAAGACACTAAAACAATATAAATTTTGTATGATTATAGCTAAATTTCTAGACAAACTACCTAAAAGAGGGTTACAATTTTGTCGAGGGCAACAAAAACGGTATTGTAACAGACTAATGAGTTCTCACCAACCGTAAGACACATCAAATTCTGGATAAAAAGACCTTAACAACTGCAAAATGGAAAGAAAAAATTAGAAACCTCCACCAGAGCGGCTGACATCGGGGGTGCTGAGTTCGTCGAGGTATCGGACCAGTCGATTTTGGGTGATTTGACCTCCTTTCAGGCCGGAATACAGCTAAAATCGAGCAAAATTATATTATCCATGAAAAATTTTGATTTCAAAAGTGTTCAAATCTTACCTGGAAGAACTCTGTGAGCTCCAATTCACCGTTCTTGTTCATGTCGACTTCATTTAGGAGTTCGTGGAGTAATCGCTCATCAATTTTGCTGTTATTTTCCTAAAAATTTATATTATCCATGATGAATATAAAATAGTTCCAATTTGAAATGTTAAACTTACTCTAAAGTGTCGCCGAATGTCGTTCACAGTAATATGACCCTTTCTGTCTCTGTCCAACAAGTTGAATCGTTCCTTGGCAGCCTGCATTTCCTCTCTCGTCAGGTTTAAGGTGATCTCATTCATGGACTGAGCCCTCGCTTCTTGGCCCATTTCCCGGTCGATGAAGGTCCTGGCCACATCCAATTGACGCTGAAATTATTTTCCGTAAAAATCAAACCAGAAAACCACCAACCCAATCAAAAATTATATTATCCATGTCAAAAATGACATTATTTTAGGTAAAATCTGCTATATTTTTTAATTCTTACCCTCTGTTCGGCACTGCTCCACTTCAACTCCTCTCCCATGATCTGACAGACTCTATCCAGCACTTCATGAGCGGCGTATGTGTTCAGGAAAGCCAATCTCAACCTTCTGGCGATGACATCCACGGCAGTGCATGCGTACTCCTTAACAGCATATCGGACCTCTGCATCCAGGTAAGGGAACTCTTCATGGAGTCTGGAACCAACGATTGGCCATCTTTTACCGGTCATTTTGCACATTCTTGCCACCACAAACGCTCTGTCTCCATAAGTGTTAGCCAAATGTTGGGCAATATCCGTGTCAATACCGTAATCCTGTACCAAATGGATATATAAAAGAGGGTCCCAGTTGTGTGCACCTTCCAGCATAAGGCCTAAAATTGAATAAAATTACGATAAATCACTATTTTTATCAAAGTTTTGCATTACACTTGACCAGATCCCAAAGAAATCACCAAAAATCTTTAAAATTCTCACTGACCAGGGGTGACACAGTTGTTTCTAGTCTTCAAATTATGTACTTTCACCAGGGTATCGACAGTTTCTTCGGCCATATGACGATAAGTTGTCCATTTTCCTCCTGCGATGGTGATCAGGCCACTTTTTCCCACCTCGATAATATGATTCCTAGCCAGCGAGGCGGTGTTGGTCTTGTTCGGATCTCTAACCAATGGTCTTAGGCCACTCCAAGCGGACATGACGTCGCCTCTTCGGATGGTCACATCCTTCGAGAGGTATCTTCGGATCTCGCCCAGGATGAATTCAATGTCCTGATTCTTGGGGGCTGGATGGAAGGTGAGTTCGGCGCTGGCATCCGTGGTTCCGGCGACGGTCATCTTTTGCCAGGGGAGGAAGAAAATCACACGGCCATCGCTGGTTTGGGGGTCCAAAAGACCAAATCCACTTGGGCTGTAATGGGTGACATTATAATGGGCAAAAAATGGGGTCAAATCATTTCATGTGATCCAAACTTTCAAAAAACAGTCCCTAAACCCAAAAACAATCCAAATAGCATCTATACTTACGTGTAATAGCCCGGGAGAACCACATGAACACCAGCTGAAGGGACGCAAATCGGCTTGGTCTCAGGGTCCGCCATTACTCTCATCGAGTCGGTAAAGGGGCCTGTGGCATTCACAATGGCCTTGGCTTTCACGTCCCATTCGGCTCCACTGACCTAAAACACAACAAAATTTTATATCCAAAATTTTATATTATACTAGGCTAAATTTCTCATAAATCGACCAAAACTAATATATTCCCGCCGAATTCAAACCCAAACCTAAACCAAATCTCCCTACCATGTCCTTAACATGAGCTCCGACCAATTTTCCTTCCGGATCTTTCAACAACGTCTCCACTTTTACGTGATTTACAGCCTTGGCGCCATGTCTGATAGCGGTCAAAATAATGGCCAAATTCATTCTTGCATCGTTGTGGGCACCATCGTAATAGATCAAGGATCCTTTTAGGTTCTCCTTCTTTAACATGGGGAATCTCTCCAAAGAGGTTTCTTTGCCCACAAAATACGAATGTTTTAGGACTCTCCGGCCAGAGACCAGATCGTATGCTTTGATGCCTGCGTAGTAATACGGGATCTGCCAGTACCTAAAACAAATTTTTAGGTCATTCCCAATCTTATTAAACTTTTCATACCTAAAAATCAAAAAAAAATTAAAAAAAGAATATTGCACTTACTTATAAACGGGAATCATGATGGGCAATGGGTAAGATAGGTGAGGAGCGATCTCTAGCAGGTTCGCACGTTCGAACAACGCCTCCTTGACCATTTTGTATTGCTCTATGTCCAGTCCGAAGATGGCTGCTTGCAGATATCTAACCCCTCCATGGATAAGTTTGGTTGATCTTGAGCTAGTGCCGGATGAGAAATCATCAAGTTCGACAAGAGCTGTTTTCAAGCCCCTTGTTGTCGCATCCAAGGCTACACCGGCTCCAGTGGCACCTCCGCCAATGACCAAAACATCAAATTCATCTTCTTTTAATCTGGCCAACAGTTCCTGACGAGTGGGGAGAGCTCCCGATGGACGTTTGTTGAGTTCCGCACGGATTTGGGAGTCGGCCAAGGCAATTCGGAAGTATTTCTCCTAAAAATTATATAAAAATAGCAGGCAATTAGTAATTCTTGCCTAGTGTAATATTTTTTCATAAGTAATATTTTTACAGTACCTCCAGAATGGCCTAAAAATACAAGAAAAAAGTCAAAATACCCATACCGTTTCTTTCTGGAAGTGCTTTTCATTCCAAACATCCAAATAATAGAGGCCTCCAAGAGTTGTCCCAACGGCCGCTGTGACTTTGAAGGTCCGGCTTTGTCCAATTCTTTTAATCAGGCCGACCAGCCTGGAACCGCCCAACCGGGAAGCCATCTCTGAGTTCTATCTGGCTCTGGACCCTGAAATTATATTACCCTTTCACATGAGATAAAATTTCCACTAAAACTATCAAATTCGCATTAACTCGGTGATGTTTCACATTCAAAAACAACCAAACAGTAATATTGCGTCATATTTAATTCAAATTCCCATAAAAAACCATGAAAATTTTTAAATATTACCTAAATCTTCTAGTAAAATATAAATTTTATGTTCAGAAGTACGCCTACTTTTGTTTATGGCCAAACAACAGAAGTTACGACAAAAATTTGAGTTCAGAGAGAACAAAAAAAACCCTGGGACTTTGGCTTGAGCGCGCACGGCCGAGCCGCGGGAAGAAAAGGATAAAAATAAAGGGAAAAAGGAGTGTTCTAACCGCAGTATGGGCCTCAGTTGGTCACGTATGCGTTGCAGATGGCAGGTTCGGTATGAAATTTGAAGAGGGTTAATAAAACCTCAAGATTTTATATTATCCTTCCGATAATCGGGCACTTTATATTATTTTAGGTAACAAAAGAAATTTTTTGACAATTAAAGTAGCCAAACCTCTGAACGAAATAACAAATGCTCCTGTTTTTTTGTTTTCAACCATCTTAACTGTCTAAAATCACCTTTTTTGCGATAAAAATAGATAAATAATGGTTCGAGAGTCAGCAAAACAAACTATTACAATATCGGGGTGGTTCTTTGATGCGACACAACAAAAGAGACTTCAAAATACGCAGCAGGCAATTCTTTCAACGTATTTTGAAGTTTCGGAGCGTTAACTGCAAAGAACGATGAGAAAAAAAGGAAATTTTGAAGGTAGTAAGAAATACCTAGGATAATATAAAATTGTTTGTAAAATACGTTGTAGTGAATTTCTGCTAGCCTAAGTATTGTAAGGTTACACAATAGCTTTTGCAATCACAAATTCTTGCCCGAATTTATTAAAAATTGGATGCCCTAAGGCGTTTTGAGCTCTGCTCCCTCTACCAGATTCAATTATAAACCGTCTCAGCAAAAAATCCAATAAAAACACATCAAAGGCCTTGAGAAATTAAAGGTGAAGATGTAAACAACTAAGAGAAAAACACGTATCTGCGATGATAAATCTTTCAAAAAAACACAGATAAAATAATTTTAAAAATCCAAAAATAGACTACAAATATCAGAAATGTCCGTAAAAATGCTGAAATTTTCTAAAATACGGTGTCCTAAACCCCTACAATTATATTACTTTAGGTCAAGTTCGACTGAAAATAACGGATTAAATGGATTTCCAGCTTCTCCATTCCACAAAATCGACCCTTTCTGGACACTTGGGCCGCCAAATGGGAATCCATTTTTTGTTAGCTTTGGGGACTTTAAAAGGACGAAAAAAAGACCCAAAGAAATTCGAAAAAGACCCTGAAACTAGGCAAAGGTCAAATGGAGATTGATTACGAAATAAACGAACTTCAAAAGATATGCAAAAACGTCTTCCATCAACAACTTTTGGAACAATTATTTTAGGAACATCAAAAAAAAAATAATCGGCAATGGAAATCATCAAGGTCACTCGCTGTAAACACCCTCTTATGCCGATCATAAGTGATAACGACATATTTGGAGGCAAAACAACCTATGCAAAGGGCTAAATTGGAAAATCCGGCAAAAAATTATATTATAGTAGGTAAAAATTAATAAACCTCGTCCCGAAGCCGGTGCAAAATAATCGGAACGCCCGCAAAAAAGGGGAATGTGACTTGATTTTTAAGTAGAAAACAGAGACCAGTCAGATCCCTCCCTCCCCGGGCTTCAGCTGCTCTTCATGTGATCTAAAACAAAACAAAAAAAGATTTTTTGCGTTGTCAAACGTCTAGACCGTTGAGAACAGTGTTCCTTGTGAGAAAAGCGACCAAAAGCAAGAGGAATATCCCGTGCACTCGAAAAGATTTAGGGACAGGAGTTCCGGGGCACAAACAATACGAATAATATCAAGAAATAAGAGGCAAAAGACCCATCTTTTGCAAGAAAAGGCGAGTGAAATAGAGAGTAAACATGGCTATCAACCATCGTCAAGGACATTTAACACAACAATTGAGAAATTAGAAGATTTATCAGCCAAAATAATATAAATATTATACACCATCGATAAAACAATAACAAAAATCTAGTCAAAACAACCTAATTTGGTAACTGTTGGATTCAAAGATTGTCTTTTCTCTTCCAAAAGACCTCGAGACCTTATTCTTCACATCTCATCCTTTCTCCAATTCTGCACCACCAGATCTTTATCCACTTGAACAAGAATATGATAATTGTCCGGTTTGATTTGAAAATCAACCACTTCCACATAGTGGGCCTTTGCGAGGTTAGGGTTGTCCTTCAGAGGGGCCAGCCACAGTTCAAGGACATCTCCGGGTTCAACATTGTACGCCTTCTTATTGCAGACCTCTTCGTTTACTCGGATCAAACCTCGGGCCAGTGATTTTTCCAGTGCTCTGAAAGTAAATAACTTTTACATCAAGAAGATTTGGAATCCAGCTAGCATAACAATAGATAAGCCTTTCGCATCAACAAAATTATTTTTGCATTCTACACCTTATACCTAAAACAACAAAAAGAAAAATACAAATCTTACGTTGTTCCCATGTTCGAGGTCCTTTTAAGTACCGCATCTAATCGTCTTGATGGAAGCTTGAGTGTCATCTCTTTGGGCCCTCTGTATTCTGGTTCAGCTGCATAGAATCTGAATTTTGACGTCTGGGGTGAAAATAACCTGTTGAGAAGGTGAGTCGAAGCTAGGCGGTTCATATTTAGAATTTTAGGGACTTGAAAACCAATACAGAATCAAGTTACATCAATAATTTACAATTTTTCTCCAGAAAACACCTCGCTCTGCCAAAGATAACAGAATGCCAATATTTTTGGCATTCGTTGTTTTCGTGGTGGGACGATTTCGTAATTAGTGAAAATACTAATTTTGAAGGTTGTATGTGGCGAAATTCTCTACTGACATTCTACGGCGTCTCTTTACAAAATTATATATCAAATCCACCTCTTCGCTACATTAAATTACTTTATTAATTAACGTTAGTGTAGGTTCTACAGTAATGGTATTTGAATTACCAAGGCACTTGGGAAATTTGGAATGTTCAAAACACCGTTCTCTGCGGTCAACATCTTGTTATTCTTTTTGATATCCAGTGGGATTATTCGATTGCCAATTCCAGAGATCTCTGCACATCTCATCCAGTCCCAGTTCCGCTTTCCATCCCAACTTTTCTTGAGCCAGTTTGGGATCACAATAGACCTCAGCGACATCTCCAACTCTTGGCACTCCCACTTTGGTGTTGATCTTTCTGCCCGAGGCCTTCTCCATTCCGGTGACCATCTCCTTGACCGAGTATCCATTTCCCGTTCCCAGATTATAAATCTCGACCGGTTGAGAGTCCGAAGCCGTGAATCTGTTGAGAGCGGCCACATGACCTTTGGCCAAGTCCACAATATGGATATAATCGCGGATTCCGGTGCCATCTCGGGTCTCGAATTTGTCTCCATATATGGTTAATACAGGGAGTTTGCCAATAGCTACCTAAAATTCAAAATATTCGCCGAAAATTACAGCAACCGTACCTGGGAGACATAAGGCATCAAATTGTTGGGGATTCCGCGAGGATCTTCGCCGATTCTTCCACTTGGATGAGCTCCGACTGGATTGAAATATCGGAGGAGAATGATCTGCCAAGATGGGTCGGAAATGGCCTCATCCTTCAAGATCTGCTCCACCATATATTTGGTTTGACCATAGGGATTAGTAATCCCACTTCCAGTCGAACAGTCCTCCGTTAGAGGGAGTTTTTCGGGGTTACCGTATACGGTAGCCGAGCTGGAGAAGAGGAACTTTTTGACGTTGTACTTTTTGCATAGCTGAAGATTGAAAAATAAACTTTTCAAGAAAATTTCAGAGATTTTTAGAGCCTTTAACACACCTTGATCAGATTGAGGGACCCCACAATATTATTGGTATAGTAGTCCAATGGCTTTTGAACCGATTCTCCGACAGCCTTCAGAGCGGCCAAATGAATGACAGCATCGAACTTTTCGGCTGCGAAAACTGGCTCCAACTCCTCTGGCTTCAACAAGTCCAATTTTTGGAACCGAATCTCTTTTCCTGTCAGCTCGGTGACTCTTTTTAAACTCGCGGCCTGACCGTCAGCGTCTAAAATAATATAATTTGGTGATTATTTGGTCTCAAAAACCTTCTCATCCAATTTAAAGCTCATTACCTTCCACAGAATTGTAGAAGTTGTCAAACGCGAACACTTCGTGCCCGGCTTCCAGCAGCTCCAGCACGGTGTGAGAGCCAATAAATCCCGCAGCACCCGCCACCAAAACTTTCATTTTTTAGACTAATGTTGTTATCAGATCGCAGATCTTTTATGAAGAAGAGATCCACGTAAAACGGGCGTCTGTCCACGTTTCGAACCGGCTTTCCATAAATTATGTTACCATGACTTTATTCTTGGTGTTCAAGACAAAGAAAATAGGTAAATCCCCGAAGGGGAGAGATTTGTGCAACTCGTAAAGGACACTCTCAAAGTCATTCTGACAGTAGTTTACTACAAATAATTCCTACTGACAGTTTTTATCAATTTCGCCGCATTCACCGAGAGTTTTGTGCGTCCCATTGCGAAAACAAGATCTCTGGCATTGTGTTACAAGAGAAAAAATATTTTTGCTTTTTGGTGGATCAACATTTTTTGGAAAATAATACACTGTAAGATGAACTTTGTATCGGAAAAAGAGATCGAAAAGCTAAAAGAAGAAGGAAGTAAGTCATTTTTATATTGTACACCTGATACCGACAATCGTTTCTTTTTCGTTGATTTATATTTGTTGTTTCAGAAGAGGAAGAAGAGTATGATCCTCGACCATTGTTTGAACGATTAAAAGCTGCTAAAGAGTTGAAACAAGAAGAAATTGATGCTGAAAAGGCTGAGGGTATGTTTAACTTAATATTTTGTTTGCCTAATTTAGTGAAATTTGATAATTACGAAATCGTCTTTCAGCCGCCAAAATTGGATTAGCCGAGGATGAAGTCGATTTCCTGCAGACTGTCGCCAAGTTAAAATATGAAAAAGAGAGCTCGAAGAAAAAGGTGGGACCTCCTCATGGATAATATAATAACTCGTCTTAGGAAGAGCGAGAGCTAATTGAACAGCAACGACGAGCCTATGAGCAGGTTGATAAACCCACTTCATCGGTCGGGAACATTACAGCACCTAAAGTCAAGGCGGGAGCGCTTTTGGCCAATAAAAAAGAGAAACCTGCTCTGGGAATTATAAGAAAAAGGTAGGTTTTGTTGCAATTATTTGATTTGATGTTTAGGAAACGTTCCAATGACGAGGAGGAGCAAACAGAAGAGAAAAAGATAACTCCGAAACCAGTTGTCGGTGTGTTACAGCAATGTGGAGGATATCCGACTAATCTTATAAAAGCCGGGACATTGCCAGGTGTGGGAATGTATGGTTCAAGGTAAATATAGATTTTCAAGGGTTTTATCTTGGTTTGTAAAGCTATTTTTAAGCTTGGGATATCCATTAATATTCATTTAAAGCAATTTTTTATTAATTTAGGCATAAGTTACCTAATTTTAGTTCCGACAGTTCTGATGATGAGATTGATGCTTCGTCGACGTTGTCAGCGGTCACAACCGCAACTCCTTCAACCCCCAAAACTTGTAAAAATGCCAGCAATACGTCTTTAAACACTACTGCTTGATGTTATAACTTTATGTTTTACTTCTCAATTGAATCAATGTCCCCGTTGTTGAACCTTCTTATTGTTGAAATTGCATTCTCTTGATCTGATTATCTTTAGTGTCTAATAAAATAATAATTTATCCATGTTTATGAGTAGTTATTGGTATTTTACCATGGAGAATATATTGTTAAGGTATTTTGCTCATTTCTATGGTATATTTTGTATTCTTTAGGCCAGAATGTCGTCACAAGACGTCGCAAACCATTATAATGCAATCCCCAACAAAACTACGGAAGACAGACGCTCATCAAAGATCATCCATCTTCGAAATTACAATAATTGGATGAAAAGCATGCTGATTGGTAAGATTTTTAGTCATTAGTTTTTGTTTGATGTTTAGGAAATAATAACTGGGCCATGTTTTAGCCAGATTCATAAAAAGGCTCAACAAAAAAGGAATAGAACGACCTTCGGTGCTCGATTTATGCTGCGGGAAAGGTGGAGATTTATCCAAATGGAAAGTGTCGAATATCAAAGAGATTGTTATGACTGGTAAGTCGAGTTTTCTATAAGATAAATTTACAAGTCTTCTGCTTTGTTTTGACACCAATATCTTGTTTGTAGATGTAGCTGCAGTCTCCGTGGAACACGCCAAAGATCGGTACAAAGAGACGATCGACCGAATGAGAAACGAACGCCGTGACCCTTTTAATGCTCAATTTGTTGTAGCAGATGCTGGAAAAGAGTGTCTGGCAGACAAATACGAGCCCAAGGAACGACTCTTCGATCTGGCCAGCTGTATGTTCGCCTTACATTATCAGTTCGCGGATGAGAAAAGAGCCAGGAAAATGATTGAAAATATCACCGAAAGGCTCAGACCCGGAGGCTACTTTATTGGAATACTGACAGACCCTGATCAGATCATGTGAGTGGATAGTGTTTTGAGAAGTTTTATTTCGTTTAGAGAGCTTTTTTTGAGCAGATTTTGGCCTAAAGTAATATCTAAAATAATGTCGAAAGATTGCAGAAACCTGGTCAGGAATAAAGGAGCCGATAACAAATACAAGAATGAAGTATGTAGCGTGACTTTTGAGAATTTCGATGTCCACAAAGAAGAATCGAAGATCCCTTTGTTCGGCGCAAAGTTATATTTTGCCCTTGATGAAGTCGTCAACTGCCCCGAATATTTCGCGAAATTCGCATTGTTAAAACAGTAAGTTGGCAGTTAAGAGTACTTGATATTGTTTGTGACAATATACAATACTTTTTTTTTGTTCAGAATAATGTCGACCTTGTTTTAGGATGATGAAAGAAAACGGAATGGAATTGGTGTATACAAAGCCATTAAATGAGGGATATAAAGACTTCATCAAGAAGGGAGAACATTTCCGCCTGTTCAAACGAATGAATGCCCTCGAGGCATTCGGACGAAAAGAAATGTCGGACAGTGATGGACATAGGAAGGAGTACAGCAAGGCCTACAGTTATCTCAATGAACATCCAGAACAGGAATTTGTGGTGAGTTGTTTCTTTTGAGACATGTGGTTTTTTTGGGAATATTTAAAGAAAGTAGACCTTTTTTTTGATTTTCTTGTTATGGATAATATAATTTTTGGTCGAAAATTAGAAGTAAAGGAGTGATGGGGAAGTCTGGTGGTGTGCAAAGGATATAATGTTTATTTTATGATTATTGGAAGGTTTTAACACATATTTTTCACTTTTTTTTGCCAAGGATAATATAATTTTTGGTCAAAAATTAGAAGTAAATGAGTGATAGGGAGCTCTGATGGTCAGCAAAGGATAATAATGCTTATTTTATAGTCATTAGAAGAGTTTGAACACATATTTTTTACCTTTTTTTGTCATGGATAACATAAAAATTTGGAATTTTTTGTTTACAGGGAACCCTCAGTCGCTCCGAATGGGAAGTGATATCAATGTATCGAGTCTTCGCGTTCAAGAAGACCGATCCCAACGAGAAAAGAGAAACCCGAACCCCCGAACCGGAGATCAGCGAAGACGAGGAACCTCCGGCAAGAGACCGAAAACGCCGAAATCAAGACGAGGATGACGAATACTACAAGCAGAGAAGACAGAAAGCGCACTAACTCGGTCTTCCCTCCTCCCAAATTCTCATGGAAAACGGGCAAATACCCACGAAGATTACCGTAATCTTCGCAGTTTACTGTAATTTCCGCGTTTTTGCACTCCCGAAATCTCGAAAACTCGCCTTTCTTCTGGCCGAAATATTTGTGTAGACCCATGTAGATACCGTGATTTCACTATTTATTTTGTTGTTTGCGGATTGTAAATGGTTTGTCGAGCTAGAAATGGCATAAATTTGCATTAACCTTAGATTTCGTCAATAAAAAATACTTGCAGAAATCCGAGGAGTCCATTTTTTGACAATGATTTCATATCAAATTTTTATTTTTTGCTCCCCCCAAACACAGAATTTCACACATAATCTACACCCACATTTGTCCGTCGGATGACAAATTTTTGGAGATCGTCGGGCCTGAAATTATTTTTTGATGGGATTCCAATTCGCTTTTGGAGAAGGTTAATCCGCTTTCATATGTAATATAGCCGAATTTATTTTTTTAGTTTTTTGGCGCAGAGACTTCCGCGAATGGATTTGGGGTTTAGAGTTCTTTCGGCGAGGGCGATTTCAATGACCAACTTTGGCTGAAAGTTGAAATAGGATGGTCTCCCGCCATTTTTGGCATTCTGTTTCATGGGCTGATAAAGATGGGAGGAACTGATACAGAATTTAGAATGGGGCTCAATGGTAAATCTGTTGCCTATTTGACAAAATTTGTTAACTGAAATGGACCATTTCTTTTATAATCCATAGTTAATACTCTTGTTTTATAAGAAAGCAGTTGGTGATTGCCATTTTTTGATATGTAATGGTTATTTCTCGAAAACAAGGTTGTAATCTACTGTATACTAAAGCCGGCACGGTATCATAGCTACATTGTTATCGAGTAGTAGACAATTTTTAATTCAAAGCAACGTTTATCGTATAAAATGTCACTTTGTCCCCAAACCCTTCAAAATATTCCCCGCCCTTTCCACATTTACAAATTCTAATCTTGTTGAACATACTCTTAATTGTCTCCAAATCCTGTCATGCCCTGAGGGATAATTAAAATTTTACGTTCAGATTATGCCCGCTTTGATTTACGAGCATAATTTTATTTCTTTGATTAACTTCTTGGTCATCTAATCTGGCCCTACTTTTCTACGTAATTGAATTTTTAGGCTTTCGCCGGAATTGGAAGTTCTCTTTGCCATGATTAATATATGCATTATTGGACCGAATTTCGTGGAATTTATTATTACTAGGGGCTTTTAGTGGACGGATTTACGCATTACTTTTTTTGGAATTTTTTATGGGAAATTGGGGATTTAAAAATTATGCTTTACTATTCGATAATGCTGCATAAGGCGGTTTAAAATTTTGGGGGTTACTTGCACTGTGCTAAAGTTTTAATTTTTGCCAAAAAATGCCTTAAAGTGAGATCTAAATCATCTTGTTTGTAAAATAGATTTACTACAAAAATTAAAGAATTTTTGACCGAATTTTCATATTTTCTAACAAAAAAGCGAAAAAACTTGTGAAAATTTTTTATTTTTTAGTTTTTAACCGCATTTTCTCACCCAAAAATTTTTGTTTTCACCACCATCGTGATGTATCGTCTTCCATAGGTCATTGTGTTTTTTTCCACTCCAGACAAAAAAGGAATAAAGAGGAGTCCCAAAAAAGCGAGTTTTTGCAAAAGAATTGACAGAAATGATGTGAGAATGTCGAGAGCGCATTCTGTCTCTCTGCACCGTTTTTTGCTCCTTTGGACTTTTCAAACTTGGGCATGGAAACGTTCCGAGAATAGCGCCCGAAGCGTCATAATTAATAAGCAAAGTGCATATGGCAGGGCTATTCGATTTGGCTGGAAATTGGCGCAAATTTAGATCATGAGTTTAGATGGCATGTCTGGAAGTTTTAGCTTGCGCTTTGTAGAAATGATTGAGATTTTTAGGTCGGAAGTTGGCAAAAAAAGTAAAAGATTTCTTTTGCAATTTTGGGTATGATAAAATTGGCGTGGTTTATGAGGGAGCAGTATAATATTTGTGCAAAAAGTCATCTTTCTCCGAGCGAAATTCGCGGAGATATAATCAAAAAACGTTTTTTGTCTGGCCGACTCTCTCCATCTTGCGGGTTCTCTCATGAAAGAACGAATATCTTCGCTGCGGCCGCAATGTAAGAGCTAAAATTTTCAGTGATAAAAACATGGCCTAGATTAACCTATGTATTCAAACTTTGAAGAATAACAAAGAGCTACGTTTGAGGTACTGTAACATACATTTAGGTAGGAAAAATGTAAAATTCATTCCATAAAACCTTTAAAATCTCAATTTCTCCGATTTTTTTTTTATTTTCCGCTTCCCTTCGCTTTTTAAAAATAAAAAATAAACGCAGTCAGACACGAGTTTGTACAGTTTTTCCAAAACGTACGAAGTGTTGTCTAATCAATCTGAACACACTTACTACAACATTTATGTGTATTTAATTTAATAGACGACCTTGTAATTCCCATTAAATAGTTAAGATTACAATGTTCAGCCGAAGTGATGTCAACCTGAAGCATTTCTCAATCGATTTCGTTTTATTTTGAACTGACCTTACTTTACTTTAGATTCGATCGGGTTTGACACAAGCTTAACAGCTTGTTTCTTGATCTCATCGAGAACGTGTGATATGTTATCCATGGAATTTATTAGTTTTCAGACGTTTTTTTACTATACATTACTCAAAATGAGTTGAGAAAATTACTTTAACAGTAAAGTTTTATGTTACAGTAACTTGGGTATATTAACCTGAAAGTTTGAGGTCTTTTTTTACACTGGCAGCGGAGATACTGGCCTTTTTTTGAGAGAACACGCGAGAATAAGAGGGTCTGCCAGACGTAAAAAGGGATTTTTTGTCTATTTATCCGTGGATTCCGCATAGAAAAAGGTGGGTTTTAGAGGAAATATTGTAGCAATGTCTTGTAACAACTATTGAATTTTATAAGATTAAAATCGCCCAAAAATTTCACTTGTTTTTGGGCGGTTTTCTCAACTTCCGAGCTAAATATCTTGATGACTTCCGCAAAGGCCAGCTCAGACATTCTGATATGTCTTAAAAGTCCTAATCTAAATATGTGACCAATTTCAGCAAGCGATAAACGGTCAAAATTCGGGGTTTTTTGCCCATAATTTATGATTTCGGAGTAATAAAAAATTTGTTTCTTCTCAATTTCCTTATCTTCGATGACATTTTGTTGAATATTAAGAGTGTGTTATAATTAAATTTTCCATAAACTTTGATTAAAATTGAATATAATCCGTAACAAATCCATTCCACTGGGGTGCGGAAGTTGGTGATGATGTTAGAAAATGGGATTAATCCCACTTCCGGGTACCTCGAATTAGACGGGCAATTGGGGATTCTGACACCAGCGATTAGGCTGGGAATATATTTTGGGGCAACGGGCTGGATTTGGTCAAAATATATTATTTTCGTGAAAATATATGTCTAGAGATGATGTGGTGATGTTGAAATTTTGGATATTCAATCTTAAAATTTTTTGCGGAATGTTAGAGAGAACAAAACCGTCTAGATTTGAGAGTCTAAAGTAAAAAAAATGCGTTGTAAATTTTCATTTTTTACAATTTTTCCGGAATTTTGAACCGCGCTATGCAGAAAATTTGCTTTTCAAAAAAATTTGTTTTCAATCTTAAAGTTTGCGTATCCTTAGATGCCGAAGATCATAACAAGTTTTTAAAATTAGCTCCACTTTCTTCCATTTACCTCATTTTACAGTCATGCCCATATTAGTGCCCTTTTTCCTCCAAAAACTCTTGAGAAATGTGACGTTCCGGTTAAAACAGGCACTCATCGAATATTACATTGCGTCAACAGTCACCAGACGTACTTCTTTCCAAATTTTTGGCCACAAATTTTTGTAAATTTCCGTTTTGTGAGAAGGAATTTTTTTGATGACAACATTGTTTTTGTGTCATAATAATATAAAAATCCCGAAATAGACTCCTAGACATATTTTTCTAGACAAGTGTGTTCTTTATGTACACATTTTATGCGACTGAAACGGCATTTTAAAATGTTTTTAATCAAAAAATCTTGGTTTCTCAAATTATGGTAGCCAAAAGAAGCCTCTTGGCATGGATTTTCTTCCCGATCTTATGCACTATTATAACGTGAACTCAGTAAGTTGTCATTCCCAAGATTTCTGCTTCCTTTTTATTCTTTTCCGGAGGGCAAATGGAGAGAGAACGGGGAATAAAGAAATTCGTTTGGAACGCCGTGTTTTGACGTGAATTTTCACGCGAAAAAAAGAGGCCGGGAATAAATTGGGGAAGCGGAAAAAGACGTGAAGGAACGTTGTTCGAGACAAGGGAACAAAAAGGCCCTCAGGGCATGCGCAAATCCCAGAAACTGCGCTTATAATTCAATGCCTATTTTGGGGGGAAATGTGCGTATTTCGGATGTTTTTAATTGCAGTGGGGGTTTTCTGATCCTCTACGTAGACGTCTACATGCGAGGGGTGGTTAGTGTTGAGGATCTTAAGACACGTGCTTCAGACCAAGGCCAGGAAAAGATCTACGTAAGAGACATTTCGCTTGTTTATTGATGTGTACATGTGTTGTTTGATGCGATGAGGGGAGACTTTGTTTTTAGAAAGTTTGAGAGGACTTTAAGCAGACTTTTGGTCAAAACTTTGGTTTGCATTGGGCTTGATGTCAAGTGTAATATTTTGATATCGAGTGCATTATATTGTAATGTCCCAAGTAGCAAAATCGAAATTTAAGTCACTCTAAAAAACATTTATGGTCATTTGAAGCAAAACTTGCATAGAAATGTCACCTAAACTACGTTTTTTTTTACCAAATGATCATCTAATTTTTCATCCACATAATTTCTCCTAAAGGTAAAACATTGCCTATAGATTCCTTATAGACCGTTCTCAGTCAAAAAATCGTACCCAACCGGTTTGGATTAGACTCATTCCTCCAGTTTTACACCCAAGTCTAGTGTAATATCTGAGACCACGATTTTTTTACTGCTCACTCCTCAATGACCATTGTAAACCCCAATAATCGGCATTGTAATCCCCACCACTACTATTACACCATGTTTTTGAGCCCTCCAAACATCATGAATGCACAGTGCACGTTATCTTTTTTGAATGTCCATAACCAATTCGTTTGTTTTTTAGCCGCCGTTAAATGTTTTTATTCCCCATTTTGTGTGTTATATTTAGTAGGGGATTACATACAAGCGGTCCCGAGGCCCTCGCATTTGTAATTGTGCACGTGTGTTTATACTTTGAGCCGCGATTTGGACCTCTTATTGTGGCCTAAATGTATTATTACAATCTAAAACTACATTGTAATGTGAAGGCCATTGTTTTTACGAGAGTTTTTTGGACTGAAAAGATCGAATTCAAAGTTGTAATTCGAGCCAAAATGACGTGAGGGCTCAAGTTTTCCATAAATTCTCGTCTTATTACAAGTAGTTGGGCTACAAGTGGTAGTTCGATTGAAACCTCGTGTCGCCGACGTCATTAAACCAGCCATTCTACGTGTTTCCTAGTCATTTGATGCATTGCTATGTGTTTTGCACTGTGCGGTCGAAAATTTTAACTAATTTTTCGACTGCACGGTGTAAAAACTAAAATTAAATTTCTGCACTGTGCGCTAAAAAAAAATTTTTTAGCTGCACGGTGCAGGAAAATTTTTGTTTCGAATTTTTCACTGCACAGTGCGGTTTTCCAATTTTCGTTTTTTGCACTGTGCATCTTCAATTTTATTTCCATGAACAGTGCAAAGATTCGATTTTTTTATCCGCACGGTGCGGTTCATTTAGGATTTCGACTTTCCCCTCTGAGGCATTCTATGAGATTAAAAATGACGTCATTAACCAACCCGATAACAAAATGACGTGTCTTTTTCTACGCTTAGAGTTCACAATTGACTAACAATCGTAATCACTCTTTTATAAGGGTTTGATTTATCGCATCGATGACGGTTTCTCGAATAAAATACGTAATTGAGGAAGTGGTTAGTTATTTTCCAGATTTTTGATCGTAGTTTAACCCTTTTGGAGGGTGGTAATCCAAATATTTGCAAATTATTTTGTTTTGCATCATGTATAATATAATTTTCGATATTTTCTCTCAAAGCCGGATGACATTTTTCATCCGAATTTCATCTTTATTATTAATGTTTCCCTGAGTACACAATGTACTGTCCGTTTCGCCCCAAAAACTTGTTTGATCTTCCGAAAATACCAAACTTTGTTCGATGATCCGCCAACAGTCAGGTGCAATCTCAGAGCCGGGAATTTGGGTAATCTTTGGCCTCGGAGAGCCTGGTCTGCGGGCATTTCGGACTGCAGGGTGTCGGGTTTCGGAGGGGAAACGGTTATTACGTAAGGGCGGAAATTTCAGTCGGCAGAAAACAAAAAAAGAATCCCCGGATGTTGTCATTTCGTTGCAACGGCCGCTCTCTCGGCCGCCTCTGTTTACCCAAACATTTAATATTATAATATTATCGGCAAAGGGCGTGGGACCGTTCCGCAGGCTACTGCGCCATGCTGCGGGCTGGGATTGAGTCGAAATTCGAAGCGTCTTCACACTAACTCTCATGTATAATATAATATATCCGACTACATCTTTCGCACCTTTTTATCCGACATTCCCGCTGTTGGCACGAGGACACGGACTTTCAAGGGGTTTTTGGAAGTTTTCTCCTTCTCAGATTATCCTCGTCTTTTGCAAACATGCTTGTTTTACAATATTTTTTATCAATTTTTTAGAGTAGCGTCTAAAATTAGACGATTTATTTGGGATCATCTTGTTTGGTTTACGATCAGCTTATTCTCATTGTACTTATTTATCACCATTTGGCGGCGTTGTAATCAATCCTGCCGCCAATTCCCTTCTGCAGACTGCGCGTCTCGAGGGCAGCTCGCGCCGAGCCCCTTTCCCTTCCCTCGCGCCCAATTTTTTCGGCCTCTCTCGGCGGCCTGACGTCGCCAGTGGAATAACATCATTTTCACGTCTCCCATTATTTAGTCCATAATTAAATCAACCCTTTCTTCCCGCATTTCCGTGTTATCCGTAAAGTATCGTGTTTCCGCGCCATTCCAGCCGGTTTTTGGTCGGTGGAAGGTGCCTTGAATACCAACGGATAGCAATCTCTTTTTTGTAGTGCCGTGTGCCTGGCCCTCCGGTCCACAGCGGAGCGGTTGAAGACTTCAGCGGGCCCCAACCCAAGCCTTGGCCGATCTCATGGAAAAACGGGATGATGGGACGCCCAAACCTTCCACAACCCGTGTCCAAACCCTGTCAAATGCTGTGAAGATCAGCCCACAAAAGGTCAGCCAGCTTTTATTTTGTGTCTTTTTCAATTTAGATATCAAAAACCTTTTTGAATGCGCTTTCTATGTTCAAGGTCATGTTTAATATCAGCTGATGTTTTCGCGTGATTTTTGATGCCTCAGCGATGTGTTATTGGGTTGCAAGGACCGTAAATATCCTAAGCCTTCTATCAGAACCGTAGAACTGACCTTTTTTGATTAGAAGTAATAGTAATGGGCCTTTAACTTGGAAGTGTTTTCATATTATTACTAGTAGGCATTTAGATTGTAGTTTTCTCGAATTGCGCAAGTTCAACAAGTCTAGAAAAAAACGGTTCAAATACAATTTCTACTATTGCGGGAACTACAATTTAAGTCTTACGATTATCTTATAGTAGGTATCATATGACAACAAACCTTCAATTTGGCGATGTTTCAGCGCTCCCATTCACCTCAAACTACTCCTTGCCCATCAACAAGTCGAGTTGTTGAAGATGAAGCGGGTAAACGGGCACGAGTTGATCCAGAAGATGAGGTCCGACCACAATTACATCGAGGACTTTCAAGGGAGGAAATACGGGCATCAGCGACAATGGAGACACAAAATATGCTGGAAGAGCAAGCATCTACTCCTATACCTCTAAGAAGATGTAAGTTTGTCGCGATTTCTGAAATTTTATTCTGAATTTAGACATTTTAGTCGATTAGGGTCACACAGCCAAGTGTAATATATATATATTTTTTTAAATTTTAGCCCCACGTCGTGTCTCAAGGGACCATCTTGCACCGAATTCTCCCCTAAACACTCCTCCGGGTTACTATTCGCCTGCGCCTTCGCAGCGTTCCAATCTGCCCGATCTGCCCTCTTGCTCTTCCGTGAGTGTGAGCTCGGTGGGGAATGTGAAGATGAACCGGAAATTCACGTCATTCACTTCGAACCCTTCCCAGGATCAGACCGAAAAAATTTCGGACGAGGATGAGCCACTTCCCGTGTTTGTCCATCAGGAAAACCAACAGTCCTCAGGAAATGTCATGGAAAATGTACAGTCGAGAGATGAGAATATGAACTTTGATCTAGGACAGGACAGAATTGAGAATGCTGAGTGAGTGTTTACTTTTTTTGTTGCGATTTTAGGCTGTGACTCGTCTTTAATATCAATTTTCGTTATGGATAATATAGTTTTGATAGCATTCTTGGTGTTTTAGGGTCGCATCTACATCGCAGCCAGCTCTTGGAGATGTGAACCCGTCGGCAAGGCCAGAATCTGCCCGACCAGGGCCAAAGAAAGTCAAATTTCACCATGTTGATGTATATTATTTCGATCTCTCATGCAGCTTTGATACAGTGCCTCCGCACGGCGGAATCCCCATTGGAATGGCGCAAACTCACAGGGATTACAAGCAGTATAGTTGTGGGAAACATCAGAGTGTTTCACAACTTGAAAAGGTAAGAATTTTTATATTATACTAGGCAGTTTTCGAAAACTTGATGTCTTTGTTCAATTTTTAGAGTATGAAATACATCCACATCATAAAGCGACCTGCTCGTGCCGAGTCGTTAAGGTCGAGACGACGAACGGCAGACGAACCGTCCAGTTCTGGCACTAGTGAGATTAGTTATGATCCTGCAGTCTTTCAACATTTGGACAACAAATTACGGGAAGCCTTGGCCAAAGAGGCCAATATACAATATGAATATGTAAGGGAGGCTTTAAAAATTGTTTTGCTGTTCGATTTTTAGGTTAATTTATATTACTTTAGCCGATCACCGAGGAATGCCAAGAAATCCTCCAATCGCGCGATTCCTGTGGCTGTCAATGCCCTGAGGGCAAGTGCAACTCCCAGACTTGCCTGTGCGCCCTCTCAAACATTGAATGTCAAGTTGATCGCCCCAATTTCCCATGCACATGCACCTCGGAAACCTGTGGGAATCCCTCGGGACGAGATGAATTCAACGCTGAGCGAGTGAATAAACATCGAGCAGAAGTGTTGGCACAAAATCCGAGAAGAGGAAAGGGAATCAAAAGACAACCCACACCGGGAACTTTACTCAAAGGAGTTTTGAAGCCATCAAAGAGTACGGGAAATCTGGAAAAGCAGGGAAATCAGGAAGAAATGAAGCTCAAAACCAAAATCACCACTCAATTCAGCTCTCTCCCAACAGGTAGATTTTATTTTATTTGTTTTTTTTTTGATCTCGGATCGAGGCCTGTCATTTTTGTGGAGACTCTAGAAAATCCGTCAGGATGACATGTTTTATTTTAGAGTTTGGAAATAGATTTTGGAAAAATTAAAGTCAAAATTTGTGATTGCCAGGTAAATTATTCCAAGCCTTTGCTTGTTGACAAATAGATTAATGACGTCATGATGACGGATTTTATGGGGTCTTTAGAATGGAATTCGCTCGGTTCGGACTGCTCCAAAATGGTGAGAGGTGAATTAACATGATGTTTTCAGTATCTTCAAGCTTTGAAAACGTCACATTACGCAAGAGAAAGCCGTCAAGTCCGTCGTTTCATCAACCCGCCCAAAGGTACTAACCTAGAATAGAAAAACAAATAAATGCCATGTGTAATATGTCATAACCTAATTTCTTTACGTTCGCCCCCGTCAGTAGCTTCTCCAGCCTTTTTTTTTGGATCTAAAAACCCTCTTTCTGACCTCTTATTTTACAATTTTTCATTAATATTTAACAAATTCTCGGTTTCTATTTGAATTTAACGTTGTAAATGTGTTGTACTTAGTAAATGCTAAAAGAAAATAGTATAATTCTGTTGCCGAGTTTGTAGAAAAGTGGGGTTTGCTGTTTCGGAAGTGATTTTTATGTTGTTTAGTCGGGGTGGATAATAATTTGTGTGTTTTTTTTGTTGTTTTCGTTGACTTTTTTTTATTTCCTGCAGCTTCTACTAACTTTGCACGTTTTTTTCTGTGTTTTAAAGCCCACAATTCGCTGATTTTTTTAGTTCCAGTCCAGAGAACCGACCTCAGCCATCAAGTGTAATATCGACTCCTCAGACGCCAAGTGTAGCCTCAACTCTATCCCCGGGCTCGAAACGAGAGCTATCAAGTGGAACGGCATCGGGAATTCCAGCAAAAGAAGCGAGGTTTGAGGCAGAACCCGCCATCTACGATCCATTATCACTGTCGCAAACTACAAGATTAATCAGTGCGGAACTGGGTCTGAACATGGAAATTGGGCAGCCAGGAAGTTCTGGATTGACCTACCAACAACATGGGCCAAGTGAATTGTCGGAGAGGCCAAGCCCGTCGAGATTTGATCAAGTTTCAACAGGTCCAAGACCGGCCATGGATCGACCCGGTCCGTCTGGATTCAGCCATGCTAGAGGTTCGATTACAAGGGAAAGACCAATGCTGGGAAGAGCTCATGGACCCACAAGGCATGCGTTGAGAGAACCAAGCGCTTGCTCATCTATCCCGTCTGATCCAGAGACCGATACACAAAGGAGACTTCAGCTCCAAGAGCAACAAAGAGAACGGACCTCCTTCCCCATGATGACTCAACATCAAAGAGTAAGTCATAATGAGTCGCTGCAGAAGTTTGTTTGTCTCTATCTTGAACTTGAAGCTATTTATAATAATTTTATTATATTACACATGCCATGGATGATATAAATTTTTGATTTTTCTTATATTAAACTACTTTTTAGGATGTCCAAAACTACCTCTGCATGGAAGCCATGTCTCTGATCATCCGTAAACATCAGCATGAAACGCAGGAACGCTTCGACAGCCAACAACGGACCATTTCTGGATTAGTGGACACTATCGCCAAACTTCAAAAAGAGGTCGAGAAAATGAAATTCAGTGAAGAACAACGAGCAAATGCACCGCCACAGCGAAGAAGTCTGCCGGATCGACCAATCGTGAAGGTTCAGATGCGAAAAGGCAAGGATCATGTCTTCAGAAGCTCCAGTGGACCATCAACGGCAAAGCAACTTGAAGAATCGAGGAGGGAAAAGGTGAGTGTAAGAAAAAGTTTGGATGGTAGTGTGTAGTGAAGTGTGAAGAATTTGGCAGGAACTGGGACGATTGGGGATGGGGGAAAGGGCGATTGGGGAAACCGAAAAGTATTATTTTTCTTCGACGCAAGTGTCGAAATGAGGATAATTGAGGGTGCTGATTTCGAAAATGACATTCATTTTTTTGATAGTTACTTTTTTCCTTAAGTAGTACTGTAAACTAGTAATCTATTTAATTTTTTCACAAGTACTTTATTTGGGGGTTTTCGATTGTGCTGCTTTCAAATCAGAAAAAAATGCATAAGATTTTCGAAATCAACACCATCGAAACCCCCTCAAATCGAGTATTTGTGAAAAAAAGTTAAAAAAAACTGCTTTACAGTACTACGGAAAAAAGTAACTATCAAAAAAATGAATGTAATTTTCGAAATCAGCAACCTCGATTATCCACTTGCATCGAAGAAAAATAATACTTTTCGGTTTCCCCAATCGTCCAACTCCGAATTTAGCATGGTATTTATCTTTGATTTTCAGAAAGAAGAATCGCCTCAGGAAGCGAAGATTTCGCCGGATCGCAGCGTCAGAAAACGGTTGCATGAAGAGGACGAAGAAGAACCGGAACAAAAACGAAACAACAGTGACTTGTTTTACCCGGAATCAATGGAATTCCCGGACGAAATACCGGTCAGAGATCAAGAATATAGCTTTGATATCAGCCGAGATGTTTTTGCCAGTTCGATGGACGAGAATCAGAACGAACAGCAGAACCCATTTCTGCTTCGGACCGGAGTCTTTGAAGATATTTCGGCCGCTTTCCGACAAGATTCCGCCGAACATGGCCCCAAAAACGAGTCGACGAACCCGTTCCTCCCGGAGAATCTGTACAACCACAATCTGGCCAGAAATGTTTTGGACGCTTTTCAGAAATCGCCCCAAGGTCAGAGGGAGAAACCGGCCATTAGAATTAATGAAGAGTCGGCCAGCGAAAAGTCGAGCGAGAAGACGGACAAAACCGAGAGGAACTCGACCTCGGAAGAGAGGAAACAGAAGTTCCTGACGGCCTCGAACCTTCAGAATTCAATCGGAAGAAGTCTTTCGGCTACGACAACAACAACTCAGAGCAGAAACTCCTCCACAGAGGTCCCTGTGCCGCAACCAACCATGGAAAGCATCATGAAAAGAAACAATTAGAGTAAGGAGGGGAAAGGAGTGGAATTTGAGGAAAATTTTTTAAAGTTTAGTTTTCCCGCCAAATTTGGCATTGTGTTGCAAGTGGTTTTAGAGCATAAAATTGGGTTGGAATAGTAAATTAAGGTTAAGTTGTGGTTGTTGCAAAATTTTTAGAGCAATTTAGACGGTTGGCTTTGATTTTCAGAGATTTTTTTATGTTATCCATGACGATTTTGAAGGTTTTTGGGGTAAAAACAAAACATAATTTTTTATGGCTTTCGAAGCAAACGAAGATATGAAGAGTAGTTTTGACGGTGTTGGAAAGCCGATAGTTGCTTTTAGACACGTGATTTTTCTAATTTTTGCCTAGTGTAATATATTTCTTTGATTTTTTTCAGGGTTTCCTTAACTTCCCATCCCACTTCAACAAAGCCCGGATGAAAACACAACCTGATCTCCACCTCACTCCACTCATACAGAAATTAATGCACCTGGTTTACCTGAAAACTACCACAAAACGGATAATTTACAATTCTTAATATTTGACGGATCTAATCCCAAAACGAGTAAATAAATATTGTTGACAATAATTTTGAAAAATAAATTTGACAAATTTGGAAAAGGAGTTTTAATTTTGAAAGATTTTTTCCAATGCTTTTTTGGTGAAAATAAAGCCATTTTGATTATTGATACCTTCGAACTTGGCGGTGATCATGGCAAAGGCGAAAAAGATTGTCGATTTGGACAAATTGGCCTTCAAATCAAGTCGGAAGAAGAATTGTCGGCTCATCATCAAGATTAATGTAAGTTTTTTTGGAAGCTGTAAAAGTTTTGATGACTGCACTGTGCAGAAATTTCCGGTATAAAAGCGTCAAAGTTTTCAAAAATTTTTGAAAATTTTTATTTTCAGTCGTTGATTACCGTAATATGGGCATTAATCAACATCGGGATCATTTACTTTATCGTTGACAGGATGGTAAGTTGTTCTTGAAAACAACTTATAATTGAATTTTTCAGGATGAAATTGAGCGATTTACCGAAGAAGCCCATCTACTTCGAGGCAGCGGGATCTTGGCCTTTCAGCAGTGCAAGTTTCAGCACGATTATTTCAGCACCCCCTTTGATATGGTAATCGATTTTTTTGATAGGTTCTAAATGGACTCTTTATATGAGTTTAGACCCGATGCTCCGACCAATGCGGAAGTAAAGCGATCGCCTGGCGAACCCGAAACTTGGCACAGCCCTTCACAAAGTACGTGGTGGAGGAAAAGGACATCGAAAAAGGCTTGCATCACATGTGCTTGGACTATCTCGATCATGTCAGTTCTCGTTGGGACTTCTTTTTGACTTGCACGGTGCAGAAAAACTATCGAAGTTTAGCGCACTGTGCAATGAAAAGTCATTGTCTTTTGCACGGTGCGATAAAAGAAAATTGATTTTGAGTTGCACTGTGCAGTAGAAAATTTGTTATGGAATGCACTGTGCTAAAAAAAAATTTCGACTGCACAGTGCAATAAAAATTTTTAATTTTTGCACTGTGCAAAAAAGTCAAAAATTCCAAAAATTAATTTTTTTCGTATTTTAGGTGTATTGCCATGACGATCACCGCGAATGTCAACGTCCTCGTCGGGAATTCAAAGAGTGTGCGGGGTTAACCGGGACCGGCGTGGAAGGCCAGATCTCTTATGGGTATCCAGTCTACGCCCCGGCCATCAATGACGCCGATATGCAACATCTGCGTGGCAAAACTCTGCTCGCCAACGAACTTATTGTCAAGTGCCCGATCTGCAGAATCCAATCTGATTGGTTTAAGTCAGTTTTGGATATTAATTTAGCCAGAGAAAGAGTTGACTCAGGTTGGGTCAAGTGTTTCTCTCGTAGGATTTTGATGAGAATTGAATGAAATGAGCTTTGATGATGGTTTTCAGAGTTGATGGAACATACGGGTATTACAAACATCGTCCACAACTCCGTTGTATTGCCAAATTGGCCACAGTTGCTATCGGTTGGCCCAGGTTCGCCGAGTTCTGCGATAACACCGTGAAAGCGATCAAACCCTTCGATGACTGCGTCCATTTCAGCAATCAAGTCGACATCATCGCGAATTAATCATTTTTTTGAAAGTTTTAATAAAAACTATTTTAATTTTTTTTCAATCAAGAAATTGCGTTATTCTCTTGTTTTCACTCGCATCGACTGGTCGAATGTCAACCAAGGTCTCACAAAATGTATCGCACAGTGCAAAGACTCAAGACTCTGGGTCGGGAAAGCGCAGTCGAGAGGGAGATGAGGGTCCCTTAAAGTTTGAAAAAGGCCAAATAATCGGGAAGCATTGGACGTTTGAGAGCAAGGTCAACGAAGGCGGATTCGGAGCTATCTATGAGGTCAAGCACGTCAAAGTAAGCCAATTTTCGAGTATTCGTGCTCAATTTTGACGAGGGAAAGAGTTGACTCAAAACTGAGACAAGTGTTTCTCTCATTATTTCTGGGGTCCACAATAGCTAAATATGAAATGGTGACACTATTTATGACATATAAAGTCAGGTAATGACTCTTTAACCCCAGAAATCCGGTCGATTTGCAATGAAATTGAGCTTGACGGCCAAGAAGGACATGGATAAGTTGATGATCATAGAGGTTAGTGTGTTGCGAAAGTTGTCTGGTCAATCCATTTATTTCCCAAAATACGAGGACACCGGGCACGTCAAAGGATACCGATTTGTGGTCATGGAACTGCTGGGCCCGTCCTTATCCGACCTCCAAGATTCGATGCCCGGCGAAAAGTTTTCTTTGAGTACAATCGTCAGAGTTGGAATTCAGATGTTGAATGTAAGTTTTTTCTTACACTTTCTTCGCTCTGAATGCCACGAAACTATAAGAATCTTTATTTTCGTCTGAGGGGAAAACTTGACTCGCCCGGGTCAAGTCTTCCTCTTGCTCAAATGTCCCGGATTTCTGTATCTGAAATTGCCTGATTATAGGCAATCGAAGCCATGCATGGCATGTACTTCATCCATCGAGATATCAAGCCTGGGAATGTTGCAATTGGCGTCAAAAACAAAACCCAAGTTTACCTTTTCGACTTTGGCCTGGCTCGTCGCTTTGTGGAGCTGGATGAGAAAGCCGGGAAAATTAGAGTTCGACCGCCCAGAACGAATGCTCCGTTCCGTGGAACCTATCATTACTGCAGCGTGCAACAACACGACTACCAAGATTCGTGTCGGAGAGATGATCTCTGGTGGGTTCGCATAAAATTTTGGATGCTTTTCTGCTAAATTTTAGTTTTTTTTAAAGAAAGTTTTGTGCTGTGGTTTCAGGGCAATGATGTACACTCTGATCGAATTTCGGACCCGAATTTTGCCCTGGGAACATGAAAAAGAGAAGAAAAGTATCGCGGAATGCAAGAGAAAAACTCCGTTTCCAGTTCTCTTACAGGTAAAAATTGGTATTTCACCGTCCCAAATTCTTTGTCTTGCCATTATTTAGAGTTTACGTATGAGGGAAACACTTGACCCATGTTTGAGCCAAGTTTTTCTCTCGAACTAATTTTCTTCTCATGACATAGAAATGCATTCCAGGGCTGCCCCGTGTTATTTGAGCACATCTTACGCTATCTTGACCGCCTGAAATACCATCATCGACCATGTTACGACTTTATTCGGAAGGCCTTCAAAAAGATCTTAACCGTTCGACGCATGGATCCACATGACCCGTATGACTGGGAAATTAATCAGAAACCAAAAGCAAGTCTATCTGATTATCTTGGCGCCATTTTCGATTTGTCTTTTGAGTCAACTTTCGCTCTTAAAAATTTGAGTCAAGTGTTGCTCTCGGATTCCGCGAATGTAATTTAAATTTCAGCCTCGCCGCGATAAGCACCGTGTCTCCTTGAAGGCAGTATTTGATGGAGCTTACACGACAACGAACGCTACCAAAATGTCGATCGGCTCCGAAAGCAGTAGTGAAGCCAGCCTGGCGGAGACCAAAGACGAAGAAATCGAGGGAGATCTGATCCCGTCGCATAAAAAGGAGGACGAAGATCCTTCCAAGGAATACACTGAACCGGATCCGCGTCATAAAAAGTAGAGAAAATTATCCGAGAGAAACACTTGACTCAGAAATTATTTTGATTAAAAACAAGTTATGAAATAAATCGAGATCTGTCAGTATAATTAGTTTATTCTCCAAAAACAGGATTGCATTTGGCATTTCAGTCCTCGACCTTTCCGGTGGTTCCATCCAAGAAAACATGCGATTCGACACCTCCATGGCCATAGCCTCGAGGTCCGTAGAGCGCGCCGTAGCAGCGATTGCAGTAGGGTTTGTTGTCGTGCTGGAAATAGAATAGTTTTGGTTTATTTTGGTAGGAATATGGATGATTTTTAACAAAAATTGGATAAGTCTCACGAGGTATTTACCTGAGTAGCTGATGTCTAGTATAATATTGAAATATATGGCTGGATTGACTTAAAATTCGCTAAAAATAGTCTGAATTGGTAAGAAATTCAGTTCTGAGGTTTCCAGACCGTAATTTTAGATTAAATTTTTTGAAAGTAAAAAGCTCGTAATCTTTCTAATTCTGCATAACGCGATCCAAAATTTTTGCAGAACCCTCGAAAAATCTGATTCCTAAAAAAATCCATAAGTCTCAACCTTCGTAAAACTTTGGGGTAGCCAAATACTTTATATTACACTTGCCTCTGAATGTCCGCCCGCCGTCAACGTCTTCTGGCACGGTGGATTCTGACATTTGAAACAGGGCCGATGCCAATCCTTGCCCAGAGAGAAGACCCGTTCAGCTGAATTCGCAAATTTTATATTGTAAAAACTACAGTACTCCAAGTATTATTAATAAAAATAATTCTCACCCCAATAAACGGGCTTCTCGCATCCGGGGCAACTGGGCATAGTGGAGAAGTTAGGATCTTGGGCAGAGAGGGAAATTGGCCGACCAGAAAGTGGGATTGGAGAGAGGAATGAAGTTTGGGGAAGAACCCAATTTTTGCAATTTTTGGAAATTTTATTTTAATTTCTGAAATTTCATTGGTTGTGTGGGATCTCTAGTGCAAGGTAAAGTGATTTGGACCAATTTAGAGCCTTGTGGCCAAGTTCAAAGCCTAGGATGACATTTCTAGGCTGTTTTGAAGTTCTGGATGACAAATTTCTAGATTAAAAAAATATTTTCCGTTCTGGAAAAATCGGAAGCGCCATTTTATGCAGTTTATTAAAATTTATGACCATCTTGATGACGTATTTTCAGGATTTTTTAAGAAAATTTTTTTGATTTTTGAAATTTTTCGATTTTTTCAATGTCATGATTACCATCCCCCTTGATTTCAGATCAAATGTCATTCTTCGACAAGTTCCGTTCATCCCCAACTCATCCCCTGAACGAGGATCTTCTCCTGCAAACAGCCATTGAGAAAGAGGATGGGGAAATCATCAAGAGTTCGGCTCCGATGAGTGCCCTAGGAATAGAAGAGTACCCGTCCAGTTCGGAGATCCGCTCCCCATCCGATCCGAAGGCAGCGACCCCAGAGTTCGACTTGACACAAGTCTCGGAGGTCAAGGATTTCCAGACCTTGACTTGTTTGGAGGTCTCCAGTAGATTCAATTTGACCACTGGTGCCGAGAAAAGCGTGAAGGCTGCTGAAAAACCGCTGATTGAGGTAGGTTTTGGATACATTAGCGCTTGGCTGAAAGCGGAGATCAATAGACCGAAAATTTTGTATTACAGTTGACTTCATTATTGTAAAAAAAGGGATTTTATGTCAATTTCAATCCACAGATCTCGATGAAAATCAACGTAGATGAAATCTAGAGCTTGCTAAAGCATATCCTTGAATTTGAAATTGCGTTATACAGTATTTACTGACATTTTTTTGTCGAAATTTGAAAAAATATTTTTATAAATAAAAAATTTTTGGTATTGATTAACTGAAAATACGGGGCTTACATAACAAATTATAGCCTGTTTTCATTGTTTTATGATCTTTGTTACCTTCCTGCAGATCAAGTGCGTTTACCGTGACCTTAATGTTGAGGATGAGCCCTATTTCCACGGATTGGTCCGATCGATTGATACGGTGGTCATGCTGACTCAAGAAAAGTCTTTTCTCGTTCATCAAACTGCCTATTCGGGAGTTCAAGTAGGGTAAAATACGTGATCCGGTAAACGACTTCAGTACTACGTTTTGTCCCATCGATGGATGCACAAAATCCATCATCGGATCATCGGCAAATGCCAAGATGCGAATGACTGGTTCATCAATGAGCATTGTGCACCGGTAAGAACCTTCTGATATTCTCTATATTCATATTAGACCTAAAAAAGGCTGAGGGAAAGACTTGACTCAAACAATACAATCGGGGTCAAGTGTTTCTCTCTGCAGTGTGATGTAGATTTATATGTGAAATTGATAATAAAACACTTTTAGAACATCGTAGAGCTGATTGACTATCATTGTGCGAAGAAAATCCCGGTGAATGAGGAGGGCGCGATCATAAAATACGCAGTCCCTCGAAGGGATTGGTCGCTCAATGTGGAGCAGCTAATGCTCGGAAAAGCGATTGGAAAAGGAGAATTTGGGCTCATCTACAAGGCCAAGATCCGTCGACTCTTCAGACCGGACAAGAAAGCCGTGGTCAAAGTTTTGCTAAATGCCGACAAGATTGATCGATTTGAAAAGTAACGCGAATTTGATGACTAAAACAACACAAAGAATTTGATTTTTGTGGACAGGAATATATTCGGCGTATTTTAGAGCCCGTTTGTTTTGCGAAGCCCAGTTGATGATGAGTTTGCGACACAAAAATGTCCTCCGAATTTACGGGATCTGTGCTCATGGAGAAGATTTGATATTGGCACTGGAAAGAGCATCCAGTAAGTGCGGTGATATAGGCTCATTTTGCTTAAGATGGCTCGCTGTTGTCGTATCTGCAGGCCAAACATCCGAGTTCCAAGCAAAAACTCAAATTTTGTCGGCATTTGGCCAGTGGAATGGCCTATTTGAGCAAAGAAGGGGTATGCTTTAGATTCCAAATTTTTTCCTCAAGCTGTCTAGAGCTTATATCAGACATTTTCCGATATTACACCGCGATTTGGCCGCACGAAATTGCCTGGTGAGCAAATCCGGGAATCTGAAGGTCGCTGATTTTGGACTCTCGACTTCTGGCCTGGAGGCATTCAAACTCAAAGAGAAGAAAGTCCCGATTAGGTAGGTCCAAAGTGCCTTACTTATCTGTATTTTAGATGGCTAGCTCCAGAAGTTCTTCTCCATAACACATTCAGCGGTAAATCGGATAGTTGGAGCTTCGGAGTTGTGCTGTTCGAGATTTGGTCGGATGGCCAACGGCCATACGATGAGATCCGGGATAAGAAACTGGTCCGGAAGATGGTCATTGATGGTTATCGGCTAACCCCGCCGGAAGGTAACGGTTTTTTCGCTCATTTTCCGATGGGGAAAGACTTGACACAGCGGGTCGAGTCTTCTTCTCAGAGGCGCCGAACGGGCTGAGAACTTGTTAGAACAGTACATGGATCGTTTGAAAGATGTCGGTGTCAATTTTTATGATTTTGTAATCAATTTGCTCTTTGAGGGAAAGGGTTGACCCACGGGTCAAGTGTTCCTCTGACTTTTTGATTTCAGGAATGCCCGGATTTTATGCTGATGTAATGGCTGCATGCTTCCACACCGACCCGATCCAACGCTGTTCCTTGATTCAGATCGAAAGAGCCGTCAAAAATGACGATTTGAACTGGCTGGTGGCCGAAATCTCAAACGAAGGCAAGGGAAGCCCCCAAACACTTGATGAATATTTTTCATTGTAGTAAAGTTACTGATATCGGACTGACCTTGGGAGACTTTGAATGTAAAATAGAGTATTTTAGGTTGGAATAATCGATCAAAATGTCAAATATCCTAGAATAATATAAAAATTTATTAATCTTTACGATTATATTAATTGTTATTACCTTTTACTGCTCCGACAATAGCCGGTATTGCAGAGCAAAGGTCTGGGTGAAGGTCTGAGCATGAGTCAGCTTTCTCAATACGTATTTTCCCGTCATATTTTTGAATTCCATGGTTTTTGTGCCGCAGGCCTTGAAGAAAACGACGTCATCCGCCATGGACTCGATTACATATCGCTTCTTCCCTTCGTAACCACCACTAGAAGATGTTTAGACATAAAAAGTATTAACTTACACTGCATTAATATCAGGGAAAATCTTGCTCTCACACGCCAATCCATTGATTTTGTTGCATATCGGGGCGGCTCCGACCTGTTGGCAACTGCCAGCTCCATGATTGGCTCCACAAACGGAGATGTAAACATTTACCAGATGGCTTATCGGTGCGCCCAGATCTTCTCCGGTCTCAACACATTTCCCTCCGAGGATTGCCTAGAGTAATATAAAACTAACTATGTTGTTGGTGTCAACATAATTTATGATTAGACAAATGTCTCTGTTTCAGGTCTCCAGACATAAAAATTAACAAGAATATCTTTGAAATCACTGCACTGTGCACAGTGCAGTGATTTATACCATTTTGTACCGTGCAATCAAAGGAATGTCATTTTTTTGAATGTACTGCACAGTGCGGGCGCCTTGCAAAAAAACAGAACTTTTGTTTATCTGCCGCACAGTGCAAAACTGAAAATTTCTTCGCTCGGTCCAAAAAATTTTTTTTGTGCACACTGCAAATTCAATCAAAAAAATTTATCAAATTCGTTTGAAGATGCAAAATCAAGTCGAAAACGAGATATTTTCGCCCTAACGTGACCAAATTGTATTACCCTTAACCAGAGATTGCCACGGCTCCGGAGCCGGCTCTTGGCTCCGTGCCACCCCTAAAATTTCTGGCTCCGGCTCCCGAGCCCAAAGTCGGGCCGGGCTTCATCCAGAAAAGTAAAAATTCCGATAGAAATTTGAAAAATGCTTGGAAGGATGTGTTGCGTACGACTTACGATAACTTTTATTTTTGGAAAAATATTTTTTTTAAAAATTGCACGGTAGCCGAAAGCCGGAGCTGGAGGCCTTTTAAAATTTGCATGGGAGTCGGATCCGTAAGGTTGGAATTAGCTCCGGCTCTGGGAGCCAAGAGCCGGAGCCGAAATTTGGGCCGGTGCCATCTCTGTACTTGAACTACGGTACTTACCTTTCTCACAACTGGCCCTCCAGTCGACACCGAGACCACATTCACCGTTGAATTGGTGAATTCGCTGACAGCCTGGATTAGTCGACGATTCTGAAAACATTATGCCACAATTCACATAATAAAAATTTGATTACAACATAAGCATTACATGACCTACCATCAAGATGTATTCGCAGTTTACTCCGGTCTGATCCATTCCTTTATTTGGATCATAAGTCCCATAAGAAGTACCATACATTTCTTGGAACGAATATCCTCGTAATCCGAGATACGGGAGGATTGTGAAGAAGAAAATGTAAGCGCCATTACTGTAACCGTGCACAAAAACAGTCGGAATTTTTCTAAAAATATCGTGTTTTGAGCCTTTTTATCTGATCACTTGCTTCATTTTTTCTCCAGCCACATGAGGTCCCCCTCCAAATGAGCCCGGGTATTTCTGGATATCCCTTCGATTCAATTTATCCGCATATTCTTTCCCATATTTCTGCACCAAAAAGTTGTAAAAGTTACTGCTGAACCCTCCAAACGCCTCGATATTCGCAAAACAAGCGAAAGCGAAGACAACTAGCAATGAAAGTCGGTTCATTTTGAGGCAAATAGCTGTTTATATGATGCACCATGACTTATATACACAACTGAGCGAACACTTACGGGAGAAAGGTGTTAATGGGAGAGGGGAAAAACAAACAAAGATCGCTTTCAAAAAGCAGATAATAGAGTAATTAGAGCAAAACTTGAAGTTTTATCATGGAAAACTGGGAGTGGAAGTGATGAGAAAGGAAAATACTAAATTTGAAGTCATAAATTACAGACTTCGAGTACAATTGTTGTTTTATACCATAAAAACTTCGCCTTGAGGAAGGTTATCAAAAGTTTAAAACAATATTTTTTCTGAAATTTTCTGAACTAGACAAATATTTTTGATTTCAACTAACTGAAAAGGGCACAAAATTTCTAATTTCCGCACAAACCAGAACCCATTGCCACAATTCCGAATAAAAATTTTCCATTTCCAGTATCAATCTAATGAATTTATTTTCGAATCACCAATATCAACTCTATATTACTCCTAAGGCTTAGAGAGTGGTTTTGACGACATCGGAGAGCTTCTTGATCTTGGAGGCAACCGACAGGTCGACGTATCTGTCACCAATCGTCACCACAAGACCTCCAATGATTGAGGGCTTCACTTGGAAGTTGATGGTCAACTTTTGGCCGGCCTTGACGTGCTTGGAGAGAGCGTCTTTCAAAGCGGCCTCTTGAGAAGAGTTCAGCTTCTGAAACGAGAATTAATGAGGATTGTGGATCCGTATTGCAGATACTACCTAAAATATAAACAAAAAACAAAAGACTTACTTCGGCAGAAACAACATCAACAGCCAATTCTCCGCGATAAGCGCGCATGATCGTTTCGAAGGAGTTGATAACAGCCTGAAGGTTGGCCAGACGTCCGTTCTCGGCCAAGACACCTGAAAATAAAAAACGTTAGTTCAGGCAGAAAAATCGAAGAAAATTTTCGATAATAAGACATACCGCAGAAGTTTTGGACCTCAGAGGAAACACCAACCTTCTTCAAGACAGCCTCGACGGCAGCCTTCTTCTGGTTTCTCTTTAAGGTTGGGTTTTGGACGAAAGTCTAAAGAAATTGGTATTACACTTGATAAAGAGCAAAAATATCCCAAAAACATGGCTAACGAGAAGTGAAAACCACTCCCAACCTCATATTCTTGAGCGCTAAAGAAGACAAGCTCCTTCTTGCTTCGGATAACTTCCATTTAATCTAAAATCAAGAAAAAATAAATAAAAAACACACCTTGAAGTCCTTGCTGGTGGCGTACAAGTCCTTCACCTTCTGCAGGTCCTTGTCTACGGCGTCCAAGACGTTCTTCTTATGGGCAGCAGTGTACAAGGAGGAGGCATATTTACCCTCGATACCATAAGTTTGGATGGGCACGCGGACGGCCTGAGCAGCGACTGAGGCCGATGTGGCAAAGGCGCGCTTGATCATGGCTAAAATAAGCTAACAGTAACCCAAGAATGCAGTTAACAGAATGTACTTAGACACAACGGAAGATGGAAAACAAACCGCCTCTAAAAACCGCATTTAAGGGACAAAATGACAAAGTTTCAGGTTAAAATAAGGTGCAGAAATGGGTTACATAATTTTTAACAACTCTATATACCAACTTTTTCCACGGTTCATGGCTAAAACATAGTAAAAAACTTGTAAAAGTATCAAGAATAATTTCCCGACCAAAAAATTCCATAGTTTTATTCTCTTCCTGATTTCGCAGGGTTTTCGTGGTGGGACGCCAAATAAATTTTTTATTTTGTGATTTTGATAAAATTTTGTTATCAAAAATGATGTCGGCAGTACGGAATGATGTAAAAAGGTAAAAATCTTCAGAATTTTGTACAAAAAGCACAGCGCAGAATATAAACTATACACCTCTCCCAGGTGGTCAATTCTCACGGTTGCCTAGGTGAAGCAATACTGAAAAGAATGCTAAAATTCTTCCAAATTTTTTAAAATACGCTTAGTAATGTCCTGCAAAGACTGACAAAGTCTTTTAAAAATTTTGTAATGCTGATTACACAGTTTTTTCACCGAGATTTTCTTTTTGATACCTAAAATAATATAAATTTTCAGATGTCAGATAGCCGGAGGACTTACATCCTTCGGATTGCCTCGCATTTGGTCAGTTTGAACCTGAACGAAGAGAAATTGCCAAATGTTGAGTGTTTGAAAAAGTTTTGTGATACAAACGAGCAAAATCTTGTCATCAGCCGGACAGATAACGTAAGACAATATAAAAAATGCCGATTTAAATCAAAAATTTTCCCTAAATCTTTTAGAAAGGGCATGTAGAAGTGGTAAACGATCCAAAAACCGCCAGTGACACTCATTTATACCGTGTCGTCTTCTACAAATCGCAGCCGAATCCTTTGTCTGCCGAGAATTTCAAGAAAGAGATCGAAGTCCTTACCGTTAACAATTCCAATGACTCTAATGCGCTTCTTGGCACTGTAAGACAAGTTTTCGGCGATATTGGGCAAATTGAAGCCAATGTGACGAATGGAAATGCAAGAAATGGAAGTACGTTTCAAGTCTAATATAATCAAGTGTCTTAAAACAATTTCCAGCGTCCAATGCAGATTTCAAACAAGAGCTGAAGAGGTTGGAACAAACTTATGGAGAGATTGTGGAGCCCTTGGTCGAGAAATACGATCAAATCAACCAAATGACTCTTCCCGAAGTCGCCGAGTTTGTGGAAACAGCCGAATATGTGGTGGACGGGCTTTGGACGACGACTGAGGGCGGATTCTCACAAACCAGGATGACGAATCTGCTGGATATGATCGGTGAGTTACAGGAATATTTATATATGAAAGAATTTTGAACTGATTTCCCTTTTGCCCGGCCTTTTTATTCCTTCTTTCCGATCGAGAGAGCTGCAGTTTAGAAGACGGAAGGACGTGAGCCGCCATAGCTCAGTCGGTTAGAGCGTGGGTCTAATAAGCCCAAGGTCGCAGGTTCGACCCCTGCTGGCGGCAAATAACTTTTTTGGTCTTTTGTGTTGCTGAAAAGTTGAATTATCTACCTAGTAGCTACATATAATCGGTTAATACGTATTTTAATCATTTTTATATGATTTTACAGACAAAAAAGATTTATTTTTTTTAAAATTTGATGTTTTTACTAATTTTTTCTGTTTAGTCAACGAAATCTGCTCGGCATTGTCATCTCGCCTTGCCATTCCCAACTTCTGGACGGATCCTTCAGCCACGGACCTTCTAGAGACTTCAATTTCAATTTGCACTCAATGGCAGCTATCAGTAAAACTTTTAACAGGCCAAAATTGGCCCAATATTTCGAACGAATGGAAGGGCGGAGAGTTGAATAACAAGTCCCTGGAGCGATACAAACAACGACTGATCGAAGTTCAGTCGATCCGAAGGCTAATCGACCAACTGGGAAGGATGAAAGAGGGGAATGGACTGGACCGAAAGTTGGTCGATGCGATAAATTCGATAATTGGAAAGGAAAATTTACTCAAATTTGGGGAAAAAGATGGTGAAAAAGTGGAGGAGAAATTGAAAAGAGTGGAGCAAGTGATCGACGAGAATATCAAGACAGTTTTGCCGCAAATCCAAAGCAAATTAGCCGTGGCCATCGAGAATATGCCCATTAATGTGAGTTTTGATGATTTTTTTGGTAAAATACGGCATAACAATATGGAACGGTTATTTTCAGGCAGTAACACTTATCTACAAATACCGAGAAATCCTTTCACGGCCTGGGGTCCGATCAAAATTACAATCAATAAGGTGGGTGAAGATGGTAAAGCATGATTTTTAATGTTTAGGGAATCGCTTTTCACCCGCATTACCGAGTATTTCCGATCAAAAAGAAACGAATTTGAGGATGGAAAGAGGAATGGAAGTCTGTTTACAAATTCCCGGTACTTGACGGAGATTGGAGCAAAGGTGGTTTGGGTCAGGTCAAATATGGTGCAGGTGAGGAATATATAGTAAAAAATTGATAAGACACACATTGATATCTTTACACGTATTTTTTGACATTTTTAGACGTGAGTCATTTTATGCCGAAAATGCGAAAATCAAAAAAAAATTTTTTCTTGATGATGTATTTTTTTTCCGCATCGTATTTTACCCCAAAAATAAAATTTTTTTCCAGTTCCAACAAATCGAGAAGGTCTGCAACTCTCTGTTCAACGACCTCTCCTCATACGCCCAATTCGATCGGGATTTGAAAAACTTTATGGGCGAAATAAAAAAGTTCGAAGCCGAGCAATTCGACGAATGGTGCAAGGATATCCTGGCCGAAATCGACGACCCCAACAACTCAATTGCCCTCCAAACGACCGGTCGCTTGATGAAACTGGACAAGGAAAAGGGAATCCTCACCGCCAATTACAGCGACCGTTTGGTGGGCCTGTTGCGGGAGGTGGGCCAACTCTCCAGCCTCGGCTTCAATGTGCCCAGGCAGATCCAGCAGTGCACACGGACTGCGGAGCAGTTCTATCGATATGGGAATGTGTTGAAACAAGTGGCACACTTTTATAACACGATCGAACAACAAATGTTGCCCTGCCAACAGGCGATGATGCTGGAAGAGGCCTTGAGATTTGATCGTTTGGTGATGCCCAAGGGGAATTCCGATGGAAATAATGTCACCTGGGACAACCCAAAGAAATTGCAGGAGTACATCGAGGAGCTGCAGAAGGCCGCGACCGCGCTGACGACACATAATCGGTAGGAAAGGGGGAATCATATTGAGTTAGTCATCATTTCGCGGAAATACTCAATTTTGAAAAAAAATTGTGAGGATTTGTTTGTGGACCCATTTGTAGTCTGTAAGCCTTTCTCAGCGTCTTCTAAATTTTATGTAATAGAATATTTTTGCTTGAAAAATCAAAAATTGGATGATTTTGAACCTACCACAATATGATGGATGTTTCGATGGGACTAAATAGCGATTCGGGAGCAGGAGACGGGTATTTTACTCTCATTTTATCACAATTTCCCTCATGACCCCATAAGTTTTATCAAGAGGGCCTCGGATGTGTGCCGCCATAGCTCAGTCGGTTAGAGCGTGGGTCTAATAAGCCCAAGGTCGCAGGTTCGACCCCTGCTGGCGGCAAATATTTTTATTTTTTGATTTTTTTTTTAAATAGAGGTTTTATGAAATTTTTGTGTGCCAACGTATTTTACAATCAGAATACACCTTAAAACTTTAAAATACACGGATTATTACTTTTTTCCGGCGTTTGCCCGCATTTTTTTCTTTTTTCACTTTAAATTTTGTTGTTACAAGGTTGCAACTAATTTTTTACAACTCAAACTTACTTATTCTTTCTTCCAGACAGCTCCGCAAAGCCCACATGGAGATTTGTTCTCGAGTTTTGAAGATTTTGGAATCCGATTTCCTCAAAGATACCTCCCAATGGAACAGTGTTGTAGCGGCGGTTCGGAAAGTTTTTGCCGATGAAGAACAACGCGTGGCCAATCCGGCCAATATGAGACCTTGGGCCATCCATTGGGACAAGCAGTTGTTCAAGGTGCTCCAATTGCATTTTCATTTCTCCATTCAAAATGTGCATACATTAATCGGACCTGTTCATGTCCAACTGGTCTTACGGTAAGTTTGGGGGTTGTAAATACTATTTGTGATGGTTTTTACTGAAAGAAAAAGTGGTTAAGGGAGTTTTAGTGGGATTAGAAGAGATGAAAAGACAAGGGTTGATGTTTTTGATGAAAGCCAGCTAAGATCCGCAATATTTCGTCCAGTTATGGTCATTATTTCGTAGTCAGATCTTTAGAGTATCATAAAAAAGTTGAGGTTGAGATTAAGTCACCAATATTTTCTAGACAGATTTTTTTATATTAGCCATGATGATTTTGATGTCTTCGAAGAAAATTGGTTGTTCTAAGTGGTCGCTTTCGATTTTTATGCCTATGATTTTTGATTCAGACCCTAAGAGCTGCCCTTGAGCCATGAAACAAGGTCATGGCTCCTCGCAGTTTAGCTTTTGCCGTATTTCGACAAAAATATAAAGTATAGCAGATGTCTAAATTAAGGTTGAAAATTTTTCAGCGACCACGCCCTAACCCTAAGGCCATCTCTACACGAGACCAAAATGAAATTCTACGCCGATCTGCAAAAGTTTTTCACAGTCCCAGCGCAATTGATGAGCGTTCAGACCTTGAGTAATGTAAGTGAGCATAAGCGAGGATCTTGATGAAAATTTCTGGATTACCCTCAAAGTATTTATTTCAAATTTTATTTTCAGAAGTCTCAAAGTCCATTTGCCACGATCCCTTTGCTGAATGTCTCCAAATTCCCGCAGATTTATCAGAATTTGGAGAAATATTTTGATGAGTTGAGCAGGGTTTGCGACAAATACGAGGAATGGGAGTGGATGAGCAACATCGACCTGGAAGAGTTGGTGGCCGAGGAATTCACACAGAGTTCGCAGTGGGAAAAACAATTGGTCCAGCTGAGGGCAAGGCAGCGGAAGGCCGATGAGATCGAAAAGTAAGGGATTTTTGGAATGAAATTGGAATTTTCAGGGGGCTTCTGGTGTGAAATTTTGGTGTTTGCATTAGGATATTCGAAATTTTGATTTTTTGAAAGAAAATTTCATCAAAAACGGAAAAATCAGGTTTTTTGAAACTTACGGTATTATATCTCTACTCTTTCTGCATAACGTGACCTCAAATTTTATGAGTTGCTTTAGGAAGCTTTTACCTACATTTTCGCCAAGTTTCATAAAAATCCATATATTACACTAGGGGTAACATAACAGTACTGTAACAAAAATTTGTTTGATTACTCTAAAAGCCCAAATTACATAATGAGCATTCATAAACACCTAAAAACTTGATTTAAAATTTCCAGTGAGCTAACGATCGGCCCGATAGTTGTGTCCCTAATGTCATTCAAAAACTCATTGAATTCAATGCTCCGAAGAATGAATGAGACGTTGAATTGGACCCTGAAGAATTCGATAAATCAAGGAATCCAAACACTGAGTTCGACAATCAAACGAGGCACCGATTTGTTGGCTGTGAAACCGCAAACAATGCAGGATATTGGGGAGACCAGCAAGAATTACATTACACTCAAGAAGGACCTGCCGTTGGTAAGGTTTGAAGATAAAATTTTGGTGTCTGACGATGTTTTAAAGAAGAGATTACCTTTGTACATTCTTTTATCAGTCATTTTTCACATTTTCATGCGGTTTTTTGTAGGAGAAATTCAAAAATTAAGATTTCCGCTATTTTTGGCATTCTGTTTCAAGCTCACAAGGGAAGTACCCCAAGTGCGACGCTCAGATTTTCTTTAGCTCGCGCTTTGCAGGAGCCGCCGAGATATCGGACGATTTATGCCGCCGAGAGAGCACGCTAAACGTGGAGAGCGGTCAGAGAGAAAAGCGCTTTTTGGCCATAACTTTGGCAGTTTTGTGCGGAAAAATTTGATTTTTTGTAGAAACATTATCCTTTATGGTAGAAATAGGCACGAAACTTTTCGTGCCGAAATTCAGCAAAAAGTACTAAATTTTCGCCGACTTTCAGTCTAAAAATCTCCGTCGTTTCTGCAAAGCGCGAGCTAGAATTCTCGCATATATCTTAGAAAAAATTATTCTAAATTTGTGCCAAGTTTCATCAAAATCTGAGCGTCGCACTTGGGGTACTTCCCCTGTCAAATTTGAAGTTTTTGACTTATTCTGGAGACTGTAGATGATTTAGATTGTCGAATGAATTATGTTACAAGGGATCGGCAAAACCGCGCATCCTGGTTTTTTCTGGTTTTTCATTGTGAACATCGACTTGGGTATCTGAAGGTCGGAAAAAAGTATGTATTTTTCGGCATAGGATGAAGCGTTGGACGTCATAGGTACGTATTAGACATATGAAAAGTAATTCTTCAATCTCTTTAGCATCTCAAAAGCAAAGAGTCGTGAAATCCAACTAGGAATTTTTTTAAAATTCTCGCTAGCTAGAGCGTAAAGCAAAAATAGCAGCTAATAAAAGGTGATCCTAGACCAGTTTTTTACGCTCTTTCAAATGGTATATGTTTCAAGAAAAAACCAGGATGCGCGGTTTTGCCGATCCCTTGTTAGACTCAGTTTTGTTAATTTCTTCGTATTTTAAACCTGATTTTTTGATTTTTTCGAGCTTTGGCCAAAAATTGAAGATTTTCTAAAAAAGTAAAATTTCGGCCGAATTTATAGCCAGGCTTAGTCTAAATAACTGTCAAATTAATTTTCGTCTTCCACAAATCTTGTATTTTAGACGTCGGACCATTTGAATCGCCTGAACGAACAGAATTCCCTTCTCCGCCGCTGGACCGGCGCTGGTGTCACCGACCTCAACGAGGTCAGCAACGAGTTCGAAAAGTACAAAAACATGCTGGAAATGTTCGATGACGTCATCAAGGAGCAAGTGGACAACATGAAGGCCAACATTGCGGACCGCATCAAGCAGTTGGCCAACGACGCCGAGCTGGTCTACGCCCATTGGAAGCAGTTCAAACCCACCGGCGACGTCCTCATGGCCGAGAATGATGTGCTCACAAAGAATGTGGAGTTCATCAGAGAGTGTCAGAAGAAATATGACGGGTTAATGGAACAGTATGAGAGTCTGAGGGACGATTGCGAGAAATTTGAACTCCCAAAAGTCGAGATTTCAATTATGGAACAGATGAGGAATGACCTGGGCGCGACTGCTGAGAATTATAGAATATATGAGGAGTTCGACACGGAATTGAAAAAGCTCGGAGAAACGGAATGGATCTTGTTTAGGTGAGTTGCGGGATATTGTAGTAGGTAAAGGTGTCTCCGAATAAGCGAAAATTGGAACAATTGTCATTGATGGCTTTGTTTAGCTGTGTATTAGTTGTTAGGGGCTATTTACCGCAAACGAGTAAAATAAATTTATATAAATATATCTTTTTTGAATATTGTAGTAGGTAAAGAAGGCCTTTGTGTCTTAAAATAACTTTAGGATTTTAAAAAATGTTCATCATCGAAAAGTATATGCCTTTTTGGGATATTGCACTAGGTATAAAGCTGAATGTAATCGAAGAGAAATTCAGGAAGATGGAAGTGGCTGTTGCTATAATGAAAGACAAATTTTACAGTCTTTGCGAAATAGATTGATCCTAAAATACGTTGAATCTTATAATTTCTCAATGCACATTATGTTCCGAAATTATTTTTGATAGCCCCAAAAGCAATATTTCGATATTTGAAAAATTTTTAGTAGCGTTTTAACTGCAAAATATATTTACGTGTACATCTTTTCAGGAACAAAGCCTATCTTTTCGACGAGTTTCTGCAAGAATGGACCAACAAATTGAAGCAATTGCCAGTGAATCCGATCGTCGTCCGTCTACAGCGCCAAATCGAGCAGATGGCCGACTTCTCGGCGGCCCTCAAGTTCTGTCGCGGCGAAAGTTTGAGTGCGCAACATTGGACGGAGATGTTCCGTTTGCTCCAGCTGCCTCGAGGCACTTTGTTGGAGCAGCTGACCTTCAATGATTTGATTGGAGTCCGAGAAAATGTGGTGAAGAATGTGGACGGACTGAAGGAATTGAGCTCGAGAGCGCAGGGAGAAGCCGCCATCCGCGATGCGCTCCAGGAACTGGAGTTGTGGGCGGCGCAGGCGGAGTTCGTTTTGAGCGATTACAGACATTCGAATGGGCAAACCATCAAGATTGTGAAGGAGTGGAAGGAGCCCATGTATCAGGTAGGAAATAATTGTTAATAGCTCGAGGCATAGTGCTCGGATTTACTTCAAATTTTGTTTATATAATCTGTATAGGCTATATTAACATCTCTGAAAGCTTTAACTCATGGTTTTAAGAGACAGCTGGGATATTGACCGAGATTTTTAATATTTTCAATTTCAATATCTCGGCTTGTTCTGCAGAGCGCGATCTAAAATTTTAGGATTAGTCCAAGAGAGCTCTGAATTTGATCCCTGCGAAGTTTCAGCCATAAATTTTATTGGCCACTGGTCAAAAATCGTATTTTATAACTTGCCAAGTACAATAAAATTCTTCCCTCAAATTTTTTTGCAACCCATTTTTGATCCTCTTCCAGGTCAAAGACAACCAAACCCTGTTGATGTCGTTGAAAAATTCGACTTATTACACCCAATTCAAAGATCAAACCTCTGTTTGGGAGAAGAGAATCGCGGATTTGGAGGTCTACCTCCAGTTGATGATGCAGATCCAACGAAAATGGGTCTATTTGGAGCCAATCTTTGGCCGAGGTGCCTTACCGGCCGAGCGAGCGCGATTCCAGCGAGCCGACGCCGAGTTTCGCTCAATTCTGCATGATTTGGCCAGAAATCCGAGACTTGTTCACTTGGCCAATGAAAAAAGCCTGGCCAGAAGTTTGGACGAGATCTCTGATCAACTGGGACGATGTCAACGCGCGTTGAACGACTTTTTGGAGGTGAAACGAGTCGCGTTTCCGAGGTTTTACTTCCTTGGCGATGATGATTTATTGGAGATCTTGGGGCAATCCACGAATCCGACGGTCATTCAAAATCACTTGAAGAAACTGTTTCAGGTGGGAATTGTTTTTGAGGATCTTGGAAAGAGCTATGAGGAATAGTTAGGGAGATTTCCAAATTTAAGTGTTTTCGTGGTGGGACCCAACTTTTGAAGACTTGGCGAAATTAGTGGGTTTTGTATTGAATAGTCTATAAATAGTAGGTAAATTGTGGGTTGAGTTATTGAGTGTGGTTTAAAATTCAAGCGATTGTGATAAATTTGGGTCCCGACACGAAAACGATAAATTTTAAAAATTTCCCCGGAAGCTTGAAATTTTAATAATTTGTTGAAAAATGTATGTAGTAGAGTATTCTAGGGGATTGAGCGAGTCGTATTCGATGCGGAAAAGAAGACAATCAGAGGGATCATCTCGCCTGAAAACGAAAATGTTTCGTTGATGAAACCGGTCACAATCGTTGCTGATGTTGAGGTAGGCCATTGCTAAATATGTTTTTAGACCTTTAAGCTTTTCCATTGCAAGATTATATAGAGATTTGGGTTATTTTTTTTATCATATATCACCTAATTTGATATTCGATGTCAAGTGTAATATAATTTTTTTAATTTTTGTCAGAATTACCTCAAATCTCTTGTCGATGAGATCCGCGCCACCCTGAAGAAGCTTCTTTTTGATTGTCTGGCCGAGTCGAATCTCGATCCGAGCAGATATCCCACTCAAATCATCTGTTTGGCCGAGGAAATTCGATTCACCAGAGACTTGGAAGAGGTTTTGGGGAGGAATGGGGACCTCAATAAGTTCAAAAAGGATCTAGAAGACCAATTGGAGCAGTTCACGACAGTCACAACCGATGATTCTCTGATGGATTTGAAGCTGAAATCGCTGATTTTGGATATAATTCATCACATAAAAGTGGTCGAGCAGCTCATTTCTTCGAAGGATAAGTCAGTTTTTAGTGTAAAATACGAACTCCAGAGCGTTGTCCTTCGATTTAATAAATTTTTAGATCAATTTCTTCCTGGACCTGGCAAAAACAGATCAGATTTTACTTGAAGGGCCAAGATGTCCTCATCAAACATGTCAACGCGGAGATACAGTACACCTACGAGTATCAGGTGAGATTCAAAGGCTAGGCATAAGTGGTGGTATTTTTTGGGAAACAGAAAAGTGCAAAGAAAATCTTGCCTTAGTCCCCCCTTACCATTTTTCCTGGGAGAACAACTGGCTTGCAAAAAAATTGAAGTTGTTGCGACTTGGATCGAAAAATTGTATGCTCAAAGAATTTTTTTTTGTCTGTCCGACTCTCCTTATTCCACGAACTCTATCTTAATGATGACCGTTGAATATAGCGGTGGCCGCTGAATGATGTCATCTAAAATTTTCTGGGAATGATTTTTGACTTATTCAGAACCTCTATGCGAAATTTCAAGCAAGCGTGAGCCTGTTGCCTCTGGCAGTTTCTCAATATTTTTGACAAAATTTATTCGCACAGTGCAAAGGTTTGAAATATAATAAAATTTTGGGGAAGGTTTTGAGGTAATTATAGAAAAAATGTACGAATCAGGCATATTCTTCTACAAAAAGCTTTTTGGGGCTAAGGTAGTACAGCCCCCCAGTCCAGTTTAGCCCCCCATGACCCAGTACAACCCCCCTCGTCCATTCTGAACCCCAAAATTTATTTCAAAGAGTTAATCCAAGTTGTATGGTCCAGCACAAGCCCCCTACGTTTTAAATCAAGCCCCCTACGCTTTAGATGAAGCCCCCTACGTTTTAGATCAAGCCCCCTAAGTTTTAGTTCAAGCCCCCTACGTTTTAGATGAAGCCCCCTACGTTTTAGTTCAAGCTCCCTACGTTTTAGGTCAAGCCCCCTACGTTTTAGATCAAACCCCCAACGTAGTAGATCAAACTCCCACTTACATTTTTTGTATTATTCTAATTTGTTCATTATGTGGGGTGTGAAACGGGCAAAACAGTGGGGTTTGAACTACCTTTCGTGGGGGGCTCAACTACCGAAGCCCCAGCTTTTTTAGGTCCTTTCGGATCCACTTCGCATAACTTGTTGCACATTTAAAAATTTAAAAAATTTCATATTTTAGGGCTGTGCCGCGAAACTGGTCCACACTCCGTTGACGGACAAGTGCTACCTCACACTGACCCAAGCCCTCTCCCTTGGCCTCGGTGGCAATCCGTTTGGCCCCGCAGGGACGGGAAAGACCGAATCCGTCAAGGCGTTGGGCAATCTTTTCGGGCGTCAGGTCCTGGTCTTCAACTGTGATGAAGGGATTGATGTGCAGGCAATCGGACGGATGTTCATTGGCCTCATTCAGTGCGGTGCCTGGGGCTGTTTCGACGAATTCAATCGCCTGGATAAGGACGTTTTGTCCGCGGTCTCCAGTCAAATCCAGACTCTTCAAGATGCGATAAAGAACCGATCTTCCACTTGCCAATTGAACAATCGAAATGTGAATGTCGACTTTAATGCGGCGATTTTTGTGACGTTGAATCCGGTGGGAAAGGGATATGGAGGAAGACAGAAGCTGCCGGACAATCTGAAACAATTGTTCAGACCAGTGGTGATGTCCAAACCGAATAATGAGGAGATCTCGGAGACTTTACTCTTCGCTGAGGGCTTCAAGAAGGCCAAGTTAATGGCCAATAAGATTGTTACGGCATTTGATATGAGTCGGTGAGTTGATTTTGGAGGATATTTTATATTGTAGTAGGGGCCAAATGAGTGGCCGAGTTGATCTTAAATTCAGGTAGCAGGTCTTTATAGCGCCAATATAATTTTATTTACTTTTCTAACAGATATTTTAACACTTGAAGTTCTTTTTTGAACATAAATTACATTGTAGTAGACATCAAATGTCATAAACTTGCCATAATTCCTCTAATTCATCTATAATGCTTCCAGCGACCTCCTGAGTAACCAACAACACTATGATTGGGGTCTTCGCTCGATGAAAACAGTCCTCAAAGGCTGTGGATCCGCGTTGGCCAAGGTCCGAGGGAAGTCCGAGGTGGACGAAGAAAAGATCGTCCTCCAAACTCTGATGCTGTCCACGCTGTCCAAGCTCACTTTCACTGACTTTAAACGGTTCAACGCTCTGTTAAAGGACGTTTTTCCGGGGGTTGACGCAGAAGTTGATCAGTTTGCGGACTTGACGGAAAATGTGGCCAAGTCGGCGGAGAAGTCGAATCTTGAGCTGACCAACGACCAGATCACAAAGATAATTGAATTAAACGAACAACTGAGTCGTCGGATAGGCGTGGTCATTGTTGGCCCGCCCGGTTCGGGTAAATCTACATTGTGGTTGACGTTGAAATCGGCGATGGAAAAGATGGGAACCGGCGTCGGGTTGTACACAGTGAACCCGAAGGCCATGCCTAAAACAAAGGTGGGTGCTGGAGAGCAGAGGAGGGATACGGAGGGTAAAATACGATGGATTAATGTTGGTTTGTAAATTTAAAATTTTTTGGTTCAAAAATAGGAAAAAAATTCGAATTTTTCGATAATTGTCCGTCAAAAAATCAGTAAATTTTTTTCAGAAAATTGAAATGAAGTCTTGTTCTGACGTTTCATATAGTTTTTGAGCCTGCGGTCAACGATTTCTTATCAGAAAAATCAACGTTTTACCATTTTTTTTTTGAAAATTGAAGGATTTTCCTTTTTTTGATCCTATACTTATATAAACATTCACAAAATACTGTCGTTTTGTTTCCTAGACACCCTTTGACAACTTGTTAGGCCAGGAATTTTTTCCTTCCAGAAAATTTTTAGTGTACAGTGAGGGACCTGACCCAATGGCAAAAAACGTCTCCTTTTGCATCCCGGAAGGGACCAAAATGACTCCAAACCCTTCCCTTCTCTAAGCTAAAAAAACTATGCTTTGAAAAGCGCGCCCTTTCCTTCAAGGCGGGCTCTTCAAAGCGAGGTTTTTCAGCTTAGAGAATGGAAGGGTTTGGAGACATTTTGGTCCCTTCCGGGATGCAAAATGAGACGATTTTTGCCATTGGATCCGGTCCCTCACTGTAAAATACGGATATTCCGATTTTTGCTTGCTCAAAATAATATAGTCTCCCCAAAACCAACAAAAATTCTTCAGTTTCTCGGCGAAATGAATCTGGACACTCGCGAATGGACTGACGGAGTCCTGACATCAGTTGCCAGAGAGGTCGTCAAAGATCCGGCCAAGAGGGCGTGGATTGTTTGCGATGGGGACGTGGATCCGGATTGGATCGAAGCTCTGAACTCCGTGCTGGATGACAATAAATTGCTGACAATGCCGACGGGAGAGAGAATCCAGTTTGGGGACAATGTCAATTTCATTTTTGAAACCGACGATTTGAGGCATGCGTCACCGGCGACAATCAGCAGAATGGGCATGATCTACATAAGGTAAGGCCGGGATTTGGGAATTTTGAGGGGTAAGGTGGGTGATGAGTATCAGTAATGATAGTTTCGTAATCGTAGGGTAAGTTTTGAAAATATTTTTGGCAGAAAAAGAATGAAATTTTTGATTTTGGGTCCCAACACGAAAACCTGATGGGTTGTCCGAATAAATTATTTTGACTTCTGAAAGGTTGTACGACCTTATTTTTACTCATTGCTACACAAATTAGATTTATAATTGCCAATTTTGACTAAAGTTTTGAGTTTTGTGTCCCACCACGAAAACCTGACAAGTCATCCAAATCGGTTATTTCGATTTCTGAGACGCTTTTGAACCTCTTACTTTAATTATTAGCACACCAAAACCTTTTCTTGTTTCTTTTAGCGATGAAATTGTCTCCATTGCCTCTCATATCAAGCGACTGTGCAAGATCAAAGAAATTCGCCCGGAAATCGCTGATTGGCTGAACGAAACTCTTCCTGAAGCCATAAAATGGGTCCTACGACACTCGGATCAACAAGTTAGCCGGGTTGCAATCGTCGAAAACGTGGTTTCCCAAACCTATGATGCCAGTAATATCGACGAATTCAAGGTTGGATTGCTCAGAGGATTACTTCCTTATGTCAGCATGGAGTCGTTCACAGCTCTGGCGAATGATGTAGGTGGCGATTTTGGATCTTACTTTGCAAAATATGATGTTATGAAGGGGGTTTTCGAGAAAATTTAATTGGTTTTTTTGGAAAAAAATATTTTTTTGGGATTAAAAAGCGATTTTTGGGTGTTTCTGCATAAAATTTCGTAAAAATTTCCAATCCATATATTACACTAGACTCGAATTTGTATTATCATGTGTAATACAATCCAATTCTGACTTATTTTAGGTCGTATTTCAAGGACAGCACCTCCCCAACCCCGCCAATCCCCTGAACGTCCATTATGACAAACAATCCATGTCTTTGCAATCATTCTCCGACGACTCTTACACCAATGTCACCTTGAACGACATGAAATACGAAGAGAAAAGACCTACAATCTTGACGGCTAGAATGAAGATTGCCCGGGATACTGTGGCCAAATGGTTGCAGGAGGAAAATCGAGAGTCGTTTTGTGTTTTGGGCCCCGATGGAAGCGGGAAAGATCAGCTGTTGAGGGGATCTTTTGCTGAACATTACAAAAGTGCACTCGTCAGACTGAATTGTGGAGCGAGAACAAGGTGAGAAAGGGCTGTATTCAGGTTGAGGAAGGCCGTTACGGGTTGTTTTGAGGTTTATGTCGACTTCAGGGCGTAGTTTTACATAATTGGACATATTTCATCGTATAAAATTGCATTGTTAAGCCGAAAACAAACTAGTTATGCCCTGTATGAGGTTTACTGTAATTTTAAAATACGCACTGACGAATTTTTGTTTCCTGTTCAAGGAAATAGCACTCTTACCAATTTAGACGCCTTTCGTCGTATAAAATGGTCAAATTCCGCTATTTTGAGCGAAATCGAAAAAAATTGTTTTCGTGAAAATTTTATGGCCAGTAATGATTACCAAGCCTAAATTTGGATAATTTATGACGTCAGTTTTAAAGATTTTGGCATTTTTGACTGCTCAAACACTTTTCATCGTATAAAATGGCAAAGTCCTAAAAATAACCACCTTACAAATAAAATTACCTCTAAATTTCAGTGCGTTGGACATAATGGACCTCCTCACCCGCAACTGCGTCCAAACCCAATCGGCCGCGGGTCGTTCTCTTCGGCCGAAAGACAAAGACCATCTGATTGTGTATCTAAAATCAATAGATCTGATCCAACAAGACAAGTACGGAAGCTCAATGACCATCTCCTTTCTCGAAGATGTCCTGCATTACCATGGCTTCTATGATTCGAATAATGATTGGACTTTCCTGGAGAACGTTCAATTAGTCTGCACTTTTGCTCATCCCCCGTCAGCTGGACGTTCGCTGATCCCACCGAGGTTTATTTGCTCTTCCAAATTGATGTTCATGGACCCTCCAGTGGATGAGGAGTTGATTGTGTTGGCGTCGGCTTATTTGCAACCGATTATTGGGGTAAGAAGGCATGGATAATATAACTTTTATGGGGATTGGTGGATTTGATGAGATGGGATAACATAATTAGTGTCTAGAGGGCGCTTGTCTCAAATTTGACCCTTATGTTTTATAATTTTTATGGTAAAAATTGTTTCGATCAAAGAATTTTTTTGCACTGTGCGGTGAAAAAGTTTGATTGCACGGTGCGGTAATGGAACGTCCGGAAAGTCGCTGGACCGAGATTGGCGACACTCCGCACCGTGCGAAAACAAAAGTTTTCTTTGCACTGTGCAATTTTTTCCTTTTTGCACCGTGCAAGTCGGCTTTTTTCGATCGTCGCTCGCACCCTGACTTTTTTCGCACAGTGCAAACGCCGAAAATCAGTCCAGCGACACGCCGCACCGTGCGAAAACAAAACTTTTCTTTGCACTGTGCAATTTTTTCCCTTTTTGCACAGTGCAAGTCGGCTTTTTTCGGTTGTCGCTCGCACCCTGGCTTTTTTCGCACAGTGCAAACGCTAAAAATCAGTCCAGCGACTTTCCGGAAGTCCGGAGCAAAAATTTTTATAAAATTTGTGCACTGTGCGTAACTTTTTTTTTATAAAATCGCACTGTGCAAAAAATAAAATTCGATTTTTTGCACAGCGCGATAGCAATGGGTTGCTGTAAAGTTATTTTGGGTTCTAAAAAGGGAAAATTAGGGGTGATTTGAACAAGAAGTTTAACTAAATGTATTTTAGGACCAACTCGGCTCCTCTTCTCGAGTCGAAGCCTTCGCCGCATCTCTAGTCCAGACTTACAAACGGATCAAAGACCAGTTAGCGGCCGCCACGCAAACTCATTACGATTTTTCAACCCGAGATCTGATCAATTGGATATTATCCTTCATGAGATATGGATTTACAGGTTAGTATTAAAAAAAAAATTTTTTGATTTAATTTTTTTTATTTTTTAGCTGAAAATATCGCAACTTTACTGCCCTTGGCCAGCGCCTTCGAAGCGAATTGCATTTTTGTGGATCGATTAATCAATTTCGACCATCGGAACGAGTGTCAGCACATCATAAACGAGACTTTCCGCATCGGAAAGGAGAGCATTTTCGCCCCGATTCCAGGCGCTTTTCAATGGAGACAAGCAGTTATGGGGAAACCCTTGGAATCCATCCAAAAACAGGAGTATATTGCGCAATTGAACAAGGGCATCAATCGATTTGGTAAGCAAAAATCGAATTAAAAAAAATTTTTTTGTTTTTGCTGAAATTTTGCTAAAATTAGGTTCAGAATTCTCTGAAGCGCTGTTGAAAATTTTGAACAGCGTTATGCAGAAATAGCCGGGATAAAGGAAAATTAGTTTCGAAAAGTTTAATTTGGCATGCAGCTTAGCGCTTTCTATAGCGCTATGAAAATTTTTAAATCGCGTTGTGCAGAAACGTTTGATTTTTACGAATTTTAAATTCAAGAAATCTCTTTTTTTAAATTTGCGGAAAATGAAAAAATGAATTATAAAATAAATAGCAAAAAAGATTTTTTACTACTTAAAATTACCTATCTTCTCTGTAAAACATAATTCATTTTATATTACACTACCTTTATTTTTTCAGAATTCGAAGTTTCCTCATTTCCATACGTCCTCTCCGAAGATCTCCTTGCCCTTTGCCTCTCATTGGATCGGACTCTAACCCTCTCTGGAGGGCATATTTTTATGGCCGGATATTCGGATCGTATGAACCGGGCAGCCGCTTCCTTGATCTCCCACCTTCATGGACTTCGGATTTTCTCCCCAAAAGTCTCATCGAATTATTCGTTGAAAAACTTTTGCAACGATCTCAAACAAGCCATCACGTATGTGGCATTGGAGTCAGAGCCTGCTGTTTTTATCCTGGAAGATTGTCAGATTCTGGAAGAAACTTCCCTGCAGTACATTAATCAGATTTTGTCCACGGGAACGGTACCCGGATTGTTTACTGGGCAAGAATTTGAGCAAATGACTGGTCAATTGAGGGAGTTAGCGTCGGCTGATAGCTTTGATGGAGAGCTGGCGGAGTTTTTTGCGTATAGTAAGTGAATTTTTGACCGTATTTTGGCTTTGGGCCATTTTAATTAAAATTTTTTTTTTTTGAAAAAAGTGGGAAAAACTTTCAAAAAATTGCCTTTTGAAGGGGAAAAATGCATAATGAATAAAATTACATCGTTAATTATATTTTATTTATGTCAGTGGTACTGTAAAAACCAAAAGATTCATTTGCCGCCAGCAGGGGTCGAACCTGCGACCTTGGGCTTATTAGACCCACGCTCTAACCGACTGAGCTATGGCGGCACACATCCTAGGCCCTCTTGGTTCGTTCGAGGAATCAAAAGAGCCTTTTTTCCTCCGGTTTTGATTCAATTTTATGTTGATTTTTGCAGAAATCAAGCGAAATCTTCATGTAATTGTGATATTGGACATCGAGCAATCAAATTTTGGGCAAAGACTTCAAACCAACCCGTCATTGTACAAATTTTGCTCTGTGATTTGGCGAATTGAACCCGATTCGGAGACTTTGAAACAGGTAGAGTTAAGTGTAATATAAAAAAATATTTGATGTTAAGGTGGTGAAAATGTCCTTAGAGCAAGCGCAACTCCCCGTTCGCACGGATCACCCGGATTTACTCTACAATCTCTACAATAAATCACCCCCAACTACTCGGATTTTCCCCAAATTCTCGGTTTTTGTTCAGAATTTTATCCAAATTTACAAGTCAAAGTCCACCATGGTGAATGAGAGGCTTCGTCGACTCAAAGCAGGGGTGGATAAGCTGAACGAAACGAGGGAACAAGTGGCCAAGATGCAGAAAAAAGCGGCCAAGAAATCGAAATTATTGACAGAAAAGCAGCAAGAAGCGGATAACGCGCTGGCCATGATCACTCAGAGCATGACGGTAGGTTTGCGTTAGCATTTATAACAATTTTTTATCTAGAGATCAATTTTTTTGCTGATTTTTTATACAAAAAAGAAAAAAATGTCTGACCGCTCTCCATATTTTCCGTGCTCTCTCGGAAAAAAGTTTGTTGAATATCTCGGCTGTACCTGCAAAATGGCAACTAAAATTCTGTGGAATTAATATCTGGCCTATATGTAATCTATGAACAAAAATTGAAGAAAATATGAGCATTGAACTTTGAGCCCCTCCCTTGACATTTCACTTGTGATTTATGCCATTCTAGGGCGCCAAAGAACAAAGAGCGGATATGGAACAACTCCGACAGGTCACAGAAAAGGAAAGTCAGCACATTGAAGAGCAAAAGAAGCTGATCGAGGAGCAACTCAAGGATGTGGAGCCGTTGCTCAAGGTAGGGTTGGGAGAAATTATGACTTTGGGATAAGAGTGAATAATTTTTTCCAGTTCTTGGGCTGACGTTGGCAGAATTGGTATTGTAGTGAATGAGTATGTCATATGAGGCATATTTTACGCCTTAAAATGGCGATTTGCACCAAATTTGTGACACTTTTTAATTAATTTTATTTATTTTTGTCTAAAATAAGGTAATTTTGTCGTTTTTTGAGGAAACATTTATTATTATAAAGCAAATAGACGCTCAGTATTCCGTATTTTACATTCAGATTTCTTTTTTCCATAGTTTAAAAAATTTTTGTCTTGTTATCTTGTTTCAGCCTAAAATAAGGTAATTTTATAAATTTTTTTGGAGAAAAGTGCATGTATTATGTAGCAAGTAGACGCCCAATACTCCGTATTTTACATTTAGATTTGTTACTTCTTTATAATTTATAATTTTTTAAACATTTTTCTTGTCTAAAATTTGGCGATTTTCCAAATTTTTTCCTCAAAACCAACATTTTTATGAAGTGGATGGACAGTACTCCGTATTTTACATTCCATTTTATTCAAGTATATCGATGCTGACATAAAATTTCGGAAATATCACGATTTTTCCGGAGCAAATACTCCAAAACCTTGATCGCATTCTCTTCCTCGTCCAAATTATGGTCATTCAAGTTGATCGCGGCATGATCGGGCGCATAAATATCGGCTTTCAGGATCAAATACATCATGTAGACTATTATTAGACATACGAAGATCGTATATACATACGCTAATAGGGCCAAAATGACGTCATCATGAGGAATCTCTGAAAAATAAGGGAAAATTGGGAAAAAAGGGTAAAATACGAACATTGCTAAGTCTCCTCCATATTTTTTCGGTTTTAGCAAACAGAGTAGAGTAGAATAGACAATAAACTCACCAATGCTAAGCCATGTCATATCGAAAATCGCCGAGAAATTGGGGAAATCGACCAAGTTTGGGGTAGAAATGGAAGAAATGATGACTTCCCGATTTTAGGAGGCCAGAAAAGCCGTTGGATCGATAAAATCGGAGAGCTTGTCCGAGATACGAAGTCTGCGGGCCCCACCGGACGCCATCCGAGACATCCTCCAAGCCGTTTTGTTGTTCATGGGCATCTTGGACAACTCCTGGGATTCGATGAGAAGGTCAATATTTGAAACAAGATTTTATCGTAGTTGTAAAATACGGTTTTCCAGTTTTCTTATGTACCTATATTTGCATTTTGAACAAAGAAATTTGTTGAAAATGAAGAAAATTTCAGATTTTTGGCCAAAAACGGGGTCAAAGACGAAATAATCAACTTCGACGCGCGAAATGTGACTTCAGATGTGCGGAAACGAGTGCAGAAAGTTGTCTCAGAGAAGAGGAATTCGTTTGATGAGAAGGTTGCCAAACGCGCGTCAGCTGCGGCCGCTCCTTTGGCCGCTTGGGTCATGGCGAACATCGAATATTCGTCCATTTTGGAGAAGATTCAGCCACTCGAAAATGAGAAAAACGCTCTGTTAAAGTAAGCAGACACCTTTTACAGTCATTTAAATTGATTTTTAGTGGGGGGCAGTAATATGTTTTCGATTTTTTTTTATTTTTGAAAATTTTCAGGCAGTTCGCTCAAACTGAGAAACAAATGAAAAGCTTGTCGGGCCAGCTGACCTCGGTGGACAAACAAGTAGAAACTCTGAAAAAGGAGTTCGAGGAGTCCATGAAAGAGGCCACGCAAATCAAAGTCGATCTGGATCGGGAGCAAGCGGCCATCGAAGTGGCCGGCCAAATGGTCGAGAGGCTCGGAGGGGAATTCAGCCGATGGCAAACGCAAATGCAGAGTCTGGAGGGAGAATTGGAGTTTGTAAGACTGATTGGAAATTACAATTTTAAATTTGGCAAAAATTTGAATTTTTTTTTGAGGCGTAAAAGGAAAAGGCAAATTTTTAGACGAAAAATAACTTTTTAGTAACAAAAAAAAAAACAAACAGTTATTTGCCGCCAGCAGGGGTCGAACCTGCGACCTTGGGCTTATTAGACCCACGCTCTAACCGACTGAGCTATGGCGGCACACTTCCGATTTGATTTTGATAAGGAAATCAAGAGGCCCTAAGGGAATTTTCTGATCAATTAGGGTTAAATATGTTCTTTTCTTTCTGATAGAGCGAGTCTAGAAATATCAGTGACACTGATTTATTGTAACTTTCCAAAAAAAGACTTATTTTTTGAGATTTTTTTTCAAAAAATGCTCTCAAAAACTTCAGATGGATATTCACTGTGCTCTCGGTGCCGCATTCTCCACCTTCCTTGGCATCGAAGCCTTCGATAATCGGGAGAAAGTTTTCAAAAATTGGCTGGAAATGTGTGGCCTGAAGACCTTTGATCCGGTCGCTTTCCTAACATTGGAAGTGGACCAACAAAGATGGAAGACGATGGGGCTACCCTCGACCAAAATGGCGGCCGAAAACGCGGCCATAATCTTCAATTCCACCGAAACTCCATTCATAATCGACTCGAGTGGGGCCATCAGCAAATTCTTGAGCAAATTACATCAAGGGAAAGATTGCCAGGTCCTCAAAACCGCTCAGGACGACTTTTTGACGCAAGTAGAGTTGGGAGTGAGGTTTGGGAAGGTGATCATCATCGACGACATCTACAATCTGGACCCAGCTTTGGTGAATTTGCTGAGGAAAGAGTTCTTTTCTCAAGGCCCAAGACAAGTTGTGCAGATTGGGGAGAAACAAATCGATGTCAACGAAAACTTCAAATTGTATGTTTGTACGAGGAATGAACAGCTAATTGCCCCGGGCTATGTGAAGAATGCAGTGGTTATGACCAATTTCTCAACGACTTTAGCTGGACTTTCTTCGCAGGTAAATTGACTAAAATAATGTGAAATTTGATGCCTATATGGGTAAAGTACGCTCTGGTTAGACCCTTATAAATAAAGGCTGGTAGATATTATCGGGAATAAAAACAAGTAAAATAAAAAACAAAAAGTTATTTGCCGCCAGCAGGGGTCGAACCTGCGACCTTGGGCTTATTAGACCCACGCTCTAACCGACTGAGCTATGGCGGCACGGCGTCTAACATCTTTTTGATAGAAAAATGAAAAGGCCATGAGTGTTCTGGATCCAAGTAGAGTTGGATCTACGCAAACTTCACCTCAAAAAATGATCTCTGATGTCCCATTCATGTTATACTACCTTTAAAACAACCTTAGCTCATTCTTAATGGTTATGAATCTATTATTTAATAAAGGTTAAGATCATAAATCAGGCAGTGGACTCTGTAATTCATATGAATGTTTTCAGATCCTAAGTCTCGCGTTGAACAGCGAAAGACCCGATTTGGAACAGCAATCAGTCAAGCTGTCAAGTGAGGCCGAAACTTTGAATATTCAACTCGCTGAGATCGAACAAACCCTCCTTAATGTAAGCTATCTCATCAACAACTCAAAATCTTTCCATCCCACTTGTTATTCGCCTATTTTAGGAGCTAGCCTCATCCGAAGGAAGCTTGCTAGAGAATAGACAACTATTGGACTCGCTAAATCAAAGTAAAGAGAGTGCCGAGAAGGCGGAAGAGTCGCTGGCTACGTTGGAGAAGGTCCGCAAGGAAATCGATGAGGTAAAAAACGTGCTCAAAAACATTTGGATACTGTTTTTGCCGATAAAAATCAATTTTTCCAGCAAAAACGGGTTTATCTTCCCTTCTCCGAGAAATGCAGCATGTTATACTTCTCTTTCTACGACCTCTACCTCACCAATCACATGTACAACTTCAATGTGGGCGTTCTGCTTCAATTGTTCGACAGGATCTTCCAAAAGAACCGAAATGTAAGTTTTTCGTTTTGCTCGAACACGTTTCGTCGTATACAAGCGCTTGCAGACTGCAGGGTTTTTATATTCCCAAAATTGCTGTAAAATAAAGATCTAGATCATGGAGGATGTAATTAGCATGATGTCTCAGTGACTATCAAGTCGTGAGCTTCTAAATTTTAGGCGTCGACCGATGTCCAAGCCAAGCTTGATATTATCTATCAAGAATTGGTCAAAAGCACCTTTTACTATGTCTCCCGAGCTCTGTACAAACAGGATCGTCTGGCATTTGCTCTACGGTTTGTGAAGGTCGTTCACGCTAAACTGTTCGATGATAAGGTAAGGGTTTCGAACTGTTATTTCTGTTTTTAGATGTTGTATTAGGTACCAGCGAAGAATAAGGCTAAGACAGCCGTCTTTGATAGGTGTATTACCTAAATTCATGCCTAAGATTTCCTCTTGCAGGAGTGGAACTTTTTCTGCGGCAACCTGGTGGATGAAGCGGTCTCGGACACTGGATCTGCACCTTCTTGGCTGTCCGAAGAGGTTCAACAACAAGTCGCGAAATTACGAGCTTATCTTCCTAGTCTCTACTCACAGTTGGGTTTGGAAGATCGATCTTCATGGACAGACTTTCTGCAGAACAATAGTAGCCAGCTTCCGGGGCATATTGATCAGAAACTGTCAAATTTCCAGAAGGTTCTTGTGATCTCAATCTTGAAACCGGAGAATGCAACCACCGCAATGACGTCATTTGTTACGCGAAGTCTGCAAGTTCCGTCGATTAATCCGCCGTCCAATGAGCTCATGGAAGTTGTTCAAACCGAATCTTTGCCACCGAATCAGCCGATATTGCTGATCCTCGGAACTGGTGCTGATCCCAGTCAAGAGATCCGAGATGTAGCTGAGAAAGTGTTGAAAGATCCAAGGAGGCTTCATGAACTTGCCATGGGGAACAGGCGGCAGAACGAAGCGATCGAATTGATGAGGAATGCAATGGAAAAGGGGGAATGGGTCTACTTGAATAATGTCCACTTATTACCCGATTTCTTGCTCAGAATTCACTCAGTAAGTTTTATTTTTCAATATTATTTTTTTCTAAGTTTAGGTCACAAAAAAACACATCTAATTTCGACTACCTTTGAAGCGAAATTTATATTGTGCCTGATATTAAAATCAATAATTTTACTTCAGGAGTTACACAGCAAATCTCCGAATCCGGCCTTCCGTCTATGGCTGAGTGCAGAGCCAGACAACCAATTCCCAGCGGTTCCATTGCAAGACGCACTCAAGATTGCGTACGAAACGCCTCCGGGAATCAAGCACAATATTAGCGGGACTTTGAAACAATGGATTGAGTTGGAAGGAAATAGTGGGAAATCGGAGTTGGAACTGAAGACTCAATTCTTGTTGGCGTGGTTCCACGCTATCATCCAAGAAAGGAGGACGTATATTCCACAGGTAAAGTTATGCTATCCATGATAAGATTTTTTTGAAATTTAGGGATGGCTAAAGTTTTACGAGTTCAATTCGAACGACTTGAGAGTTGCCAGACAGGTCCTTGATGCGATGGGTTCAAGGAATGGCAAGTTCTTTACGTAAATTTTTATATTTTTATTGTTTAGGTTATAATTGGGAAGCGATCCGCGGATTTATGGAAGACGCTATATATGGGGGAAGAATCGAGAATCAACTCGACATTGGCGTACTGTCAGCCTACTTGGACAAGTTTTTGAGCCAAAAAATGGTGACGAGTAGAGATGGGGAACTGGATTCAAATCTTAGAATGCCCGAGGCTAAATCAATGAACGAATGGCTGGATTTCGTCAAGAATAAGGTTAGGAATGTCACACGAGTTTAGTAATATTGATACCATCCGTAAGTAGCTGGGTATTACGGTGCTGGCGCTAGGGAAAGACTCGACCCATCGAGGGAAAGAGTTGACTCAGGTCTGGAAAGCGATGTAATTGGTATCAGAAATGTCTCGAGGATGAATTACAGCCTTTTTCAGATACCAGAAGTGGACAAACCATCGATGTTTGGCCTTCCCGAGAATCTTGGAGCGACTTATGAACTGGAACAAAGTCGGCAAACAATAAATGCCCTCAGGTCAATGCAGAAATATAGCCGATCATCGACATTTGAAGCCTTCAGTCAGTGGGCAAAGAAACTTCAACCTGTTCTGGCATTTTGGAAGCGGCTTCATCAACAGAATGACCTTCTTCAGGCAGAATTGAGGGATTCCGACTCGACTGACCCAATTATTGATATGCTAAACACCGAGATGCACTTTGGAATTGGACTGGTAAGTAGTTATAGGCTGTTAGAATTCTAAATTTAGACGATAGTTTTGCTGGAGCATTATTTTTAAATGTTTGTATCAAATTTATATTGTTTTAGGTAAAAAAGATCCATTCGACCTTGACCAACATCCGAAAAGGCCTTGCCGGCAAGCTTGCCCCCACTGCCAAGACAGTTCAAGCCGCGAAGACACTGTTGGACCAACAAACCCCGGTGGATTGGGATCTAATCTGGCCGGGACCCGAGGATTGTTACCAGTACATGGAGAAGGTGTGCGATAAGGCCAGAAAGGTCAAGAAGTTGAGCACCTCAATAAGTGGACAGGATCTGCTCAACGAACCTATAGATTTGGATCACCTTTTCCGGCCGACAGCCTTACTAAATGCCCTTAGGCAATATAGTGCAAGGTGGGTGGAAAATCGAGGAAATTATGGGGATTACGGCAGTTTTTGGGCAGTTTCTGGAGTGGAAAGTGTTGTAAATTTGAAGAAGAGAGTTTTTTAGTTGAGCTACAGCGGGTACGGTAGTTTTAAAATAACAAAAAAATTTTTTTTTGTTGATTTAGTCTACTACAATATAAAAATTTTTTTCAGACACCTAAATTTTGGCGTGGACAGACTCCAATTCGTCACTAGCTTGTCCAAAATACAGTCCAGAGCCCCCTCGATGCAGATTGGCCAACTAAAAATTCAGGGCGCCGTTCTGGGAGGAGGCCATTTAATGGCTGTGGACCAGAATTCTGCAGCGATTTCTTCGGCTCCGGTCATACATGTGGCGTGGATTGGAATGGTAGGATCAGTTTTGGGGTGTGGTGGATGTTTTCGACAAGATTGGACGATTTTTTTTTTATTTTTTAGGATGAACCCGAGCCATATCGTCAAGAAGAAAGCGCCGAAATCCCATTGTTTGTGGCCTCAAACCGAACGGAATTCGTATGCCAAGTGAAAGTCCCGTGCTCCCAAGGCCAAAGAGATCAGTGGGTCCTGGCGGCGGTTGCGTTATTTACCCGGATTTGATTCAAATATCATACGTGACGTTTTGCATTTATTTTTTATAATTATATTGTTGTGTGATTGCATGATCTCATTGAATAAATAGAAGGTAATTGGTAGCTTTATGTTAGATTTTTTCTTCAAGACCGAGTAGATTGAGCTTGGAGGCAGCTGGGAAAGGTCATGATCAAAGAGGATCTCAATTTTCTGCTTGGATTTCTTCAAATTTTCGGCGAGTTGGTCCATCTGGAAGTAAAATTTTATAAAAGTCATCATGTGCAATATCCAAAAAAATTAAAATTTTAGACAAAAAAACTAACTAGACTACAAGATCGAGTTCCAAGCGGCCATTAGACACAGAGGCTTTTCGACGTTTGTTTTGAGAAATCCACTGGCCGATAAGGCACCAAACTCATTCCAGTTTAAGGTTTCCTCTCCATACATGGCTGGAAACAGTAAGAGTCAAATTACATCAATTCGAAAAAAGATTTTCGCCATTTCCCGATATTATACATGACAGAAAAGCAAAATCTGGTTGAAACAACCTACAATACTCCTTATTTGGGCTGATCCTATCCTCAGAAAATCCGTCAAAGGCTCGAGTACGATCTCGGACCAAGAGAATTCGAGATATACTTTTAGAAGATACCAGTTTTGATAACAACTCTCTAAAAGAAGAATAATATAAAAAAACTTTACCAAAGTTTAGCAAAGCTCAGCAGCCAAGCCCTTACCTTGTCAAATCATTCACAGCGACCAGTGCTACGAGCTCATTGAATCCCCATGGCAAATCTTTAACGGCCGCCTCAATCTCTGCGGATTCCTTGATCTCAATCAAAAGACCAGCATTTCCTTCCCTGTCAGCTAAATTCATTCAGAAGCTGATAAAAAGTTGAATCACTAAGCACAGAGGGTTGCTGTGGGCACAAAACGATCTAAAAGTCCGTAAACATTAAAGAATGCATCAAAATCAAAATTAATCAAATAGAACTCATCAAAAACTCACCAAAACGTGGCATTCATCCCAAACCTTTTGTCCATCCTCGTCCAGATACCCACAAAATTCGATGACATCCTCCGAAATATCACAACGCGTTGCAACGTTTCAAGAATTTTGCCAACAAAAAAAAAATTTGAATAAAATTGAAAGAAAAAAGTCAAATTTTGCCACGAATTTTCACAAAAAAACCAAATTTGCATATTGAAATTCACCAAATTTTCGTTTTCATTTTTCTCATTTACCGGTAATTCCCCTTACGGTATCGCTCACGCTATGGACAACTCCAGCGACAGCTCCCGCCATTCCAGCGAACAACCCGCCATTCCGGCGATGGCCCCAACTCCAAACACCGCTGCCGTCCCGGTGTTTGGGGTTGGGGAACGGTCGACGTGTAAGTCCAGGGGATTTTGGGTTTTGTAGAAATTCCTTTTGACATCTTTCTGCTTCTTGATAACACCACTTTTGGTCCAAAAATCCTAAAATAATGATATTGTAGTAGATGATGACAATGGATTTCATGGGTATTTTGATGACGAAATCCCTGCTTTGAGACCCGAAACGTGGTTTTAAGTTGATTTGAGAAGATTTACTTTGAGCTTAGGGGCAATAATATGCAAAAATATTTAAACTTCCTTCGTTCTTCTTCCTGATATCTAGCACAACATAACTTTGAAGACAAATACTTAAAAAAGAGTTCAAAATAGTTGGTTTTGAACCCTGTTTGTCTCAATTTAATTGATTTGAAACTCAAAACTTCTTTATATTGGATTTCACCAGTAAAATAATGAAGTTTGACAATCCATTTTTGGCTGGTGGGTTTCTACCGTAAATCCCGCCAGAAATGAAAAAAAACTAGGCCTAATGGCCTTGAAAATACACAAATAGGCCTCGGAGTGTAATATTCCAGGCGAATATGACTAAAAAGCTTTCTATAGAAAGTAATTTCATGGCTGGTGGGGATTACTGTCAAGCCCGCCGGGAATCGCTTTGTTATTGTGAAATACAGCCGAAATTGGCCTTGGTGGCATTTTTTACAACGCGATGGATCGACCCAATTCGAACGCTGGAAGCTTGGTAAGTTAATTTTTTTAAGTTTAACAGTTTTTAGGACCTACAACGTCGTATGAAGAAGATCGTATACACAAAAATTGAGGGTAGAAGGACAAATTTTGGGCATTTTTTTAGCCATTTTTTGTCGTTATTTACGCAAAATTCGGAAAAGTTCGAGCAAAAAACAAGAGGCATTTCGAAAATTTTAAAAACCAAATTTATTAAACGTTTTGATTTTTTTAGAAAGTTTTTTGGAAAAAAGAAAATTCTTGAGTTTTTTAACCCCCCTCAGGCAATAAAGTCAGATTTAACAATATTTACTAGCTGGCATAAATCCTGACCCTAATTTTAATATAAATTTTGGTCGAAAACGTAAAATTTTTTCCTGAATTTTGCCCTACACCAAATTATGAACAATATCCCAGTCCCAAATCTTCGAACCTCTTACCGAAGCCTCCAAAACAACATCAAGAAGATCCTTGTCATCAATGAGGTGTCAAATCGGATATTATCCTGATGATCAACATCGACTGGACAATGCATATCCACGGAATCAACTCCGATTCATCCAAACAGACTCTCATCACTTCAGTGGCTCAAGAACAAGTCGAAGATGGATCAGTTCTGACAATTTTGGCAGTTCCAGCACTGTGTCCTCCAGGGAACCACCTAAAATTCTATCTTCTTATTATAAATGTCGTTTTCATACTGTATTTGTCATAAATTATCATTACACATAGTATTTTGGAATATTTTTGGAGCCAAGAATCCCCAAACAAATAATAAACTATTCACTTTCATGGCCAGAAATGGTCTTACATTTGTGTTTTAATCCAATTGCCATCCACTTCCATCTCTAATATGCTCCTTGGACCAGGTAAAGATTTTTTTGACTTCTTCCAGCCGTTTCCGTTGTTCCAGTAATTCCAAAATCAACATCTCGATGGGTCATGTTCTCCCATTCACGGTCACGTTGGAGTCCTGAAACATCAACCATTACAAATGGATATCCATATCTTTTTAAAATTGTAATTTATAAAATATTTGAATAAATACTTACATTACTTTATATTCTTTATATCCATTGACTTATTTTGGCTTATAACCGGGGTTTCGTGTAAGATACCACTTGATGACACGACGAAGTACCTGGACCTTACCATTTGGACCAATTCAAGTAATGGACTGACTGTTGAAGATCAACATCTACTGGACCATGTCTCCGATTATCACTTAGGATTAGGGTCGCATTAGACAAATTCCAAGGGGTGGGGAGCTCGTCTCGTCCATGGATGGACGTTATTGAAGTTTTTTCTTGGCCTTTGTCCTCGTTCTTCTTGTCCGAATCTTGTTGAATGACTTCTCGAGGTGTTCTGTGCTTTTTTCCAGGTGGACGTGATTTCTCGTCGTTATGGCTCGTCGAATTTACGGTTTCGTGCCGCGTGGACTTTTTCAGAGACTTTACACACCGGCTAAAACGCCGTGTTCATCATCTTCGCTTAATCTTAACATCAAAAACCCAGCAAACCGACTTACCGACTTGACCAACATCAAAACTCAGCATCATTCCATTGGATTGTTTGGAGTTACCACCTTCAAAAGACTTCAAACCGTTCCCAAAGAAAAGGGGAAGGATCACCGACCACCCAAACATTCCATTCCATCAACATTCACCATCAAATTTGTTTTTACATCAGGACTCCAATTCCACCGAAATCTTCGCAATGTTTGCCTCGATTTTTGGAGTAACGAGCCTCAGCAATGATTTCCTTGGCCTGAAGATTATTCATGACATCAACACCGTCTTGGAAATTATGGAACAATCAGTGGATATCTGGAATGAAGCATGAAAAAGACGATGAGAAGGAGAAAATCCGAAATTACACCAATTTTTAGACGTTTTCGTCCATTTGACCCCGACACGTACCTTATTTTAGCTCAATTCGAACATCCAAACACCAAGCTGTCCATTTTCATCTTCATGAATCCAATCCATTACCTGTTTTCCATGATCTTCACGTCGGCACCGCCACAAATCATCCAAAGCTTGTCCATCCGCACCTAATCTTCTTCCATCGAGGAGCAATCATCATTTTGCTCCGGATCAGCGCCATCAATTTGCTCTTATCTCATTTTCTGGGGTCCTTTTGAAGGTTCTCCTTGTTCCACGTTGTCGTTTGAGCCGATCTTCGGTTCATTCAGTGTTCTGCAGCTTTCGAGCTGCTCTGCTGTCGATTTCCTGATCACCACTATAAATACGTCTTCCGGTCGCCATCAACATAAAAAATCAGCTTGGGTTTCTTGTCGTTTATAAGGTTTTCGTCGCTGCACTTCAATCTGGATGGAATTTCAACATCATTGGACCGTTTTCTGGACATATGGACAATTCTTCACAGGGCTTTGGGTGAATTATGGAATTTTCGGTCACCGTGGACTTCAGAATCAAAATTCCGGATCTCCAGCATCGGGATCTGCGTCTAAAAGCAACAAATTACATAGGGAAAATTGAGAGAATATGATGTTAGGGCCCTTAGCGATAGAGTTAGCAGTTTAAACCATATTTTTTGAATTTTCGTCTAATTTTGGTGATTTCAGTGTCTCCAAACAACGTCGGCCAGGGTTCCGGCCCACGCTCGTGCCCTCCATCCGAGCGCCAAGCCCATTCCGCGCAGGCTGAACAACTGCCGGCGGTAATGGCCCCTCCTCTGGTTGGCCAGCACCCAACCGGCGTCCCAGAGGAGGGTAAAGAGGGGCCAAGCCCAGCATCTGGCCTCTCTGGCTTCGGCCTAAATAACGCCCCAACCGTTCAGGCCGAGCACCTGCCGGCGGTTGAGGGCACGGAGAGATCGAGCTCACCACTCGATCTCTCCGCCCCCAGCACGTTGCAGTTTTCGCCCGTCTACAGTCCCGGGCACTCAACGTTGCATGGGGTCCCCTCAATAAACTCAATGGAAGTCTTCGATGAGGGGGAAGACTGGGCGGTGGACGAGACGGTCGAAGACAGAATCGACCGTCTCGAATACGAACGAAGACTATGGAAGACCGAATGCCGGAAGATGTGGCAGAGGCAATCGAAGCTCGAGAAAAATGTGAGGTACTATGAAGGGGCGGTTGAAGAGGCCCAAGCTGAAGTCAAGAAGGCCAAAGATGAAGCGGCCGCCGCAATCAGGAAAGCGGAAGAAGAAGCCGAAAACAAGATCAGCGAGCTCCAAAGAAAATATTTTGGGGCCCTGACCGAAGCGGACCGTGCTCAGAGGAAGCAAAAGGAGGCAGAAGAAGAAGTCGCCCGTCTCCAACAACGGCTCATGGACAATTTGAAAAAGGCCGCTCCTCGTTCACCAAGAAAAGAACGCTCCAGAAGTCCACTGCAAACGGCGCGGTCACGAAGTCCCGAAGTCCAGCCAAGTGCCTCGCCGATACCTGAAGCCAATGCACAAGCCGAAGAAGAACCAGAGCTTTCGCACCCGTCCTTCGACGTCCAGGCCGAACAACATGATGCCCCAGGGCCTCTCCGACGAATGCCGAAGTGCAGGAGGCGGTGCTGCCAGCCGCCGCCTCCTGCCAATCAACCTCCTCGGCCTCCTCGAAGATCAAGGGAGGCTGAACAACTCGGCCCAATCATTGAACCCGTCGTGTTTGACGAAAGGCCCAGGAGGAGGAGCCGCCAGCCTCCAGCCCGACTCGTCGTCGACATGATGAGAAGAAGCTACGCATCAATGCGGAATTCCTTGATGCCTCGTAAGTTTATTGGCTCTTTTTTTACTCGTTAGGCCAAAACCCTCTGGAAATAAACCAAGCTGAGGTGTTTTTTGAAGAAAAAATACATTATCCGTATATAATTCTCAATAATATCTGTTTTTTTCAGGTAGAAGGACTCAAAGGCCCAATGTTCAGGACGAGGCTCCTTGGTTACTTATGTGAACAACCCATACTGAAGACAGAGCTCCGCCTTCAGCACCTAATTACGTAAGTTTTTGGCAGTCACGCCTCAATAACCTCTATTTTTCAGTAATTGGCAAAAATTCACTCCCAAAATTAAAAAGAACTTACCGTAAAGCTCTTCGGGGACCAATCATCCGTTGTTGACCACAATACCCCGCCTATACATCGTGCAGTTGATCAGTACGAGAAAATGTAAGTTCTCTTTTATTTCCAAAAAAATAATTATTTTTGCGAACTGCGCCCGAAAAAAGTTTGCTTTTTTTGCCATACGCTGGTGAATTTCGCGGGTATAGTATAATATAATTGTAGAAGATGGTGGTAGAACTAGCTGTAAAGTCGCGTGTAAACGTCTTTCAGCTTCATTTTTTTCTGGACCTCCCTGATTTTACAGTTTTTTTGAGTTTTTCCCCCATTTATTGTCTAAAATAACATAAATTTTATTTATCCTTTTCTTTTCAGCCAATGCCAAGTCCAGGAAGGCATACAACAAAGGTGGAGCACCCTGGCCCCCCGAATGAGCCCGGGGGGCCTTCGTAAAATCAAAAAGGGTGCTCACCTTTTGTTTCCGGCCCCGGTGTGGACATTCTGGTCGAACCGGAGCACCCCGGCCCTCCGCTTCACTCGGGGGGCCTTCTGGAAAATCACGGGTGCTCGGCAAGACCAGATAAAGTAAGATTTTGTTATTTTTGGACCTTGATTTAACCTGAAATAATACAATCTAATTCTATTTTCAGATGGATCAGTCCGAACCGAAGTGGGCACCCTCGCCCCCTGCATCAGCTCGGGGGGCTTTTGGAATTAAAAGGGTGCCCCACCTTTTATGGTCAACCTTGTGGATTTTGACTAAAATATGGTAAGTTATCGTGTTGAAATTATATTTTTACTTTTATTTTTTCAGAATCCCCAAACAAGACGAACTGCGGGAAAACAGGAGCACCCTCGCCCCCTGAGTGAGCTCGGGGGGCCTCTGGAATTAAAAGGGTGCTCTGTCCAAGTCCTAAATGAGCTCAATTGCGCTTGGATCAATCCTAGAGCAATTCGGACCGGAATGGAGGTATGCTTACTTTTCGTTTTTTATTTTCTTGTCAATGAGATCTCACTAGATTGGTGTATATCATCTCCAACTTTTTTAGAATTACGCCAAAATGGTCTCCATTTTGGCCTGCTCGACTTTGATGATGAGCCCACGAGCAGGAAATGAAGTAAAAGTTTTCTACTATAACTTCAAAGCTCTTTTACTATGAGGTAAGTGGTGTTTTTATATTATTTGTTTGGTGATTAGAGCGTTTTTAATAGAATTTTGTATGATGTTGTAGTAGACATCTGTTCATTTAACTTGTCTTGGCGAAAACCTGCACTTTTCGATCAAATTTCTACGTGGTGTTTTGTGTTTAACTTACGTTCTTGATGGGTTTTAAAAAATGTAAATATTTTGTGTGATGTTACAGTAGACACCAACTTTTTTTTTGCACCTTGATTTAGTCAAAACTTCGGAAAATTTTGCTCATACTATTAGGATGATTCAAAAGTTTTTCCACATTTTTTTGTGACACTTCAAAATAAAATTTCTGGAGCATGATTGAATGTACGTTAAAACTGAGAGCATGGATGTATGGGGCAGAACATTGCAAAATTTCTGATTCGTAGCATTTTATTTTCTACAATCGTTCTTTCAGAATATTTCAAAAATACTAAAAATTTCTTTGTTTGTGTTATGGTGAATATCCCGGGCCTTAGCAATTTTCCAGCCCACTAAAAAGTCTCGGGTTTTGAGTTATTCGTACTTGCGATGGCTGTAGTTTCTTCTGAATTTATTGCTCTACTTATATCTACTCTGGCGTTTTTTGTAGCATCCCATAAAGTTGGCCGGAGAGCCGAGCTACCGATCAAAAGCAGATTTTAAAAAATTTTTTGAAAGGAGTTAGATTTTTTTGACTCGGCTGCCATTCAGGTTGTACAAAGACTGTATGCTGATGATACATTCAAAAAGTCACCAACTGAAATTACCTTATAAGGTAGAAAAGTAGCATAAACTGCACTTTTAGGCGAATTTTTTTAATTTTTTTACTGGTATGGCAAGAGGACCTTCAGCTTAGCGCGTCTAGCAACTGATAGTGTATGTCAAGTAGGATCAACTATTTATTAAATAACTGGGATACCGAGCGAGAGTAATGAACAGAAAACGTTTTTGTAAAAATCCCCTAAATTTCTTAAAATATGGTAGATTAGAAAGATTCGATTTTTCTGCCGCATAGCTAAAGCTAGCGCGAATGTTTAGCGTTGGCGTTGTAGTGCTACTCATACACTATAATAACAGAAAGCGTTATCTCTTAGTGCTTCTAATAGCTGCGTCTACAGGGTCTACTTTTGCCAGACCCTAATTTTTGATTTTTCGCACTAAAAATTTTTCGACTAGCCCGGTACACGTCAAAGAAAAAGTGAAAAAACAAGGAACCTCGGATCATTGATTTTTTACGAAATGTCGCTGAATTATCGAGTCACAAAAGAAAACTTTCCCAGAGAATTTCGACAAAAATGTTTTTTCGAAGAGGAAAATAATTTTTCAAGCTCGATAATTCTGTGGCACTTCGCAAAAAAATCAATGATCCGAGATTCCTTGTTTTTTCAATTTTCTGAAAGAATTGTTTTGACGTGCGGTAGCAAATTGTCCTCGATGCCATAGAGATTACATACAGGCATACCATATTCTAGAATATTAAGAAGATACAGCCACTCTAGACGTAACGCCGGCGGTTTACTTTTTCTTCCTTCGGGTAGTTAAGGTTTAACACGGCGCTACTACTAGAAATTGCTAAGTTATAAAAAGCTATTAATCTACTATAATCTACAAACAGCCCTCTTTCTAACAAGATATATATCAGGCCCACTGGCTTTGGCCTAAATTTTTTAAAATTTTTTAAAGACATGTGGAAAAACTTTTGAATCAACCTAATATTTACCCACGCTCAAGAGTTCGGACAAAACCGGGGTGGGGACAAAAACGTCCATTACGAAAAAATATGTGCTGGATCTGATGTCAAGTTCAATATAGAGTGATTTTATAAAAGCTTACAACGAATTTTTGACGCAAAATTATATTTTTTGGACGAACGTTCAAAAAATGTGTCATTTTGACAATATTTTTTGAAATTTCTAGAAAATTTTTCGTTGCAACCTTGGATCTGATGCTCAGTCCAATGCAGAAGATAAGTTATTGGGCCCCAAAGTTCGCAAAAATTCGATTTTCTCCGGCGTTTTTCCGCTAACCCGGTGGCCCAAAGGCGCCAAGATCTGCTAATTTAAAAATTATGCGTCCTTGACAATATTTTAATCGCAGGTTCATGTTATTTTGTGCATTACCCACTGCACAGTCAGCTAAAACATTAGAGACCCTTAAAAAACCGAATGCCAAAAATCTTGACATTCTGTTTGTGGTTGATGTGAGCCGGCTTTCGAATAATTATCCGGGACAGATACGCTTTAGGAAACACTGACCACCTTTGTCAAGGGGTTTAGAGATATTTTTATAGTGTTGTCACTGGTGTTTTTACGTGTTAATTCTTTATTTTTCAGAGACTCTCTCTCTCGATACCCACTACCCAAAGGATACCAGAGAAAAAAGCCAAAAAAATAATGAAAAGGCAAAAAATAGAAGAGCCAAAAAGATTGAAAAGGAAAAAAAAAAATAAAAAAAAGAAGAGCCAAAAAAAATTGAAAAGGCCAAAAAATAGAAAAAAAATAAAAAAAAGTAACAAAAAAAACGTAAAAAATGAAAATATAAATAAAAAAGCTTTTTTAATTGACCCCTCATCTATTGTATTTGTATTTAATTTCTATTGTCTATTGTATCTATTGTATTTGTCTCATCTATTGTATAATATTTGTATTTAATTTATCACGATTTTTTAACATGTAAGTTATCAGTTTATACTTGTTTTAGCGTGGTCTTTAATCTCAAATTATATAATTTATATTTGCAGAAAATGACCCCGGAAAGCAATGAATCCTCGAATCAGTGAATCTTTGGAACGCATTTCCCGACCCTACTTTCAATGTCCCAATTCCGGCCCAGGACGGCACCTACATGGCCGAGACCCTAACCAACGACTTAGACAACATGGAATGTAAGTTTTGATGGTTTTTTTATAGTTGGGGATATTAGTCGTGGAAAAAAGTCCTGGGAATTTCTCGCGGCCCCCAAACTCCGTCGCGCTCCGAAAAGTTGATTTGTCGCGGGAATCGCGCGCGACAATAAGGCAAAATCAACAAAATTGCACTGTGCAAATGCACTTTTCGGGTTCATGCACAGTGCAGAGTCGCCGAAAATTCCCAGGACTTTTTTCCGCGACTACTATTAGGGAACTCTTCAGATTGCTTGTTTTTGTGGTGGTTCTTCAATTGATTATTTTATTTTCAGATATTGGTCCAAGATTTCTTCACTGCTTTTCGGATGTAGAATAAAAAAAAGAAAAAAATAAAAAAAAGAAAAAAATAAAGAAAAGAAAAAAAAAAATAAAAAAAAGAAAAAAGAAAAAAATAGAAAAAAATACAAAAAAAGAAAAAAAAAATTATTTGTTTAAAGTTGCCCTTATTTTTCCCTTGTAATATTAGATTCCCTTATCGTTTACCACCCATTTGTATCAATGTAAGTTGTTATTTCATTCTTGAACTTATCCTGGATTTTTCTTAAGTTAATGATCTATTTTTTCAGAAACCCATCTCTCGAATCAGTGAATCTTTGGAACGCATTTCCCGACCCTACTTTCAATGTCCCAATTCCGGCCCAGGACGGCACCTACATGGCCGAGACCTTAACCAACGATTTAGACAACATGGAATGTAAGTTTTGAGGGTTTTTTATAGTTGGGATATTAGGGAACTCTTTGCAAGGGAATGGACTTTATGTGTAAATCGATTTTGGCTTGGGACCTAGTCAGATCGAAAGGTGTGCAGAAGTCGATTATTCACTTGGGGGGAAATCTCTGCGCGGGGCTTCAAAGCCGAGAAAATTGGCTTCAAAGTTTGGACGAAAGTCAAAGGATAGGGATCCCGGAAAAGGAGCGTTAAAAAGTGTGAAGCAGTGTCCGAGTGGTCAGTGCGCTCGCTTTTTGCGCAAAATGTTGCAAGTTCGAGTCTTTCCAAGCTCAAACCATCATTTATCGTTTTTACTTTTGCTTTCTTCATGCTAATCCGGCTGTACATTTAAAAAAGGGGTATAGGTAAAATTGTCTAAAAAAGTTATGAATGGAAGCAGATTCGAACTTGCGACCTTTTGCGCAAAAAGCGAGCGCACTGACCACTCGGCCACTGATTTACACTTTCTATTGCCCCTTTTCCGGGATCCCTATCCTTTGATTTTCGTCCAAACTTTGAAGCCGATTTTCTCGACTTTGAAGCCCCGAGCAGAGATTTCCCCCCAAGTGAATAATCGACTTCTGCACACCTTTCGATCTGACTCGGTCCCAAGCCAAAATCGATTTACACATAAAGTCCATTCCCTCGTCAGATTGTTGTCACTTGTTTTTCGATGGTTCTTCAATTGGTTTCTGTATTTTCAGATATTGCTCCAAGATTTCTTCACTGCTTTTCGGATGTAAAATAAAAAAAAAAGAAAAAAAATTAAAAAAAAGAAAAAAATAAAAAAAAAGAAAAAAATAAAAAAAAAGAAAATAAAAAAAAGAGAAAAAAAAATAAAAAAAAAAGAAAAAGAAAAACATAAAAAAATAAGAAAATAAAAAAAATTTTTTTTAAGTAACCCGTATCCTTCTCTTCTAAATTTTACTCGCCTAATAGTTTACCGCCCATTTGTATCAGTGTGAGTTGTTATTTCATTCTTGAACTTATCCTGGATTTTTCTTAAATTAATGATCTATTTTTTCAGAAACCCAGCTCTCGAATCAGTGAATCTTTGGAACGCATTTCCCGACCCTACTTTCAATGTCCCAATTCCGGCCCAGGACGGCACCTACATGGCCGAGACCTTAACCAACGATTTACACAACATGGAATGTAAGGTTTGATGGTTTTTTTATAGTTGGGGATATTAGGGAACTCTTCAGATTGTTCTCACTTGTTTTTTGGTTGTTCCTTAATTGATTATTTTATTTTCAGATTTTCCTCCAAGATTTCACTGCCGTATCCATAATGTTTACCACCCATTTTTTACTACGTAAGTTGTTGTTTCACCCTTGATTTTACCCTGGATTTTTGTCAAACTAAGGTCTATATTTTCAGAAACCTAAAGTTAGAAAAAAAAGTCGACATCGCCTTCACTTACGCCACATTCCCCGTTCCGTTTGCAACACTCATCCTTCCCTCCCACTCGCACCGCACCCCTCCTCCATTCCACTCCCACCACACTCCTCCCCCATCCCACTCTCTCTTCAGAATGTAAGTTTCGTGGTTTCTTGGTAGTTGGGGAAATTATGGATAGCTTAAGATTATTGTCAACTCTTTTTTGAGGGTTCTTCAATTTATTCTTTTAATTTGCAGAGATCTCCAAGCCCCATGTAACGGATAACTTTAAAAAAAATAAAAAATAAGAAAAAAAAGAAAAAAAATATAAAAAAATAGAAAAAAGAATAAAAAAGAAAAAAAAAAAAATAAAAAAAAAAAAATAGAAAATTAGAAAAAAGATACCACTCCCACCACCCTCCTTTCCCTTTCCCTTTCCCTTTCCCTTTCCCTTTCCCTCCCACTCCCTCCCTTTCCCCCAATCATCAAAGCCTGCTTTGGTGATTAAAGTAAGTTGTTTTTTCCCAATTGTAGGCCTTTATTTCTTGTTATAAGTCCAGATACTGCTCGTTCTACTTTTAATCTTATTTATTTTCATGGAAATCATTGAGAATCCGTTTCTTGGAGCCCTGGAGAAGTTGGAGAAATCAATGGTGCCCTGGAGGTCTCCACCGCGGAAAGGGCAGAAAGGTATGTCAATTAGAGTGATAAATTAGGGCATTGAGATCTATAAGGGATGCTGCGAGCATTTTAAGTGAATAAGAGTTTAGTTTTGCAAAAAAAGCCCGTCATCACGATATATTTTTTGAAAGGTTACGGTAGAGATAAGGGTTGTTTAAAGTCTGATTTTTACTGCGGTGTGAACGGGTTACACCCAGGTTTATAAGCTTAAAAATATAGCTAGGTGTCATTTTTTTTTGATTATTAGGTACATATGAAATGACAGGCGACTTAGAAGGTTACTTTTCTTGTGATTTTTCGGAAGAATTTTAGAATTCTTTCTCTTTTTAGGGAGGTTTGAGGGAATTAAAATATGTAAGGTGCAGTAAAAAGCAGTTTATACGAAGTAATGACTAGTTCTTGTCATTAATCATGTCGTCATGACGTTATTGGGGTATTTTTATATTGCTAATGAGATGATTAACTTTCCTGTTTAATTTCTCGCGTTTAAATACATTTTTCTTTCAGAAGTACGTCCAGTATGGCCTTATGGTTGAAGAGCAAGCTAGAGTGAAAGTGGAAAACAAGTTATTTGCCGAGCCCTGGAAACGGTCGATTCCTTGAAGATGCACAGTGCAATTGTTTGGAGGTAGGCGAAACTTTGTTAAAAAAAGGGGGTTGGTTGAATTTGGATTCTAAAGATGTAGCTCGCTACATTCGTGGTCTTGACGGATTTTAAAATAGTGTCTGACGTGTGGGAGTAGTCGTTTCTTTGTGAAGTTTTAACTTCTGGTGTGTAATATTTGATCCTTTTGAGGGGTAAGCGTTGATAAAAGGCACTTTTTACTGCAAGAAGCATGTGATTTAGTGGTGTTGTACTTGTTTGCGAAAGACTTTGGGGAATTTTATATTGTTCATAAGATAGACCAGTTTCGTTTTCAAATTTTTCCATTTGTAATTGAAATTTTTTTCAGGTTGCGTAGTTTCTCTACTAACCACAGTTCATCTTAGAAAGAAGAAATTTGAGTGTCTGGAGCCCTGGATACCAAGATCAAAACCATCATCGTTTAGGATGAAGAATGACAGAAAATTAAAAGGTGAGTGGGTTGTGGGTTATTGATGTAAGATCTGTGCGTTAGTAATTTGAGGGGCCCTTGTCGAAATTTGTTGCAAATCCAGACTCGGAGCGTCCCCGTCAAGAATCACGGGAATCCTGCCTGTTGTCAAAAATCTTTTGGTCTCTCCCAGTCAAAGAGTTTTTGACTACGTGAACAGTCAAGAATCCCGGGATACTTGACGAATCCCATGATTCTTGACTGGGAGGCCCGAGTCAGGATTTGCAACAAATTTTGACAAGGGCCCCTCGAATTACTAACGCACAAGTCTTATATGGTTTTAAATTCCGCAGGTATATTATGGTGTATTCTGATCAAAGATCAGGCAGTTTAGTTTATAGTTATGGGGTCATGACAATTGTTGACCCTTTTGGTATGATCCATTACATCATGTGTCTGTTTTTTATATCGGTTTTTAATATAAAATAAGGGGGATAAAGCAGGTTTAAATGCGATAGAAGGATATGAATACTAATTCTAGAGGGATTTTAGTCTCTATGATGACAATTTTTTTTGGGATCCCTGTATTGTTCATGAGATTGTTAACCTTATTTTTGAGTTTTTCGCCTTTCAATCTATCTTTTCTTTCAGATTTCCTCAAGTCCCACAAGATTCAAACAGTCCAGGCAACTTTCCAGCCAATAAGAAGGATCTACAAATCTAATTTGATCTATTTGTTGTTGTTGTTTTTTATTTTTTTGTGTGCTTTGAAAGGGGAAGGGGAAATGGGAGAAAGGGGTCGTGTGAAGAAGGTAGGTGGTAAGAGTTGGTCCGAATGATTCAATAGGCAAATTGATGTCGAATTTTTATTCGGGTAGGTGTTAAGGGTTTTTTCGAGCGGTTCTATAGGCAAATTTATGCTGAGTTTTTTTATTCGGGTCCCGTACAGAGCATACCTTGTATCTTTATATTGATGGTTTAGTCCGAAAGTGTCCTGAATATCTATAGGTTTTTGGCTGGGAAAGACGCTGAATTGTGCATGGGTTTTCACGGGTTTATCGACCGAATTACGCATCCCTGGGAACATTGGGAAGTTTCGGCCTAGCGGATTGATTTTCTAGGAGGGTAGTATATATATGGGGGTTGGGATAGCTGCAACAAGGGCAGTTGGATTAGCGCTGTTTATCTTGTGTCCGGCCGTAAAAGCGCCATTTATGTCGGTATTGTGTTGTTTGAATTGTGTATCGAAGCCGAAAATGGCGGATTCATCAGCGAAAACACCGGGAATTGGGTCCTGGGTGCTAGTCCGTCTGGAAGGCCGCCGGACTGAAGTCGGCGACACGTGCTGTGCAAAAACAAAAGCTTTCTTTGCAGTGCAACTTCTTGCTTTTTTTGGATGGCTTTTCATAGCGCCAAAAATCAGTCCGGCGACCTCCCGGAAGGACTATTAGCATTTTCACAAAGTGCCAGGACATTTTTTGCGGTCCGCACCGTGCACAAAAGCCCGCGTTTTTTGCACCGTGCATTGATCTTTCTTTGGTTTTGCACTGTGCATTTGGAATATCGCTGCGACGTAACTTTTTCTCAACTGCGCCGCCGCGAGAATTTGTACAGTGCAAACGGTCTTTTTTAGGCATGAACGGTGCGCAGAGGGAACATTCCACAATGCTTTGGCGACAGAACTGTGGAACATTTTTTCGCTGTGCGACAGTGAAAAAATGTCCAGGCACTTTGTGAAAATGCTAATATCCAGGGTCCCGCTGGTGGGTAAGCTCCCAGAATCCGCTGGTCTGGTCTTCGGCTTCCAACGCCGTCAGTGCTGCATCCTCTATTTTTGTTCTTCCTATCCGGCCAGCTGCAGAATCATTGTAAATTGGACAACGGGACGCTTATGGGCCTCCGAATTTCCCCGCAGGTTGCGGAAGTGTTATTCTTTCAGATCGTAACCACCGTTTGTAGAGGTGGTTGCGACCAGTGCAAGAAAATTTAGCAGATGTCAGACCAGCTTGCAACAGTCTATGGAACTGTTGCTGAATTTTCATCCATGAATTCTACCGGGTGACCTTCGATCCGAAGTTTTTCGGGTGAAAGTGAATCATAAAAGGGTATTTGAAACGGAGATTCTGCATTGACTCCTATTCAGAGATTGCCACGGTCAAAATTTCGGCTCCGGCTCTTAGCTCCCAGAGCCGGAGCGAGGCCATGAAAAACTTAAAAAGGTCTGCGGCTTCGAATCCCGGCTCTTTGGTTTAACAAGATCACGCAATTCCTACTTTTCTGAATGCTGAGAAGCCTGACTCCGACTTTGGGCTCGGGAGCCGGAGCCAAAATTTCCGGCACCCGGCTCGGAGCCGCCCAGAGCCGGAGCCAACAGCCGGCTACGGAGCCGTGGCAATCTCTGCTCCTATTCTGCTTTCTGTGGGCTGGCAACTTTTCGTCACAAATTCAACGGTTTTTAATGATATAACCCCTGTCGGTCATCTCTTTCACCCTAACTAGGGAAGTGTACATACGAACCCTCACCAAATGATAAGCGACATACATCATTGAAGAGCCCTTGAAAAATGGTGCAAGGCACCATTTTCATTTTTTGCAGAATGCCTTTCCGCGACGACATACTGTAAGCTGTATTATTTTTAGGTCATTTTGAAACAAAAATCTTTCTTTCTCTTGGGCAGGAAAAAATCCTCGGAGAGGGTTGCTTCAATAGTGCAGGGGTTGCTGAGTAGGCTGATAAGCCAAAACAAGCCGGGTTCAATTCCCAGCTTGGGCAAAACCATTTTTGCTTTTTTACAGCTAGGAAAATATTTGCGTTAATCTTTTACAAACGTTTTAGTTTTTCTGAAAGACGGTCGATTACGGTTAAAACCATCAAACTTACATGTTTTTCAAGATTAAAAAAAGTAAAAAATTGTTTTTTCACCTTATGGGTATTTAAAACCAGTAAATATCATATGTAAAATGGTTTTACTGGCAAGCGCCAAACTTCATAATGATTCTTAGGACAACCTAGTACCAATACGTACCACTTAGCGTTTTAAAATAACATTTATTTTGCCCCATAGCAGATATTGTGACTACTTAAGGGACAAATGTACCGTTTATAACTTTTTGCCCTGAGGCATTCTGCAAAAAATGAAAATGGTGCATTGCACCATTTTTCAAGGGCTTTCCAATGGTGTATAACACTTGCCATTTGGCGAGGGTTCGTTTGTACACTTCCCTAGTAAGGTGGAGAAAAAATAAGATTTGGGAGGATGAGATCAATGGAGTAACTTCGGACGGGTAAATTGTCTGTGCTCTCTATAAATAGTGGGAGTAGTAGAATTTTGGAGAATATATAATCTGAATTGGGCTATGAATAAAATATCAAGTCTAATATCAACAACAACATAATATGGGGGATAATTGAGGGGTAGACGGCTGGGGATAACAATGAACAATCATGGCTAACAAACAGAGTATATTTGGAGATGGGATCCCGGCAGTGAGGCCGCCGACTTCGCAAACAAGGTTTGAAAAATAACAAGTAAAGGAGCGGTGGGAACTGAAAAATATTCGAAAAGAGTAACTAACAAGTACAGGAGGATGCTGAGATTCGGGGAGTATATTTCTGTGGGGGTTATTTTGAATGTACATCAGACTGTGGTTCGGCGAGAGCGCTCCCCTTCGGCCGTCGGAACTCGGTATTTTCGTGGAAGACGGCCGTGACGGACGTAGTACCGAGCCTTTCGCGGATTGTCCAGGAGTTCATTTAGGACCACAAGAGCATTGAAAGTTGATTGAGTTATATTGTGAACTCAAAAACGATGAAAATTATATAGCACTTGATGGCTAACATAAAAAATTACATCCTTAATATAATTAATCGCCAAATTTTGCTTGCAAAACTGATAGACACTTGATTTTACTTTGATTTGCTTTATGAAAGCGTTTTGGAGCGAATTCGGGGCAAAACTTGTATTATACTTGACATCAGATTGAAAGCTGTCATGTGCAATATAATCAATATCCCAGTCTAGACATAAAAACACATAAAAGGGCATTTAGGTTACTTCCTCACTTCATATTTGCATTTTGGAACTAATTAAGGCCAAAAATTATATTACGCTTGACATCGGATGTAAAAATGTCACGTTTCCTTACATTACCTATCAAAATGTAATCAATACAATTCCCAACTTCAATCTTAAACTCAAAGCCTTACCCATTAACATCGAACTCCACGGCGCATGGGGTCTTGTTGAAGTCGGGGCTGGCTCCTTCGCTCCAATCCACGTTGTACATGCATCTGACGGCGCAAAGGGCTCGCATTTGGGAGATGAATCGCTGAAAAAGCAATGATATTACAATTTAAACTCATTGAATTTTGCCGAAATCTACCGTGGATAACCTCCACATCCGAACTTCCAATTGCTTCCCTCTCCAGTCTCGTCGCTGCCCGTTTCGTTGCGAACATTCTCCCGGTGGGAGATCCAGAAGCACATCTGATGGACGGCTTGTTTGACGTCTTTCCTTCACTAGACTTTTAAAAAAAGTGAATTAGTGATGAAGGAGTGAATTGACAAGACATACACCATTCGAAAGCTAATCGCTTGAGATTTTAGCATGGCAAGTTTCAGCTTTTTTGGAATCAAATTACGCCGATACGGGGCGAAAAACTCTGATATTATACTAGACACGGGTTTTAAAAAAAAGTGAATTAGTGATGACGGAGTCAATTGACAAGACATACACCATTCGAAAGCTAATCGCCTGAGATTTTAGCATGGCAAGTTTCAGCTTTTTTGGAATCAAATTGCGCCGACACTGGGCGAAAAACTCTGATATTATACTAGACACGGGTTTTAAAAAAAGTGAATTAGTGATGACGGAGTCAATTGACAAGACATACACCATTCGAAAGCTAATCGCCTGAGATTTTAGCATGGCAAGTTTCAGCTTTTTTGGAATCAAACTACGCCCACACTGGGCGAAACACTCTGATATTATACTAGACACCGGTTTTGAAAAAAGGTGAATTAGTGATGACGGAGTGAATTGACAAGACATACACCGTTCGAAAGCTAATCGCCTGGGATTTTAGCATGGCAAGTTTCAGCTCTTTTGCAGTCAAATTACGCCGACACTGGGCGAAAAACTCTGATATTATACTAGACACGGGTTTTAAAAAAAAGTGAATTAGTGATGAAAGAGTGAATTGACAAGGCATACACCGTTCGAAAGCTAATCGCCTGAGATTCTAGCATGGCAAGTGTCAGCTTTTTTGGAATCAAATTGCGCCCGCCCCAGGCCAAAAACTCTGATATTATACTAGACACCGGTTTTAAAAAAAGTGAATTAGTGATGAAGGAGTGAATTGACAAGACATACACCATTCGAAAGGTAATCGCCTGAGATTTTAGCATGGCAAGTTTCAGCTTTTTTGGAATCAAACTGCGCCGACACTGGGCGAAAAACTCTGATATTATACTAGACACCGGTTTTGAAAAAAAGTGAATTAGTGATGACGGAGTGAATTGACAAGAAATACACCATTCGAAAGCTAATCGCCTGAGATTTTAGCATGGCAAGTTTCAGCTTTTTTGGAATCAAACTACGCCCACACTGGGCGAAACACTCTGATATTATACTAGACACCGGTTTTGAAAAAAGGTGAATTAGTGATGACAGAGTGAATTGACAAGACATACACCATTCGAAAGCTAATTGCCTGAGATTTTAGCATGGCAAGTTTCAGCTCTTTTGCAATCAAATTGCGCCGACACTGGGCGAAAAACTCTGATATTATACTAGACACCGGTTTTAAAAAAAGTGAATTAGTGATGAAGGAGTGAATTGACAAGACATACACCATTCGAAGGGTAATCGCCTGAGATTTTAGCATGGCAAGTTTCAGCTTTTTTGGAATCAAACTACGCCCACACTGGGCGAAAAACTCTGATATTATACTAGACACCGGTTTAAAAAAAAGTGAATTAGTGATGACAGAGTGAATTGACAAGACATACACCATTCGAAAGCTAATCGCCTGAGATTTTAGCATGGCAAGTTTCAGCTCTTTTGCAATCAAATTGCGCCGACACTGGGCGAAAAACTCTGATATTATACTAGACACCGGTTTAAAAAAAAGTGAATTAGTGATGACAGAGTGAATTGACAAGACATACACCATTCGAAAGCTAATCGCCTGAGATTTTAGCATGGCAAGTTTCAGCTCTTTTGCAATCAAATTGCGCCGACACTGGGCGAAAAACTCTGATATTATACTAGACACCGGTTTAAAAAAAAAGTGAATTAGTGATGACAGAGTGAATTGACAAGACATACACCATTCGAAAGCTAATCGCCTGAGATTTTAGCATGGCAAGTTTCAGCTCTTTTGCAATCAAATTGCGCCGACACTGGGCGAAAAACTGTGATATTATACTAGACACCGGTTTTAAAAAAAAGTGAATTAGTGATGAAGGAGTGAATTGACAAGACATACACCATTCGAAGGGTAATCGCCTGAGATTTTAGCATGGCAAGTTTCAGCTTTTTTGGAATCAAACTGCGCCGACACTGGGCGAAAAACTCTGATATTATACTAGACACCGGTTTTGAAAAAAGGTGAATTAGTGATGACGGAGTGAATTGACAAGACATACACCATTCGAAAGCTAATCGCCTGAGATTCTAGCATGGCAAGTTTCAGCTTTTTTGGAATCAAATTGCGCCCGCCCCAGGCCAAAAACTCTGATATTATACTAGACACCGGTTTTAAAAAAAAGTGAATTAGTGATGAAGGAGTGAATTGACAAGACATACACCATTCGAAGGGTAATCGCCTGTGATTTTAGCATGGCAAGTTTCAGCTTTTTTGGAATCAAACTACGCCCACACTGGGCGAAAAACTCTGATATTATACTAGACACCGGTTTAAAAAAAAAGTGAATTAGTGATGACAGAGTGAATTGACAAGACATACACCATTCGAAAGCTAATTGCCTGAGATTTTAGCATGGCAAGTTTCAGCTCTTTTGCAATCAAATTGCGCCGACACTGGGCGAAAAACTCTGATATTATACTAGACACCGGTTTAAAAAAAAAGTGAATTAGTGATGACAGAGTGAATTGACAAGACATACACCATTCGAAGGGTAATCGCCTGAGATTTTAGCATGGCAAGTTTCAGCTTTTTTGGAATCAAACTACGCCCACACTGGGCGAAAAACTCTGATATTATACTAGACACCGGTTTAAAAAAAAAGTGAATTAGTGATGAAGGAGTGAATTGACAAGACATACACCATTCGAAGGGTAATCGCCTGAGATTTTAGCATGGCAAGTTTCAGCTTTTTTGGAATCAAACTACGCCCACACTGGGCGAAAAACTCTGATATTATACTAGACACCGGTTTAAAAAAAAAGTGAATTAGTGATGACAGAGTGAATTGACAAGACATACACCATTCGAAAGCTAATTGCCTGAGATTTTAGCATGGCAAGTTTCAGCTCTTTTGCAATCAAATTGCGCCGACACTGGGCGAAAAACTCTGATATTATACTAGACACCGGTTTTGAAAAAAGGTGAATTAGTGATGACGGAGTGAATTGACAAGACATACACCATTCGAAAGCTAATCGCCTGAGATTTTAGCATGGCAAGTTTCAGCTTTTTTGGAATCAAACTACGCCCACACTGGGCGAAAAACTCTGATATTATACTAGACACCGGTTTAAAAAAAAAGTGAATTAGTGATGAAGGAGTGAATTGACAAGACATACACCATTCGAAGGGTAATCGCCTGAGATTTTAGCATGGCAAGTTTCAGCTTTTTTGGAATCAAACTGCGCCGACACTGGGCGAAAAACTCTGATATTATACTAGACACCGGTTTTAAAAAAAAGTGAATTAGTGATGAAGGAGTGAATTGACAAGACATACACCGTTCGAAGGTTAATCGCCTGAGATTTTAGCATGGCAAGTTTCAGCTTTTTTGGAATCAAACTACGCCCACACTGGGCGAAAAACTCTGATATTATACTAGACACCGGTTTAAAAAAAAGTGAATTAGTGATGACAGAGTGAATTGACAAGACATACACCATTCGAAAGCTAATCGCCTGAGATTTTAGCATGGCAAGTTTCAGCTCTTTTGCAATCAAATTGCGCCGACACTGGGCGAAAAACTCTGATATTATACTAGACACCGGTTTAAAAAAAAGTGAATTAGTGATGACAGAGTGAATTGACAAGACATACACCATTCGAAAGCTAATCGCCTGAGATTTTAGCATGGCAAGTTTCAGCTCTTTTGCAATCAAATTGCGCCGACACTGGGCGAAAAACTCTGATATTATACTAGACACCGGTTTTAAAAAAAGTGAATTAGTGATGAAGGAGTGAATTGACAAGACATACACCGTTCGAAGGGTAATCGCCTGAGATTTTAGCATGGCAAGTTTCAGCTTTTTTGGAATCAAACTACGCCCACACTGGGCGAAAAACTCTGATATTATACTAGACACCGGTTTAAAAAAAAGTGAATTAGTGATGACAGAGTGAATTGACAAGACATACACCATTCGAAAGCTAATCGCCTGAGATTTTAGCATGGCAAGTTTCAGCTCTTTTGCAATCAAATTGCGCCGACACTGGGCGAAAAACTCTGATATTATACTAGACACCGGTTTAAAAAAAAGTGAATTAGTGATGACAGAGTGAATTGACAAGACATACACCATTCGAAAGCTAATCGCCTGAGATTTTAGCATGGCAAGTTTCAGCTCTTTTGCAATCAAATTGCGCCGACACTGGGCGAAAAACTGTGATATTATACTAGACACCGGTTTTAAAAAAAGTGAATTAGTGATGAAGGAGTGAATTGACAAGACATACACCATTCGAAGGGTAATCGCCTGAGATTTTAGCATGGCAAGTTTCAGCTTTTTTGGAATCAAACTGCGCCCACACTGGGCGAAACACTCTGATATTATACTAGACACCGGTTTTGAAAAAAGGTGAATTAGTGATGACAGAGTGAATTGACAAGACATACACCATTCGAAAGCTAATCGCCTGAGATTTTAGCATGGCAAGTTTCAGCTCTTTTGCAATCAAATTGCGCCGACACTGGGCGAAAAACTCTGATATTATACTAGACACCGGTTTTAAAAAAAAGTGAATTAGTGATGAAGGAGTGAATTGACAAGACATACACCGTTCGAAGGGTAATCGCCTGAGATTTTAGCATGGCAAGTTTCAGCTTTTTTGGAATCAAACTACGCCCACACTGGGCGAAAAACTCTGATATTATACTAGACACCGGTTTAAAAAAAAGTGAATTAGTGATGACAGAGTGAATTGACAAGACATACACCATTCGAAAGCTAATCGCCTGAGATTTTAGCACGGCAAGTTTCAGCTCTTTTGCAATCAAATTGCGCCGACACTGGGCGAAAAACTCTGATATT